GCAACATGAACTAAAATTCCTCCAGAATAGGTCACAATCGCTCAGATCTGGATCCAATTCCCAAAGATCGAGTTTCGTCTTCACGAATTGGTCAGAATCCACGCGATATTGATCAATGATCAATCAATCTTCAACGCTTCCCACAGACAGCGCCAATTGAAGATGCAAGGAATTCATTTCTCTTTTCTCTCTTTAGAATTCTTACACTTCAACAGAATCAATCCCCCTCTCTATCCATTACTTCTCATACTTATAGATACTTACAAATACTAATGGACTGCTAGATCTGGGCCCGTTCCTTTGTGGGTTTTGGTCATCTTTGATGGGCTATTCGCGTTTGGCCCATATGGCAGTATTTCTCTATGGGCTGGACCCAGCTGCTTGGATCGGATGCCATGTTCGCGGGTCATATCCGGCCCATGTCACTTCTGGCTTCCTCAATTTATCTTGAGACTAGTTTCTACCTTTATTCATTGAGTTAAAAGAATGTGAGAATAATAGCGAAAAAAATACTAGCAATTATAAACTTGGCAAAACTAAAAAAGTCAAAATTTTCACTCATCATTTCCGCAGCAGGACAACTCGAGCAACTTAATCCTTTTTAACATACTTGACAATCATTTTTAAATCTAAGTTTTAAGTCTGGGTTAAAAATATTCACTGTCAACTTAATTTGAGTTGTCGGATAACTAAACTTAATTACATTATTGCAATACATATATTATACGTATACAGTTAAAAATTGTGATCAACCCTTTTTTATTTAATTCTCCTGTATATTAATTTATCACAGGCTCGTTTACAATATATATATATATATATATATATATATATATATATATATATATATTTATTATATTAACCTAACATGCAGGGGCGGAGTTGGTACCCCACACCAATGGTCTCAAAATTTATAATAAATTTTAGGAAGGTGATATTCGCGCTCCATTTTTCTCCAATCGCACTATACTTATCTTTTTCTTTTAGGTTCCGTTCAGTTAGATAGAACTAGAAAGAAAAGAAAAGAAATGGAAAATAAAAAGAAAAGTGAAGTGAATGAAAAGAAAATTTATTTTCTAACATGCATTTGGTTAAGCTAAAAATTATTGAAGAAAATTTTATTGAAGAACATAAAAGTTACTAAAAATATTTGTACTTGCCTAAATTGTCCTTATGTTATATTTTTCTTATTTTATAGAAACAGTAAAATAATAAAATAAATAGTAGAATAATAAATAATTAATTAATAGTAATATATATCTAAAAAAAAAGTGATATAGTTTTCGATTAATTGACACTTACAAATTACTATTTATAGAAGTCTAAGTTAATTCAAACTCTACCACTAATAAAGTTATTGTTGGTTTGTAATTCTTTGAAATACAGTAAAAAATAAAATAAAATAAAATAGTTATTGGTGGCTTACAATTATCGATATAGTTGGTGGATAAAATAGGAGTGCAAAATAGAAAGACATTGCTTTCACGAGAAAATTTTATTTTCGCGTCTTTTGGGCAGGAAACGTTTTAGGGAAAATAATGGGTTGCGATAATTTAAATTTTCCAGAACGTTTCATTTTCATTATATCCAAACTCTAAAAAAGTTATAAAATTTTCACTTTCCTTTCTTTTCTCGTTTATTCTACCTAACCAAACAAAGCCTTAAAGAAAATGGTAAGAAAGTCTTTCAATTCATTAATATACTATGTTTTATTTTATAATGTCATAACTACCCTTTATGCAACTTTTTTTTTTTTTTTTTACCTTATTTAGTTCCTTTACTATTTTTTTTTTTTTCGGGAAAAAATCTCATAACCCCATGTACTATAATTTTTGTCCAAAATACCCTTATTAAAATTAAACACCCCCTAAACTAACAAAACCCATCAAGTTGCCCCCAAATCGGTATAAAAGGACAAAACTGCCCTTATAATTTAATTGTTAAATTAAAACTTATAATATTATTATAAGATTACAAAAATACCCCTAAATATTCATGTTCTCCTTTCTGTATACCTTCACCATCGCCATCGCTATCATCATCCTCATCGCCGCAGTCTCTCCACCTCCGTCCATCACTGGTCTCAGTTCTAGCTCCACCATTGCCATCAACTACGGCAGCAACTCCACCACCACCCACCTATATATCAGTTTTAAGGAGGAATTCAATTGCTGCAATCACTGTCACCAAAGGTAGCCAAAGTCTTCAAAGCCCCGTTAGCCAAATTGACAAAGGAGATAAACCCATATCAAAATGATTGTTTGAAGTAGAAAAGCCTTCTAATTTTTTAGTTCCAGGGTTTAAAATTGATCAAAAGAGGCACCTTCAATTTTCCAAAATCACTTCCAAATTCTATCAAAAGTTCTCCAACCTAGTTAATGACAAAAACACATCAAACCAGTTGCATTAATAACTATAAACCTCCTCCTCCGCCGGCGGTGGGCCGCCACCACCGCTTCTCTTTCTCTTTGTTCCTTCTCCCTCCTCCTTCGGCGGTGGGGCCGCCACCACCGCTTCTCTCTCTCTCTCCCTCGCCTTCCTCTGCCGTCGATGAGACTGAGGGATATTTTTGTAACTTACAATAATATTATAAGTTTTAAATTTAACAATTAAATTATAAGGGTAATTTTGTCATTTTATATCAGTTTGGGGGCAACTTGATGGGTTTTGTTAGTTCAGGGGTGTTTAATTTTAGTGTGGACATTTTAGACGAAAATGATAGTACATAGGGGTTATGTGATTTTTTCTCCTTTTTTTTCCATGTGCTATATTTTCTTTTCGGAGAAAATAATTTATTCCATACGGATAAGAGTTAATTTATTCATGACTTTTTTTTTGGCGTGCAATCAAAATAAATAATTTATTCAACATAGTTGACTTTTTTTTTTCCAGTCTCGAGGAAACATTATTTATTTATGATTTTTTATGGTCCCATCAAAATAAGTAATTTATTCAATAGAAATATATATATTTTATGGTATTATAAAAAGAGATAATATATTCAATATATATATTTATATATTTTAATCCTCTTTTTTCGGTACTTTTTTTTTTTTTTTTTATCTTGACAAAAAGATAATTTCTTCAATAAATTTTTTTTTTTTTTGAGTTTTTTTTTTTTTTTTTGTCCCGTCTAAAGAGATAATTATTTTAATGGTTACTTTTTTAAAATTTTTTGTATTTTTTGTATTTTTTTTTTTGTTCTGGAAACAAAATATTATTCAAATGTTTTTTTCCTTTCCAAAAGAGACTTAAAATATTAAAGATTAGAAATAAAGAAATAAAATTTAAAAAGACAGTTTTGCCATTTAAAAAGTAAGACTACATTTATTTGTAAAATTAAGGTTATAATTGCCATTTTATTTGAGATTGTAGTGCAAATATAAAAAAGTAAAATCTTGTGAAATATAAAAAAGTGGAGTGCGAATAGCTCCTTCCTAAATTTTAATTTGGCCCCCCAAAAATATTTATCTATCAGTTCAAAAGTAGAGAGTTAAAATAAATTTAACTTATTTTACTTTTAACTCATAGAATATCAAGTTGGAATCTTTTAGCCATACTTTGAAAACTAAAATCTTGTGAAATAAAAAGTAAGTTTATTATTATTGCAATTCCTACTCACAAAAAAAAAAAAAAAAAAAAAATTGTTACTTCATTTGCATATAAATATGTATAATATTCATTATATGAGTTTAGGAGAGAAAAAAAAGAAATTATACCAATATCCCTCATGTCTAATAAAATAAATAAAAAAAAATTCACGGACATTAAGTGAAACACTATGAATGTGAAAGTAAAAGAAAGTGAAATGAAAGAAAATTAAATCTCCAAGTCAATTTAGTTAGCACTTCAAAAAATTTCAAGAAAATTTTGTAAAATAGCGTGTAATTTTCTATAAAATAAAGGACATTAATATTGTGAGTTCACAAAACTTTATCAATAAATCAAAAATTTCTTGTGAATCTTGGAAAAAAAAATTATCAAAAAATTAAATGGTTATGGAAAGTGATTTTCCTAAAAAATTTCCCTTTTTCCTGCTAACAAAACTCCTAAAATGTTTTAAAAAATTTCATTTCATTTATTTTCTTACTATTTTCATCTAACCAAAGAAAGGTTAAAGATGGTGTTTACAAAAAAATTATTTAGAATTATATATAAATGTCTATCAACAAGTCTTGGGAGTACATAAAGAGAAAAACTATAGTATTACGAGAGAATAACGACAAGAATGCCAACAACAATAATGTTATTATATATGTTAATATTTTTAGTTATAAATAAAAAAATTTATAGCTACTCATTATATAAATTATTAAAGTACTTCTCTATTTTAATCATAATAATTGTGTTTTATTAAAACTTGTGAGATTTGTTTAGTTAGAATTACTTAATAAAGTTTTTAAATATTTCATCAAGTTAATGATAATATTTATTTGGCAAATTAGAATCAAAGTATTAAAAAAAAAATGAAAAATTTAAAATTTGAAACAATTAGTAAAGAAAATTTGATTTTCTTTCTTATATTAGTTTTTTATATATTTTTTGTTAAGTTGCATACCAATGGGCCAGTGGCTTAGCGGTATCAGCCTCCTACCTCCCAAAAGAGGTTAATGATTCAAGTCTCAGAAGAGACATATGTGTGTGAGTACCAATTAGGAAATTTTTTTTTTTGTTAAGTTGCACTTTTTTTTTTATTATATATTAAAAATATTTACATACCTACTAAGATCAATATTTATATAAAAAATTATATTATAATTATTTACAATTTTTATAAAATTTTACATAATACTAAATTGGCTCCCAAATCTAAATATTGATCTCCTTATCTCTCAACAATTATCAAAAAAATTCTCAAAATTGGCGTGTGGGGGATTCGAACTCCCGTCCAAATGTGACGTCCATTGAACTAGGTTAGAAGAGGTCGGTAGAAAATAATTTATAAAAAGGAAAATGCACTTAAGTTGCTTTTATTAAACGGGGCCTAAAGCCTTTGATCATAACAAAAGGCCAAATTTCCATACGCTTCTAATTTCTTACTCGGTTTCCTCTCTCTCTCTCTCTCTCCTCTCCACTCCAACTAGGAGGAAAAGGAAAACACAAAAAGAGAGCGATAGCGAAGCACTAGAAAATACTCCCACTTTCCCCACATCAATTCGCTCTCTCACCCTCCTCCGATCCAAACAATTCTTTCTTCAATTCCGTTTCTCTCCACAATACCACTTTTCCACCGAAACCAATTCTCTCGGTTTTAGGGCAAAGAATCCTCCGATCAAAGCAAACCTCTAGAGAACATCCAAACACTTCGATCGATTATTGGAATCAGATTCACGGAGAGTTTTTTTTGAGTTGCATTTTGATAAATTAGGGTGAAATTGTGGTCGAAGAATGTTCTTCTCCGGCGATTCATCTACTCGGAAGCGAGTCGATTTAGGAGGGCGTAGTTCGAAAGAAAGGGACCGACAGAAACTCCTGGAGCAGACGAGGTTAGAAAGGAATCGCAGATTGTGGTTGCGACAACAGAATTCCGCCGCGATCGTAATCCAGGTTACATACTCGCACATATAGATGTTCACACACAGTTATACATATGTATCGTATGATGTCTATGTTTGCTTGATTTTGTTAATCCATTAATAAGTGTATGCTTATTTGGTGTCATGCATTTGGTGATTTCGTGAGAAGATGGGTATCAGATTCACTTCGGCGACTTTACGCAATTGAAATATGTACTTGCTGCATTCCATGCCCAACTTTTGACAAGTTAAGGATTTTCTTATTTTCAAGCTTAATTCCAAATTTCACTCACAAATAAAAAAGAAAAATAAACTAAAAGGAGAAGAAAAGCTTAAGTCCAACTTCCAAGTCCAATTTTCTAGTCACCCAGGGAAAAAAAAGGTTGCTCCAATTTTGGGGGTAATTATGTTAACGATTACTGCATGAGGTGCATAGTTGTAGACAGAGCCATAAGAATGGCATGCATGGCTGTTTTGCCTTTTTGTTGATTGGTGGATTGGCTTGGGGAGTCCACAATTGGATGAATGGAATAGATTGTCATTTGGCTCCTCTCTTGAACAATTAGAGTGTGTTTGAATCAGTGTTCTGCTGACTGCAGATTCACCCGTTTATTCTGGGGTAAAGATTGCCATTTGGCTTTTCTATTGAACAAATAGTGTATGCCTGAATCAGTGTTCTGCTGACTGCATGTGAGATCGGAGTCACCCATTTATTCTGGGATAATGACATCCTTATATATATAGAAAGTAGTATTTTGGTGGATGCTTATTTAGGAATCATATATAGAAAGTAGTATTCTGATGGATACTTATTCATTTGTGCACACTATTGTCACATACATTCCTAAATCCACCTTGCTAGATTTGACATATATAGACAAATTTGAAGAACTATGGAACTGGTTTCTTCATACGTTTTGCAACGATCAGCTTCTTATATAGTTTATGGAATTTTGTGAAATTTCATTAACTGAGAGTTGATTTTAGCTGGATGTAGCCAGAGGTGGGCCCAATTTAAAAATGATCTTCAGTGAGATGTCCAGTAAGAAGGGAATGCAATAAATTTTAGCGAATCATGTGCTTTATCTCGGTTTGTGTCACAACTAGAAGTGCTGAAAATACTGCCTGATTCCTGGGTTTTGATTATGGGGTTTTGGCAAATATATATATATATACATATTTGTGATAAGTAGATTTAATATAAACACAGGCTCGAAAGTTGTAAAAACTAAAATTTGGAACATATTAATAAACCTATAGAGAGAATGAACAAATTTTATTTGTTGTCATGAAGCTTTATATGATACATGTGTATCAACTTAATGAAATACTTAAAATATACGGTGGCAACATCAAATGATCACAAATTAGCTATTGTTTGTGAAATTATGAATAAAAGCACATGATGCAACATGTCGGTCAATTGAAGCCAAAAAATGCTCCGTGACATGTCCATTATGAAGAAATGTATTTAATTTGAGGGGATCTGGATGATTCATCTTGACATGTGTCGTACATAAAAGCAGTGAACATGCCACATGATGCTTGGGCATGACAAAACTAAAGAATGAACACAAATAAAAGACATGGCGACGTTGGAGTAGGCTTATAAGGATCACATAGCTTAAATGCGCCAAGGAATTTCATACAAGAGCAGTTTTTCTATTAACAAGTATTGACTAATAAAATGTAATGTTCTTAAAAACCACATTTTCTCTATTGTCTGTTAGAACTTTGTTATATTGGAATTGATTTTGCAAAACCATACTACTATGCTTCATGACTTAAAATAATTTCTGCAAAATATTTTTGGCATTGTTAAGTGTTGGCTGATTGTAAAATGTTTTATTGAAGCTTTATGGAAAGTGAAAATAGCTTGCACAACCTACCAATAACATTCTTTTTTTTTTTTTTTTCCAAATAATTTGGAACTAATGTTAAAAAGTTAACATGTATATATATATGTATTTAAACATCATATCTTGTATATATTTGCAAATTACTGTGATATACAAATTAATATATGTGCATATTTAAATGCCATTTCCATGTGTGTTTGATGCCTATATGTACTATATATACTTGATTATGAAATTACTTTATTTAAGTACATATCTACAGAAGTGTTTATAATGCATTAAATAAGAATTTGATAAGTTATTTTGTAACCCCAACTGAATGCCTAAAAATACAAAGGGAGATGATTTTTTGTCTTGTACAAAATTTGATATAAAAAAGAGATGTTAGTGTACAATTGTTGTATTATGGCTCTTTCCTTAAAAATATTCTTCACAAACAACAAACCCAATTTTATTAAATTTCAATGAAATGTTATGTTACCTTATAAAGTATAAACCTGATTAAAGAATTGAGGAAACAAATATTTTATGTTTACTGTTTTGCAATGGGGTGCCATGTTCTGGGATGGGATTTCAAATTGGAAATTGCTAAGGGGTGTGCGATTTTCTAGTAATCATTGACTTGCTAATAGAGAGAGAGAGAGAGAGAGCAAAAAAAAAAAAAAAGAGAGAGAGAGAGAGAGAGCAAAAAAAAAAAAAAAAAACTGAAACCGAGCAAGACATTGTGAAAATTGCAGAATGGGAATTAACAAGAAATCTAGTGTTTCTGCGGATGAAAGTTTATACGATATATGTATAATGACTTTGTGAAAAGGTAAAATATACGGGAGTCATATTAAATGATCGCGATTGGTTCAGGGTTAGATTGGGTGCTGGTGGTCTAACAATGCACAATTTCGAATGAAATTAATTTTAATCAAATTTAATATTTTTATAGTAAAAAATCCTAATAAATAAAAAGATACTTTGCTGTTACCAACGAAATTTATTACTTTTGTCCTTAGCAATCCACAAATTCTGATTGATAATCTATTTTTTTTTAGCTAAATAGGATGGGATGGGATTTTCCTTACCTATCCCAACCTGTATCTACCCCGATTACCACACATCCAAGACCGTCCGAGTAGGGTAAGGTGGGTTGGGACATGTGCATTGTGAAATATAGGATTCTGATCTGAGGCTCTGATATGGAGTTAGTGCAAAATCTGATATGGAGTTAGTGCAAAATCCAGAATAGATCTAGTTTGGTGTGAATAGATCTTATTTGATTTTAACCAACAATGCCTGATTCTTAAGGCAAACAGTTATAGTTATAATGCAACAATATAAGTTATTTAAAAAGAGAGAAAAAACTATTAAATTAAGCCATCACACGCAAACACGTTTTTTTGTAAAAACTCCAATGGAGAAAATTGCGGGACTTAATTCAGACAGATCAAAAATTGGTATGGGAGAAAGATGTTACGGTTAAGTTACCAGATTCCACCATATAATCACCTTGCTCCTACTGAACTCAGACCTGTTCCTCAAGTAATCTGCTTCTGCATGTACTTCTGATCCTGATCTCCAATGATTAATAATGTTCTCTTGTTGTGTAGAAACACTTTGGTGTTGATGACGATATTAACTTGTCAAGTTGATGATCAGCACTTCAAATAATAACTCACCATCTAATGCAATATGCTAGATAAAAAGAAAAATATGCTCTTTAAAATATATATAATCTCTTTCCTATTTTTTTTTTTTGTATTATTTAATTTATTAAAATACACAATAGCTATATACTCAAGTATTGTCTTTGCTTGTCTTACTGATATTATAAATATATGTTTACTAATAATATATATATATATTTATAAATATATGCTTGAATTTTTTTTAACCTTTTTTCTCCAAATATGTAATTGGCATGGTTTGTTAATGGCCTCCTTAAAATTTGTAATTTTTTATATACTTGATATAGCTAAATTTTGAACTGCTCCATTTGTTTGAATATGAAACTTGGACTGTAAAGACTTAAGTGGCAACTCATTCTCATTTTTTATAATAGGGTTAGCTGGGGAACGCCAATCAGACGTTAGGGTCGGTTGGTTTGAATTGGGGCCTTGAGCAATCTGATCTAACCTGAGCTCGTTTGAACATATGCAATCAAGTATAATATTGTTTATATATGTTAGATAATGGCATTTGGTTAGACTTTATATAGTTTAAAATGATAACCACAATTTCTTTTCACGTAACATTGTAACAATTAGGTAAGATTATAAGAAAGCTGAGTCTTGTGCCCATTATTTCTTATGTTCTTCACGCAACTTCTTCAATGATAGTTTTTGCATGTACGTCATTACTTTATTTTTCTGTCCTTTGGTTCCCTGACTTGATTATATGTGATTACGCCAAGTTGTCACCCACCCATTTTGGGTCAAGATTAATGTTTGCTGATGCGTGCTTCACAGACAAGTTTAATTTTTGGTTTTTTAATAAGGGAATTAGAGGCTAAAGGAATATGAATACAAACTATTAGTGACAGTGTGCAGTAATCCATTTTTATGCTAATTTCAAGTGCAGGCAACTGTATATGTTTTGTTGTGGGTCATTGTTCTTCAGAATAGCATTTTTAGAAACTTGTTAAGGAATTTATTGTGAATTTTGGAGTTTGACTAATTACTAGTTACAGAAATGCTTCAGAGGAAGGAAGGCCGTGAAAGTTGAACGTTCTAAGGTGCGAGAGCAGTTCTTTCTGAACTATGGGCAGCGCTGCCAAAATGTTAACAGGTAGAACTGTTGGAACAGGTGGCCATTGCTCTACCTTTTTTTTTTTTTTTTTTCTCTACTGTTTTGGTTTCTCCTGATCTCCATGTAGTCTCTGATGTGGTACTTTTTTGTGAAGTCATTCATCATTATCATCCTTGATCAGTTGATCTTATAATTTTGTGCAATATTTTTGTATTCAGGCATTGTTTTGGGCCGGATTCGGATTTTCTCCGCCAATTACTTTTCTTCTTTAACGCGCAAAATGTTGCTGATTTTTCTGCTCTCGTGGAGATATGCCGATTACTTCAACAGTTTGTTCGAGATAGTGGTGTGTTCTATCACTGTTTCTTCCTCATGAAATCTCTTATCGATGTCATATAGAATTTATATATAATACATAGTCCTTATTATGAAACTGGGAATACCTTTGGCATGCCTACATTGTAAACATTTAATCTTGTTTTAGTATTGATATTTTTTACTTTTGTACTTCTAACTTAAAATTTCTTATAGATAGGAACTCTCTTTGTGTCTCTCTCTATATATAATAAGCGATTTCAAGATTGAAAAGAATCTGTATATTGCTGTACAAAGAATGGTTTACAATGCTTTAGTTAAATAAGAAATACAAGGAGCTAAAAAAAGGAAACTACAGGCTGTGACTACAGGATGTAACAGGAAACTTCAGGCTGTACACTAACAAAATTTCCTAATCTTAGTCATTGACTATTTATATTTACACGCCTATTATATCCCCTAAAATCTGGTTTTATTAAAACCGAATATCTCTTTTTCAACACTCCCCCTCAAGCTGGCTTGTAGATGTCTTCCATAGCTAGCTTGCTTCTTAAAACTTAAAACCGTCTCTTGTGTAGTCCTTTGGTAAGGATGTCTGCAGCTCGTTCAGTAGTAGAGACATAAGGAATGCAAATCATACCACAGTCAAGCTTTTCCTTGATAAAATGTTTGTCAACTTCCACATGTTTGGTTCTGTCGTGGAGGACTGGATTATGAGCAATTGAAATGGCAGCCTTGTTGTCACAGTAGACTCTCATTGGAGGAGAAACAGTAACCTTCAAATCTTCAAGGAGTCTTTTTAACCACATAGCTTCGCAAATCCCATGGGCGAGTGCTCTGAACTCGGCTTCTGCATTACTCCTCGCTATTACATTTTGTTTCTTGCTTCGCCACGTGACTAAGTTTCCTCCAACGAAGGTGCAATATCCCGAGGTAGATCGTCTATCAACTATACTGCTTGCCCAATCAGCATCTGTGTACACCTCCACTTGCAAATGACCTTGTTTCTTGAACATAAGTCCTTTACCGGTGAGCCCTTTAAGTAACTCAGAATCCTGTACGCTGCTTCAAAGTGTTCCTGTCCAGGAGAGTGCATGAACTGACTCACCATATTGACTGCAAATGCTATATCTGGGCGTGTGTAAGATAAGTAAATTAGTCTTCCCACCAATCTCTGATATATTTCACAATCAACCATATTCTCGGGTTCGGCAGCTTCTAACTTCATGTTGACTTCAATTAGAGTGTCAGCAGTTTTACACCTGAGTAGTCCTGTCTCATTAAGCAAATCAAGTACATATTTTCGTTGATTCACAAAAATTCCTTCTCTTCAATTTCCATTCCAAGGAAGTATTTTAATGCTCCCAGATCTTTTGACTTCAAAATCTTTAGCAAGTTTCTTCTTCAGTCTGGTCAACTGTTCAATGTCATCACCTGTCAAAATTATATCATCCACATACACAATTAAAACGGCAATTTTCCCTTCCTCACCGTGTTTGTAGAACATGGTATGGTCTGCCTGACTCTGATGATACCCATGACTCTTCATAGCCTTTCCAAAGCGTTCAAACCACACTCTTGGAGACTGTTTCAAACCGTACAGGGATTTTTTGAGTTTACAGATTTTGCTCTGACCGTGTTTTCCTTCGAACCCAGGTGGCAAGCTCATAAACACTTCTTCTTCCAAGTCTCTATTTAAAAAGGCATTTTTTATGTCCAACTGATGTAATGGCCAGTTAGAATTGACTGCCAACGACAATAAGACTCGGATATAATTTATTTTTGCTACAGGAGCAAGCGTCTCTTGGTAATCAATGCCGTACGTTTGCTTAAAACCTTTCGCCACAAGTCTTGCTTTGTACCTTTCCACACTACCATCAGCTTTACACTTAATAGTGAAAACCCATTTACACCCAACAGTTTTCTTTTCTTTGGGCAAGTCAACTATCTCCCACGTTCCACTCCTTTTAAGAGCATTCATCTCCTCTAACACTGCTGATTTCCAATTCGGATCATCTAGTGCTTCCTGAATGTTTCTTGGAACAAACAAGTGAGAAATATTTGAAGTAAAGGCCCTATGTTTATGGGAAAGTTTATCATAAGACAAGTATTTGGCAATGGGATGCTGGGTACAGGTTTAGATTCCTTTTCTAACAGCTATAGGGATATCAAGGTCTGCAGGAACTTGGCTAGGTGACTCTGTACGATCATAAATAGTTGGGACAACTGCAGACAAGTTAGGATTTAGAGTACCTTGAGTGTTCAGGGAGTCATTGCTCGAGACCTCTGATCGGCCTTGCTTAGGTATAATAGTAGGCTCTCTACTCTTTTGATGAGTCTTTTTCCTGTTATAAACCAGAAGCTCAGGATTTGGTTTTTTTGGAATCGTTGGTAGGATTTCTCCCCCCGTTGGAGATACAGTAAGGCTCGGCAAATTAGGACTAGGAGGCCCCTGGTTTCCTGATTCTAGTACATTATTTCCCTGTTTAAAAAGATCAGTGTTCGGAGTAATAGAGTGTGAGACAATAGTTTTAGGTAAGGGAATATTAGTAGAAATCTCCAAAAATTTTCTTCACTCTCTTTCTCCCCCTGAAGAAAAGTTTTCTAAAAATAAAGATGATTTTCTAGAAAAAAGACATCCATATTGATAAACATTTTTTTTTGTTTTCGGATTGAAGCATTTGTACTCCTTTTTATTCGGGGCATACCCAACAAATACACATTTTTCAGCCTGAGGATCCAATTTAGACCGAAGTCTATTAGGTAAATGGACAAAGACAGTGCACCCAAATACTTTCAAAGGCAAGTTGGAATAAATTCGAGTTTTAGGAAAAGATTTTTTAAGGCTTTCAAGGGGTGTAAAATAGTTAAGAACACGAGTAGGCATCCTGTTAATCAAATATGTTGTTGTTAAAACGGCTTCACCCCACAAATACTTAGGAACATTCATTGCAAACATGATGGCACGAGAAACTTCAAGTAAATGTTTATTCTTTCTTTCAGCAATTCCGTTTTGTTGGGGCGTGTCAACACAAGTGGATTGGTGAAAAATTCTTTTTTTTGTTAAAAATTTCCTTAAACTTCATTAAAGTATTCGATGCCGTTATCAGTATGAAGAATTCCAATTTTTGTTTGAAATTGATTTTCAATCATCATATAAAAATCCTTGAATAATTTTTCAACCTTAGATTTTTCATTCATTAAATACACCCAACACAAACGTGTATGATCATCAATAAAAGTCATAACCATTTTTTTCCAGAAAGAGTTGTGATCCTAGAAGGGCCCCAAACATCGCTATGGATTAAATAAAATGGTTTTGATGTTTGGGTGAATACGCAGTACGATGACTCTTTGATAAAAAACAATTCTCACAATAAAAAGATGAGCAATCCAATCCTTTAAACAAAGTAGGAAATAACTTTTTAAGATAAGGGAAACTAGGATGCCCTAGTCTAAAATGCCATAGCATTATTTGTTCTCTAACAGGGATAGAACGAAAACTACTCAGACCTTGAGCGTTTTTATTACTTGAAATATCATCTTCAAAATAGTAGAGACCGTCTATCATCTTAGCACTGTCAATCGTCTTCCCCAAGCTCTGGTCCTGAAATTCACAATAGGATTCAAAAAAGATAACATGACAATTAGAGTCTTTGGACAATGTACTAACTGATAAAAGGTTACAAGCAAGCTTAGGGACATGAAGGACATACTTAAGATCAATAATTTTTGAAAGTTTTACTAAACCTTTGCCTGCAATAGGAGAATAAGAACCATCGGCTATTCTGATTTTTTCAGAGCCAGAACAGGGTGAATAAGTTTGAAATAAATGAGAAAAACTTGTCATATGGTCAGAAGCCCCTGAATCAATGATCCATGGGGTAACATTGGAATTTGAATGACAACATAAGGCCTTCGGGTTGTAACCTGTTTGAGCAAGAGAAACATTAGGAGTACCAGATGAGGAATTGAATTTCAGCAATTTTAGAAGATGATTCATCTTCTCTTTGCTGAAGGGAAGTGCCTCGGCTTCATGAGCTGATGGGGCTCGGTTGAATCTGCCTTCCTGCTTACTCTTCCAATTCACTGGTTTACCATGAATTTTCCAGCAGGTTTCACGGATATGGCGAGTCTTGTTGCAGTGGTCACACCAAAGACGGGGCTTTTCATTATGTTTCCTGCCAATATTCGCTTTAGATTCGACCAGGGCAGAGGTCTTGACAACACTATTTGATAACTTTTTTCCAAGCATGACCAGCCTGCGACTTTCCTCTCTTCGAACCTCGGAGAAGACTTTACCGATTAAAGGTAGGGGCTGTCGTCCTATTATTCTGCCTCTCACTTCATCAAACTCGACATTGAGTCCAATGAGAAACTTGAAGATGCGGTTGTCTTCCACCTTCTTTTTGTAATGGTTGCAATCTTCAGGCGATTTCCACTCATAATTGCTGAACAAATCAAGGTCCTGCCACAAACGTTTTAGAGAGGTGAAATATTTTGTAACAGTGTTATCTCCTTAACGGATCTCTCCGAGTTTCAACGTTAGTTCATAGATTTGAGACTGATTTCCCAGGTCTGAATACATCTGGTTGACATTGTCCCAGAGTTCTTTTGTTGTGTGGTAAAACATATAATTAGAACTGATGTCCTCCTCTGTAGAACTCACCAACCAGGTCATCACCATCGAATTCTCTGCATCCCATGTTGAGTAGGATGGATCTTTAGGTTTCGGTTCCTTCTTTTCTCCTGTCAGGTGGCCGATTTTGCCTCTGCCTCGGATGTACATCAGCACGGACCGGGACCAGCGAAGGAAGTTTTTACTTTTTAGCCGAATTGTGGTAATTTGGACCGAGTGTGTCTGAGAGTTTTGGACTTAGGACTCAAAGGTCTTGGTCTTGGACTTAGGTATGCATCAGACATGATGATTAGAGAGAAAAAAAAAAGAGACGGCTAGGGTTTTTTTTTTTTTTTTTTTTTTTTCAGAAAAATCGGTAAGATGCTCTGATACCAAATAGGCGATTTCAAGATTGAAAAGAATCTGTATATTGCCGTACAAAGAATGGTTTACAATGCTTTAGTTAAATAGGAAATACAAGGAGCTAAAAAAAGGAAACTACAGGCTGTGACTACAGGCTGTACACGAACAGAATTTCCTAATCTTAGTCATTGACTATCTATATTTACACGCCTATCATATCCCCTAAAATCTGGTCTTATTAAAACCGAATATCTCTTTTTCAACAATAAATATCATTTTTATGTGTCTTAGCTTTTTCTGTTCTTTGTCAATTACTTTATTTGGAAATGATGAAAATATGAAATTTAGAGGCAAAAACTTCCTGAAGCTGCATGCTTGGTTTATCTATGAATTCTTTTCGCTATGTATACCGAGTATGGTAAAAAAGCGTCCAATTGTTACCTCCCTAATATATTCTGAAATACTTAAAAAAAAATTTAAGCTTTATAATTAATCCAGGTTCTGGCTTTTGGGGTCACTACTCATGCTTTTTTCTTTAGACGATTGTTGTGGCACTCTGTGATAGTGATATGCTATAGTTTTAAAATAAAATGACTTATTGCTTCCATTTGCGATAGAATTGATCTCATGTTCATTTTAATTTTATCCAAGGACAAAGTATGTGCTGAAACCATTTTTTAATCTTCTTTGTGAAAATAGGCATCTCTGCTTCATGGTTCTACTTTTTCATTGTGTGTGTGTTTGTGTGTGCATTTTTCACTGTCTCTTCATCTATAACTAATTGTTTACCTTGTCAGTAGTTGTGCATATCTTATTTTGCATTTTTAAAGACTTGTTTACTAGCATTGACAATATCTACACGCAACAGGTGATATTCTGAACCTCGTTGCTGGCGTGGAATACTCTTCCAAGCACCCTCTAGTCAACTACAGGGTTAAGCAAGTAGCATATGCTTGTATTCAGGCTGTTTATGAAAATAGGTCTGTTTCATTTGCACCTGTGTTGATACCACATTTTAAACTTTATTGGACTCATAACGTAATTAGGTTTCAGATTTACAGCCTATCTTTGTTGATTTTTTTTTGCATGTATGTCGGCCTTATTCTTTTAATGAATGTTAGGTTAGTAACGCAATTCTTCTTTAAGCTAGTTGTAATTGTTACATATGAGAGTTTAAGGCACTTTCTTTCTGTCCATTTTACTCCTACATCTGTCAGAATTTGATTTCATTCTATTCCGTAGTAATGATTTATTATGTAAAACAATGATAACTTGCTTTTTTTACTGCCGGCGCCTCATCTATGTTTACTAGAGAAAATGAGGTCCAGAAATAAATGAAATTATGTGTTAAAAGTTGTTTAATTTTCAGATAATTGATCACGACAACCAATTCGATGGTTGCTAGGATAAAAGAAATTTTGTTTGGCTGGTTCATCTTCTTTAAATGGAATTTTTTTAAGAAATGTTTTGTTGGAAATCCATTGCGAGACTGGTTTAAACTTTTAAGGGAAGAATATATTTGATAATGCCTTGTCAGAGAAGGGGAAAAAAAAAAAAAAACTTGGTAATGCTTATTTAATGAAGTGATTTCAATTCTTATTTTTATAATTATATTTTCTTTTTCTTTCTTTTTTTTTTTCTTTCCAAAAAAGTAATTTTAGGTATGTGTTCTTCTGTTGTTCAACTGTTCATGTTATGAATTGTGTTACTTATTTTGCATTTTACTACTTTATAAGAATATTGAGTTGACTCAGTGGCCACGTTGTCCTATCCCAAGTTATTTTCGTTTAGGGTTCTGATGCTTATTATGTTTTTGTACTGAGTATATATCCATTTTAGTTCGAAACAGTGCTTACAAATAACTCATTGTTAAGAACTGATCTTCTTGAATGAAACTAATTTGAACTCTTGGTCTCACTGCTACAGTAATGCAAATGATATTTTACTACCGTAGCATGAATAAAGACCTGCTACAGTAATTTTTTAGTATTTTGAACGATTTCCATATAATACCAGTCAAGAAATGATTTTGGCTGAGGAAAAAGTCAGTATGATGCTTCAGGACTAATATTGTTCTTTCTAACCAGTTTATTGGAATGACACCCTTTACCACCCATTCCTCATAATGGATGGGGTCCACCAAAATCTTGGGTGGTAGTGAGGTTCAATTTAAATTGCAAAAGCTAACCTTGTCAATCCTGACTTAGGATGACATGTTTAGCTTGAGCTAGTTTTTGGGTTGCCTTGTTAACTTGAATCTGATTTTGGATGAGGCCTTAAGAAGGAGATTGAGGCTGCCCTGAGATCAAGTACTAGGGTGAGGTTAGGTTTAATTTATGCTTAAACTGGTAAAGGGATGGGGGTGTTTTTGGTATGAAAATGATGGATACTGCTTTTTGGAATTTGTGGACAGGAAATGAAATTAAAGGGTTAGGGGCCTTAGGGCTAGAATGGTGGAGAAAAAAGTGTCAATGTTTGTGATAAAAGGATTCGGATTTTGGGGAGAAAGTTACGGTAATTGAAGGGTAGTTCTATATATTAATAGTGCAAAGCAGTGCTGGGACGAATTGAAAGTGTTTCTGATTTGAAAACTCACCTTTAGTGTTTGGTGGCACAAAAAACTGCTTCTTGGCAGCATAGATTTTGGCGCTATAGATATTCTTGCAAAAGTTCATGTTGGAATTGCGGTTGCATGAAAAGGAAAAAGCTCTTCATTAGAAGATACAACAATGCCAACTTTTAGCTATGGGATCTGTATCAAAATTTGAAGTCTAAACCATAGTCTTAGAGTTTCTTGGGGCATTTTATGCAGTCTCACCATTACATAAAAAATCTACAGAGTTCTTATACTCAAACTTGTTTAATTGTCTCTAGAAGCTTGCTTATATAGAAAAAAATTTCATTTCAAAACCTAGAACCTTTAGCTTTGGGATTTGTGTCATCAGTTGATGCCTAAACCTTGCGTGAACTAATTACATAAGTGGACTAGACAAGGCTCATTACCTAACATTACTAGTATAAAAGAAAAACTGTGATGTTGTGGCCTGAATTTGGTTTTGGGTTGCGTTACGACCCGACAACCTGATGATTGAGATTTTTGAACCCCCCACCCCCTTTTTTGCTTATGGGTTGTGGATCCTATTTAGTACTCTTGTAGCCCAGTATATAAGGGCGCCTAGGGTTTGGAGTGGGATTGTTGAGAGCGAGAGTTAGGGTTAGGGTGTTGAAACTTGTAATCTCCTATTTTTCGCATAGTGAAAACTTTCGCCGGATCTTCACCGTGAATGCAGACACAACTTGTGTTGAATCACGCTAAATCTTTTGTGTGGCGTGCAGTGTTGTTAAAGGCGAGCCTAGGCTTGAGGCACGGGTCTAGCGCCTATTGTCATACCAGGCTCACTAATGCTTCCTAGGTGAGCGCCTCGGTTGGGCCTCATCCTGTTTGTCCACTGTTTTTTTTTTTTAAAACTATGATTATTCTATTTCTTAAGCTAAAAAGGGTACTTTTGGCAACTTAATAAACAAATAAGAAAGCCCAAGCGTACGAGAGAAAAAACTTCTGTTCAAAAGGATAAACAAATAAGAAAGCCCAAGAGTCAAAGTGTGAACCGAACAGAGAAAGAGCGAGACCGTGAGACGAACGACGAAGCCCTAGTTGCAGAGATGAAGCCAGGTCAGTTCTTCTTCTCTCTCTTCTCCTCTCTTCTTATCTTTGTTTACATCTCTCTCTTCGTCTAGTTCTCTTCTCAATTGTGCGCCTCACTTCACTCAGGCGTGCCTCACCATGCGCCTAGGCTCCAAAGGATCTGTAGCGCCTTGCGCCTTTAATAACACTGGTGGCGTCTTTACCTTTCTGTTTTGATTCGTGATTTGTTCTTGGTTTGCTGCATTTCGTAACAAAAAAAAGATAAAATTAAGAAAATACCTTAAATATATAATTATTGAGATGCCCCTGGATATGGAAACTATTTTTAATAAAACAGTAATACGGCCAAACGAGTTCAATTAAAACCACCTAAAAGTGGTTCCCAATTATGTGATGCCAATTGTGGGTCCACTTCTTGGTGGTTTGGTCTGCATTATATGATTTCCTTTTTTCTCCAAGAACACACTTTAAAGTGTTGATCCTCCACCATTATCTTTTAAAGCATAAAACTTGAAAGAATTTCTCATCATACGGTTTTGTTGCTCACATTTCTGTTGTTATTCTTATAATTTAAAACAAATATAATGTATAAAGCTGATATATACTTCTTATCTACTAATCAGTTGTTTTAATCTTTTGTTGATGTGCAATTTTGTCTATGTATGATGCTAAAGTTTCTGATGTTGAAGTTTCTTTAGCTCCAAGTTATACAGTTCTGTTGAGAGTTGGTTATTTTGTTCTCTTTGCTGTGGGACCTTGAATTTATTTGTCAAGTTTTTGTTTAAAGTAATTTTAACAGAAGAACTGGTTATTTTTGTGCTTCTTTGAACAGAAATCAGTTGAAAGATCAACTTTTTTTGATGCCCGAGAAATCCTGTACATCAACAACCTTCTTGCTGGAGGCAGTAGTGATGTTGATTGATCCCAGACTTCCATGGGCTTGTAAGATAGTCAGCTATCTCCTGCAAAGAAATACGTACAATCTTTTGAGAGAGATAATTCTTACTGGGAAGGTATATTTTCATCCATCTATCCCTTCATTGATTTTGTTCGTTTATCATTTGTATATTTTATTTCATGTCTCCTGAACTTTCTTCTCGAGTACGCATATTTTGCAATGAAATGTCTCTCAAAGTATGGGTTTTGGATGAGGTATGTGTCTTTGCATTTTCAGGATGTTCTCTGATTGAGAATTGGAGAGTTGTGAAAGGCATGTATAACTTCAAAATGTATAATTCTTTTGTAAAACCTGAGATTTCCAAGGGCATTGCTCTGGGATGTTCTTTTACAATATATGTGATCCATTTGGTACCCTGAACTTCAGGATTTGGTGATATCATGAGTTTGTCAAGATTTTTTTATTTTTTATTTTTTTTATATCATGACTTTTCAGTGTTAAGTTTCTGTTTTGAAAATTTGAACTAAGTGAATCAAGACTTCTTGTCTGCTCTAAATGGGATTGTTAATAGATCTTCTCTTTGATGCTTAAGAAGAGATGGGCACATCATAATAACAAATGCAGTGGAACAAGATATTGTTCAAACGTTTTTTCTTTTGTGTTTCTCACTATAGAGAAGAAGAAAACTAACTTCCTTGCATGGTATCTCTCTTTTGACAATTACAGCCATTCCATTTGTTTACACCACCCCCTCCCCTCCCTCTTGTGAAATCTCTGCTCTCTGGGGAAGATACAACCGTAAAACTAAATTGTACTTGCCAAAGAAGACCTTTTTGTACACTTCCGAAAAATAACAATGTTTGCACTCTGGACAAAATTTGGCTGAAAATTCAAACTTGATAATTTCCAGTGTTCTGGGATATATATATGCTCATGGATTTTCCAGTGAGTTTGTACGACCTTTATTTTCAATGCTTGGTTTGTAATGGTTGATTGTAGATGCCGCCGGTTTGCTGGTAATATCTGGTGAGATCATATCCGGATAATGGCTATAGTCTCCCAAGGAGTTTGTGCACCGTCTTCATTTTCTAACTACCTGCAAGTTAACAGGCAACATTATAAGATGGAAACCTTCTCAAGGTTCTATTTTATGTTCATTTGCACATTTTAAGATGGAGACTGGCGGCCTTATATGGGTGCAGCTTAATTCAGGTTTAAAGTTGTTTCGGACATCTTTTTTTCCTTGTGTGCTTAACCTGACTCTAGTGAGCATGGAGTACTGCAACAAAATTGTTATATTTATACAATTTTGACATGTGGAGGGTTCTATGTAGCTCGCTTGAATTGTTGATTGTTTTTGCTTTTTGTAGGCTTGGTGATGTTTTCTGCACTTGGTGTGGTTGGAATTGCATTTTGTTGGCTGATACATGTTATCCTGTTCCATAATCTGATTATGCTCTGTTCGTTTTGTGATCTTTAATTGTTGTTTATTTAATGAACTGGTGACACTTGTGGGTCAAAACTAATGTTCATTGGACGAGTAGAACAATTTTACTAGTCAATTGTGAAAGGTTTGTTGGGATCATTAACCATGTGGTTCTCAAGTGGAGTTCGTACTTCTTTGAGGTCTTGGAAAAACTGTTTAGATTGAGATCGATTGCAAAAAAAAATTGAACATAATGTTACAAATTTAGCATTTTGAACTTCAAATCAGCGTGATATTTCAGTGTGAATTTCAAGAGCGAATTGGACATGCAATGTAATTTGAAATCAGTGGTGTTCAAGTTGTGATGACTGTGATTGTGTAGCAAATATTGAACAAAGTATTGATATTCATTTTTATTAAGTTCCGAGTTGGGGCCTGAATTTTGTTTGTCACACTATCAGGTTTTTGAGCCTCAGTTACTTTAGGAAGTCTACTTCATGGTTTCTTGATCTCTTTATTAGATCAAAATAGTCATATAAAGGCTGCTGTTTTGTTGCAATGGAGCTCTTGCTGAGCTATAGCCCCATCTGCACTATTTTACTTGCACTATTTAAATTATTTAAAAAGTAATTTATCAATTTTTTTAGTATAATATTACGTAATTTTGTTAGTTCAGAGATTTAGCTATTAATCTTTGTCATTCTTTCTATGTTTTGTTGTGTAATTGATGAGGTGCTTTAATGATGTGGTGTATTTTTTTCAGATATTTATTTTGGTAAGTAATGATGCAGTTTGATTTTGCAGGGAAGTGTAAGACTTCAAGGTTATGTTGGTGAAGCATCTTCATTGGAGCGTGTCCTAGCACTTATCATGTCTCATATCAGTCAGACCCCATGTATTTGTGCAAATATTGATCCCCGATGGAGTTTCTCATCCCAGATTCTTACAATTCCTTTTCTGTGGCATCTTTTTCCTTACCTAAAAGAGGTACTTTGGTTCACATATTTCGCCACCATTTTGAAATTATGCATTCGTATTTTATGTCTTGCTGATATTTAGAGTGTGCTAGCCTGCCAGGGAGTGCTAATAAGTAATCTTTTGCCAGGTTAACTACAACAGGAAGATATGATATTGGCTTCTGTGATTATTTTTTGCCAATTTATCCATATTTAATCTTGCTGCAGAAACTTTAAACATTCTTTCACTGACATTAGTCCATGAAAGGGATTTTTCTGTGTTTTATGGCTATTCAAACTTGTTTATGTTATAACTATAGTGTTCTTTTTTCTCTCTGTATTTAGGTTTTTGCAACTCCTGGATTGAGTCAACACTACATTCATCATATGGCGTTATGTGTGCAAAATCATGCAAATGTTCTGCCCAATGATATCTCTAATGAATTTCCTTGTTATGCCTGTCTTCTTGGAAATATACTGGAAACTGTTGGAGTTGCTTTTACTCAGCCTAACTGCTCATTTGATATGGTGAGGAAGTAATGTGAATTTGTTCTTTTGCTCCTTATATACACTATTATAATAAGGGATACGATCATAATTTTCGTATATTGCTGACTTTCATCTTTTCATAATTATAGAGATTAGACCCGGAGGTCTCTTTTTATGAAGGGAATATTTTTGGGCTTTGTTTAATTAAAAATGAACACTCATTAGTTCCTTTCCTATTTTATTTTCTTATAAGAGATATATTTTTTTATTATTGTATTTTATATTCTGCTTTATTTTGTTTTGTTTTGTTTTATTTTGTTTTGTTTTTGTTTTTTTTTTTTTTAAATTTAGGAATGGGCTTTTATTCATTTACCTAATGAGTTTGCATTCTTTATTAGGTGTATGCTCTATACTTATAGGAAAAGGCATGTACTGTTTTTTTTAAAATGACATGCAACATATAAATTACTTGGTGCAATTCTTTGACACCCTCCCATTTGTTGCTCAAATGTCTAGCCTATAAGTTTGTCATATATTCATTTATTGGTTTACAGAATTTAATTTCTTAGGGTTAATTGCAAAATAACCCCCTTAACTACAAGTTTTTAGCATGATACCCTCCTGGAAGAAGGCCAACACTATAACTACTGTTTGTTTGAGGTTAGCTGTATCGTGAAATTACTAATCTGACCCTGATATTTGAAAATTTTAATATGTATAAATAAAACCGAAAATAGTAAACTCAATTATACTTTTTAGGGTTAATTGCAAAAAATCCCCCTGGGTTCAGAGTCGGCTGAGATGTAGCTCATCAGATGGCGGATGATACCTTGGTTTTTTGTGATGCCGATGTCTCCCAACTTAGATATTTAAGGTGCATTCTTGTTTGTTTCCAGGCGGTTTCTGGGCTAAAGATCAATATTGGAAAGAGTGTGCTTGTCCTGGTAGGGGATGTTCTAGATATTTCCTCCTTAGCTACAGTTCTTGGGGGTGGGGGTGGGTGCTTTTCCTCTCCCTTATTTGGGATTGCCTTTGGGGGTTTCCTCTTGGAGGGTGGGGAGTTGGGATTCGGTGATCAATAGGTATGAGAAGAGGTTGGCAGGATGGAACAAACAATATCTGTTGAAGGGGGGGAAGGTCACTCTTATTCAGAGTACTCTCTCTTCCCTTCCTACTTATTTTTTATCTTTGTTTCAAATCCCATGCTCTGTCGCCAAAAGGATTGAAAAAATTCAAAGGGACTTTCTATGGGGTGGAAGGGGGGAGGAGTTCAAGTATCATCTTGTTAACTAGGAGCAAGTTTGCAAACCCTTGAAGTTAGGCGGTTTAGTCATCCGAAAGTTGGTTCCTTTTAATAGAGCTTTATTGGGAAAGTGGTTATGGAGATTCGGTAGGGAACGACATCGTCATTGGAGAAGGATTGTCTCGTGTCGTTTTGGGGAGGAGAGTGGTGGTTGGTTCTCCTGTCCAGTCTCTGTTGCGGGAGGTGTCGGCGTGTGAAAATTTATTCTGAAGGGTTGGGATGTCTTTTCCTCACACATCAGATTCAAGGTTCGTGATGATAGGCCTGTCCGCTTTTGGAAGGATTTTTGGTGTGGAGATCAGTTGTTGTCTTATTCATTTCCTAGACTTTATTGTATTGCCGAAAATAGGCATGCCTGCATAGCTGACTGTTATCCGCTTGATAGCAGTGGGGTTACGTGGGATGTGCGTTTTAGGCGTTCTTTTTAGGCTTGGGAGATGGACGAGGTATGTGTTTTTTTGGATCTGTTGTATCAGCAGAAGGATGTTGGCAGAGGTAGTGATGACATTTTGTGGGTCCTTTCCACTTATGGTAGATTTGGTGTTCGGTCCATGTTCTTTTGTTTGTCCAATTTCGATAGTCATGATTTCCCATGGAAGACTATATGGCGTTCTATGGCTCCACTTAGAGTTGCATTCTTTGTTTGGATTGCCATATGGGGCAAGATTTTGGCGTTGGACAATTTGAGAAAGAGAGGTAACACTATTGTTAATTGGTGTTGTCTATGTAAAACAGACGGTGAGTTTGTGGATCACATTCATATGCACTGTCCTGTAGTCCTCCATAGGACTGATTAACACATGGAGAAGATGCCCAGTGAAAAGTCACGCTCGTGACTATTGGAGGATAGTTCCACACTGTGTTTGGTGGTGCATATGGAGAGAGAGGAATAGGAGAAATTTCAAAGGAAAGGAATCGTCTTTGGCGACCTTGAAACTTCATATTCTTCGTTCTATTTTCTGTTATGCAAAAGGAAGCGCTTGCTTCTCGTCTGATGACGTAGTTGATCTTTTGGACTCTATTGGTCCTTAGGTTCAACTTCGTTTTTTGTATTAGGGACGCGTTTTCCTTTTGAATGCTCTTCTAATCGACTTTTACTTATCCAAAAAAAAAAAGAAAAAAAAAGAAAAAGGAAGCAAAAAATCCCCTGAACTATAAGTTTTTTGCAAGATACCCCCTTGGACTGAAATTTACCCAGTCAACTGTTGAAAAGTTGCAAACAAGGCAAAAACTCAAACTTCTGTTAGTTTGCGGTTAGCTGCATCGTGAAATTTCTAATCTGACCCTGATATTTATAAAACCAAAAATAGTAAACTCAATTATACCATGGCATTTCACAAAAGAAAATTGCATCTCTCTGTGTTCTCCCTCCCTGTATCTCTTTCAACAAATCTCACACAAAGTGAAAGATATTGCTCCCATGTATAGACGATCTCAAGTCATACAAGAAGTACTTTACGTACAGAATTAGCTATAACCCCTAATCAACATATAAGAGGTGATTTACAATTCCCTTGCAAGAGTGTTTGTGATCAATCTGAATCAAAGTTTGGTCCATACTCGTCATGGTCTTTGTCGCTCGTGTAATCATGTTAATTTTCCACGATGTTGTGTTGCGGCTCCAGCAGTGGATGAGGCAGCAGATTGAAACCTTTGGATTGCACCGTTGGGACAAACGACTTTGATGCTGTAACCAATTGGGGCTCCACATTGCAGAGTGCTACAAATTGCTAGATTTTTTCTTGTTACCTTTAGTCTCCACAGTACCAAATCCAGAATAGGTTTTGAGGAGAGAGCGATGTTGCATATTGGGTTGTTTGGTAGAGGGGATGGGAGAGAAAGGATACTTTGTGATTTTACAGAAAATTTGACATCACTTGATACTCTAGTCAAGTCTACATCTGAAGGACGGGATGACGGTGGGGGCTTTTGCAATTTTAAAAATTAGTAGTATAGTTTGGTTATATGCAAAAATTTATATTTCAAGGGTGTCTTTTGCAATAACCCTAATTTTTATTATTTTTTTACTCGACTGAGCATTGTTTTAAGTATGTGGTGTAAGCTATCATTTTCGAATTATGCTTAGCTGTTGTGATGATGCTCTTATTGAACAATATCTTACTCCATTGTAGCCACATATTAATATACATTTGTTTTTGTATCTCCTTTTCCTTGATGTTATACAACTATATACTAAATACAATATATCTTTTTTGAAGTAGTTTCTTGATGACGATTGTTATCGCACATGGATATTGTTTTTTTGGTTGCTCAACATGAATTGTTGGAATATTCAAATTCAAGAATCTAATAAGTTCCACCTCCTGGGCAGGCTTTAGACTTTGCAGCTGTCACAACATTTTTGTTGGGGGCACTTCCTCCTATGCAATCGTCCGATCGAGGAAGCACAGAAAGTATGTCTCATTACTTGTTAAGGAAAAAAAAGTATTTGTGTTATTTCTTATACTCCTTGTTTTGTTTTTTTCTTACAGGGTGGTCCTACTCTCTTATTTTGTTCAATTAAATAACATGTATTGCAGAACCTTAAAAAACGTTGCAGTTTTCTGGTCAGTACTTTGTCTAATCATATATTCCTGACGGTTTTGTACTTCAGATTCTCCGGTGGGTGACGATGATATGGAACTTGGTGATGAACTAACTGAAAAAGTTCTGAATAGGGATTTGGAACAACAGATTACCAATGCAATAGATTCACGTTTTCTTTTACAGTTGGTATGCAATCTTAACATGTCATATCCATTTTGAAAGTGTCATTAATTTATTAATCAAGATATTCTCTGCCTCTTGACTATGCAGCAAAATTTTGTATCTTTTTCTTTTTGAACAGACAAATGTTCTTTTTGGAGAGATTTCATTTGGCTCATATAAAGAAGGGCCCCATGAGAAAGAGGTGGAAGCTGTTGTTGCTGCTTGTGCTTTCCTGCACACAACCTTCAACATTTTACCCTTAGAGCGTATTATGACTGTGCTAGCTTATAGAACAGAGCTTGTTCCTGTGCTTTGGAACTTCATGAAGCGATGCCACGAGAATCAGAAATGGTCATCCTTGTCTGAGCAGACAGCTTATCTTCCTGGAGATGCACCTGGTTGGCTATTACCTTTGGCAGTTTTCTGCCCTGTGTATAAGTAAGAATATTCTGTTCTGGTCTTATAGGTAATGAACTTATGGCACAAATACAGAGAATCAGTCTAACACCCTTCTGTGATGTATCAGGCACATGCTTATGATAGTTGACAATGAGGAGTTCTATGAGCTGGACAAGCCTCTGTCACTAAAGGATATCAGATGCTTGATTGTTATCCTAAAACAGGTAATTTGTCTTTATTGTAGAATCTGGAGATCAACTCACCCCAAAAGAAAAAAAAAAAAATTGCTGATGGGATAGCTTCATTGCCGTAATAGAAGCTTTGGCTTGGGTGGCAGAATGCCACTGTGGAAACGGAATGCTGATATCTTTTGGAATCACAGACTAATTATAATTTGAAGCATCAGCTTGTAAATTGGAATTAGTTTTCCTTTTTCAGTTCTTAAACAATGCTTGATGAAAAGTGTATAGATCAGCAATGAAGTTTCACAGTATGCTAAGTGGCTATGTTGATTTGATATCATGTAGTACGGCATTCAATTGACATAATTTTGATGGATGGACTTGATCCTTTTTATAGGCCTTGTGGCAGCTTCTATGGGTGAATCCTGTGGCTCCCACTAACTTGTTGAAGTCTGCCACTGATGTGTTTGCTCTTAAGAGGCACCCTGTAGAAGTTATTCAGCATAGGGTTAGCCTAGTAGCTTCTGAGCTCCTATCGCAGGTAAGAGTGATATATTTTTTTTGTTTTGGTACGAATGATTTTTGTTAACAACCATCTACTGTAAAAGTTTTATCAAAAAAAAAAAATCTACTGTAAAAGTTTAAGCTTGCAAGAGGTTTGAACTCAGGGCCTTGCCTGCAGTGATACCATATTAACAACCATCTACTTTAATAATTTCATTATGTGAATCTCGAGTGTATTGATTGCTTCTTGAAAGGAGATGTTGACTCGTTTCTCTTTGTTAAAGTGTGTATGAAATAATATGCTCTTAATTTGTTGTATATACATACTGTTTTAGTTGCAAGATTGGAACAACAGGCGGGAGTTCACTCCCCCCAGTGATTTCCATGCTGATGGTGTCAATGATTATTTCATCTCTCAGGTAATAGCATAATAGCTTCTCAATTGCATCTATTGTCTAGGGACTAAAATATTTTTGGCGTTCTAATATGGTTTCATCTTTTTTCCAGGCTATGATAGAAAATACTAGGGCATATGACATACTAAGACAAGCTCCATTTTTGGTTCCATTTACAAGCAGAGTCAAAATATTTACTGTGAGTGATTAACTCATTACAAGTTTGTTTTTAAATTCTGTTTCTACTTGTAATAAAACTACAATAAAAAAGATTTGCCATGGACCATGGCTGTTATGGATGGCATTATTGTCTAAATTTTTTTTTTTCTAGAATTAATTTTCTTTGAAGCAAGCTATTCAATCCATTAAATTTTTTTTGTTTCACTTATTTGTTTTATTTTTCTTGGACTATTCGTTTTGAATGCATCTACTAGTCACAGTTAGCAGCAGTGAAGCAGAGACATGGGTCTAATTCTGTTTTTACAAGAAACCGGTTCAGAATACGACGAGATCATATTTTGGAAGATGCTTTTGATCAGTTGAGTGCATTATCTGAAGAGGATCTACGAGGACCGGTAATACCTTTATTTATTTCTTTAATGATCTGTTATTTGCAACTCTGAAAGATATGACTAGTCCTATCTGGTTGGCTATGTTCACACACATGTATTCTTGAAAAAGAGTTGTACTTTGTTTTATTTTTGTACCAATATAATGATTGTCTGCTGTTTGCATTCAGATTCGTGTTACCTTTGTGAATGAATTTGGAGTTGAGGAGGCTGGTATTGATGGTGGCGGGATATTCAAAGATTTCATGGAGAACATTACTCGATCAGCTTTTGATGTTCAGTATGGTTTATTTAAGGTTGTGCATTTATGTGGTTGTTAATGACCCCCCTCCCCCTCTTCTGGAAACTCCATGCCCAAAGTGCATGCATTTTCTCTCCAAGTGATTAACCCTATGCATGCACACAAACATGAACATGACACATTCATGTATTATATCTCTGATATATTAAAAAATAATATTATTATATATTATGTATTTTTTAAATAATGTTTTATAATATCTGTATCTATGATTGTCTACTTATACTTCGTAAACATTACTTTTTTTAGATAAATGTTGGCTCTAGAGCAGAGCTTGAAAAAACCATTGCATAGTATTAAGAGCTGCAACTCTCTCTCTCTCTCTGTCTCTGTCTGTCTGTCTGTCTCTGTCTGTCTTCATCTGATTATAATAAGTCATCTACTTGATGAATCCTTATTAATGATATTATAGATCTGAAAATGGAAGAATCTTTAGTATACCAAGTTCTTTTTTTTTTTTTTTTTTTTTTTTTTTTTTTTTGCAAAAGCTAGACAAAATGTTAATTCTGCAATATGTTAATATTTTTATTAGATGTTGGATCGTTTGTAAAAGCATTTTCCATTAGGGATCTCTTCTAAGTCGAGAATTGGATTAGCACAATGGGTTGTGTCGGTTTATCTGTTTAGCATAATATGTTTCTTCTAGCCACCTCAATATTTGGAACCTGAACAATTAATCACTCTTTTTGAGAATCTGGTTTACATTGATTTTCAAATTGTTTGATTCAACAAGGTTGGGAATCTTTATGAATGGGGCCTGGGATATATGCAAACCTGCATATTGCTGACGCATGCTAGTTCTACAAAGGAATCACTTGATGTTACACAACACAATCTCTGAATTGTTTGTGTTATATAGAATCTTAAATGGAATGAGATAAGCATGTCAATTTTGTTATGTTTCATAGGTTTTTATTTTATTATTATTTTTTTATGCTGGCGTATTGATTGTGTTAGTTGTTGCTAAATGTGAAGTTTGGTTTTGGCTGGAGCTGACACCAACCAAATAATTAATACTCGGAAAGATCCAATTACCTAAATGGTGTAGTAGTATAACTCAAAAATATAGTCTTAAGAAATTATGTGGTGATTATTGTCATTGAATTAGAAATTAAAGTTTGGTTCATGGAATCAGCAAATTAGTTGTTATGGCCTAGCGGATGACCATGTGGTAGCCATGTTACTATCCGAGTGGTGCATGCTTGTTACGGTGTCATTTGTCAACGAGTAGGTATTTTCCTTTCGTGCCTACTGCTGATAAGTTTTTGTTGAGTCATCTATGTAACATCTTCCGAAATTGTATTATGTATTTTCGGAGACGATGGGAGACCACGATATTGACGATGGACACACTATTTATAGGGAAAAAAAACTATCAAAAATTGGTTGATGAAGGTATCCAAGGTGACTTCAGATTAAGGGAATATCAGCATTATTATCAATGCTTCATTCCAGTAATTGAGGTATAATAAAGGTTTGGTATGTGGGAGGTAGAAAAGCTCTACGCATTATAGGAATTTGAAATTCTGGGGAGAGTTTCTTTTACCTTAGTTTACCTAGTTGTTCAGGTATTTGAACACTAAGTACACTTTATTTATTGGCCCCAGAAAACCTATCTCAGTTACTGATGGATAAAAATGATGACTCAAAAAAGTTGAATTCCAATGGGGAAAGATCAGGGCAACAGTTTTTTTTTTAGGGGGGGGGGGGGGGGGGGGGGGGTGGTGGGTGTGGTCTCTGATGTAGCCATTAACAAAAGCCGTTGCATTTGTAAAAAGTTCTTTGGAATATCATATTTGAGTAGTAAAATTTAATATTGAAAATCTAATGGTATGCTTAGTTGTTTTAAAACCTGTAATGGGAATATCGGTATATGGACCACTATATACTTGTACATATCTATTGAACTGTCCTTGTGTTATTCTTAATTTTTTTCCTGGGTATATAAGTTCTCTTAATTTTCCTCCTGGGCTCACATTCAGGAAACAGCTGATCACCTACTGTACCCCAATCCTGGATCAGGAATGATACATGAACAACATCTACAGTATTTTCGTTTTCTTGGAACTGTTCTTGCAAAGGTATGATGTTTGCCTTCTATGTCTTATACTCAGAATGTGATTTTTTTTTTTTGGTGTGTGTGAAAATTTGAGTGCAACTGCTTGTAATTTGTGTGCCATTTACTTTGTTATGTATGAAGCAAACACATTAACATGTCTGACCTGAACTTAACATGGGCAGCTAAAGTTTACCATTTGTTGGCTCCCAAATATGTTGTACCCAACCTTGGCAATCAAAAAATTGAATTTGGACTGGATCAGGGCTGATCCTAATATGACCTGTTAACAAAAACATTCATTCGGATCCAATCTGTATTCCTTGCATCTCTTTGATCTCAATCCAAATCTGATTTATTTAACTGTTGGATGTATGATCATTAATCCGTCCAATCCAAGAAAGTGATAGATGAGAATCGAAAGGTGGGAAAAAAGGAAATAAAACAAGAAAGGAGTACAATGTATACATATACATATGAAAGTATGTTTGGGAATGGAGCAAGCCACTGAGGGAGAGCAAAAGAAGCAGTGAGAGATAAAGTACAGTGAGGCCAAATGTTGATGCTTGGTTATGTCATTAGTGGCCAGAAACCTCTCATTTAGAATCTAAGTAGCACAGACATGGACACGATAATGAGTGGATACGCCAACATGTCAAATCTTAAAAAATTATTACGCGAACATTGTTGGACACAATTGTATTTAAATATAATTTTTTATTTATTTATAGTAATTTTTAATTTATATACTTAGAGATATAATTTAGAAGATGAAACATCATAAGAAATATTATATTACATACGGTACTACTCTCCTATGTTGTCATTACAAATTATATATATTTGTCATAAATGAAAGTGTTATTTTTCGCTCGACCGGTGCGGCCATGTGAGTAATGTAAATTTTCTTGAAGAAAATTGGTTGGAATATATTGTTTCCAAGATTGTCAGATGTGGCTACCCCTAGACATGTTTGTGTTGTATAAGCCTTGTGTTGTGAGCGTCTAAGATGTGTCAACTAAGTGTCCATGATGTGTCGGGTAAGTGTTTGAAATAATTATATTTAATTATAATTAAAGGCACATTCATGAAGTGTCGAACACGTGTCCAGGAGCATCCATGAATTGCTATGTTCGAGCCGTGTCCAACTTTGGGTGACATTTTATAGAAGTGCCTTCTTGGTTAAAAATCAAAGAGGAGTGAGTTGACTCTCATCGTTGAATATTTAAACAAGGAAATCTAGATTTTATCTTTTATATCTTATTTATGTCACTAATTATCCCTACTGCTTGTATGAGAGAGACTTATATATAAAGGGCTAGCCTAGTGCACGAGGCTCTCGCCATTGCAGCGTCTAGGGAGGGTCAAATGCATGCAGTCTTACCTCTGCATGCGGAGAGGTGGTTTCCGTTGCAAACTGTGATCTCTAGGTCACAATGAGACAACGTTATATATATATATATATATTATTTTTTTGATAACTGCGTGTGTATATATATACATATTATGAAGTAGTCTTTATCATTTAAAGGTGGGCTGTGTGTGTGTTTTGGTTGGTTGGTGGGTGGGGGGAGGGGAGTGCTCTTATAGGATGGATTAGGGCTGGACCAGATCATACATAACTGACATTTGAACCTTTTGTTAATAAATCTAATGGATTTTTGGACCCACTATCAGATTATCAGAGCAACGTCCTTTACCATATCATATAAATGAATTGGATTAGGATCAGAAACCAAGCATTAACATGCCTACACCAACCCTAGAATCGTCACTCTACGACTTTTTGTTTTGTGACGATCATTTTATGAATTTTGGAGGTTATTATTTTTTGTTTGGCAAGATGTACTCTATTTATTTCAATGAGTTGAATTTTGAAAATCATTTATAGCTATTATCTGCACTTTACTACAAGAATATGAGTATATGACTTTTTAACTCCTAGTTTTCTTCTTTTTGTGTCCAAACTTTATGCTGGATTTCTTATAATGTAAATAATAAAAGGTACTCCCTCTGTACCAAAATAGTTGGGTACTTTGGAAGCTGTGACATCACAGTTCCCAAAGTACCCAACTATTTTGGGATGGAGGGAGTATTTATTTTCTTTTTGTGCATTTGAATTGTTTTTATATTGTGGCCCTGGATAAGTAGAGTTGCATTAAAAAACGTTTCAGCCAACCTTAAAGAGTTGGAAGTTTTGAGTTGTAGGGTGTACTCATGGCCAGTATCCCATAATTTCTCAACAAGTGCTTTGCTGGGAATGAATGATCGGAAAAAAATCAACTCCCAAGGAGTATCTTATGGACGATGTCTCATGTCTGCATGTATTTAATTATCATCTTGCTATGATAAGTATCACTTTGAAAGGTTAACTGCTCCAGCCACAGCTTGTTAATTTAGCCATTTGATTCTTTTGCCATGTACTAATTCTTATCTTACCCAAACTGTCATTTCTTGTGGAACTTTTTTTATGCACCAACTTTGTGTAGATTCTTGTTTGGCTGTTCTTTTGATACCAACTTTAGTTTTTCCATAATTATTTTTTCTTACTAATCACCATTCTGAATTAGTAAGCTTATCATATCCTTTCTCATGTTCTTTATATATATTCTATCAACCAAACATCTCTGTTTGATTGCAACTTAGCTTTTACAATGTCGCATTAATTGGTCGATGTGCTCTCAAATGTTTCTCTTATGGTCCTTTTACACGGCTGTGTTGCTTTCGTTGTTTAGGCAATGTATGAAGGCATTCTTGTTGATATACCATTCGCAACATTCTTCTTGAGCAAATTGAAGCAAAAGTAAGGTTTCAGAAGCCCAGTCTCAGCACTTTGATTCCTTGTTTTCATATTTATTAATTGTGAAAACTGCCTATAGTTATAAACTAATCTCTATCCAATTCTTGTATTAGAAACCTTGATTTTTCTATACAAGCATTTCATTGACATATTAATTACACTAGCTGTTTTTGAACATCTATTTTTCATGAACTTATTTATTTATTTATTTGAATTGCAGAAGTTAGACTTATTTTACTAGGATATGAAAATTATTGCTGAACTATGTTGTTGTTCTATTCCAATATTGGAGTTCAGAGTTGACTCCTAAAATATTGGAGTTCAGAGTTCACTATTAAAATGATGCACCAGGCTTTGTTGCAGGAATTCTATACATTAAGTGAAGCTCTCTCTCCAGTTTATATTTCATAAAATAACACTGATATAATTTGAGATAAGTCTGAGCACTGTAGTATTACAAAAAGTTTTATCTATGGAATAGTTGCTAGGAAGTAAGGAAAGGCAATTCCAACTGGAAAACGTTGCATACAATGAAGAAATTATGCAGTTTCTTCTTTCTTAGATCTAAAAAATTTTCAAATCTTAATAAGAAAAAGAGAGCGGGCATGTAGATATAGTTATGCAAGTTTGATTATTCTTCTTTATTAATTATGTTGTGTTTTTTTACTTTACTTTTACCTCTTATGGTTGGTTTCCCTAATATCATATTTTCACCACAGAAGTAGGTGTTATGGGTGTTTGCGTAGCATGGGTACTTCTCACACACCATAATATTTTGCTTCATAACTTGCTTCTACTTTCTGCATTGAGGTCCACGAGCATTGGTTTACTACATTGTAAATAACAGTGTTTTAAGATGCAAATTTGGTCCACACTCCACATGATATTTATACCTTTTATATGTCTTTTACTTGAAAGGGGTGCTGCCATTTTGTTTTTGGATCATAAACAAATTGTTGACAAATATCCTCTCCATCAAGAGGATACCTTTTACAATGAGGACATTAGAAATAATTTAGATTAGTACACTATTTGGTGTTTGGGCTGGAGATGGAATAGTCTTTTACTTCATTCGTGCTCCCTGGCATATTCTTTATGATAGAGCCTTAACTTTCTACATACGAGGCTTCTAATATGCTACCTTTTACGAGAGCAATCTGAGGCAGTAGCTTCTAATTCTTCTCAACGTTGAGTTATAACTTTTGAAGAGAGAGTCCTCTTTAAAATCCTCTCATAGAACTAATCTTAGCCCCCCATATAGGCCCCTTTTTTTTTAATAGTAAGTTTACTACTAAAAAAATTAGTCTTGGAAAACTACAAAAAATAAAAAAATAAAAAATAAAAATTGTTTCATTAAATTTTAATAAGGCTATTGTCCTCTCTTGTATTTTTCAAGATTTACAATGTTTTTAGTCTTCCTACACTAGTGGTTTTAGTAGAGGATTGAAGGTTTACGTTTTTTCTGGGTCCAGCAAGATGTGTGCATTATAAACATAAAGCTACTAGAAAACACTAATACCATAATGATTTCTACTTGGGAATGCAAGTTCAATGACATAATACACCTACGTGCCAAAATACTAAATTCAATTCAACTCAATAGAACTTAATAATGCATTTTCTTAAGGTTGGCTACATGAATTCTTTTTTTTTTCTTTTCTACCCCACTCTATCCAAGTTCATGGCCTCAGATAAAGCACATGATATCATTTTTTTTCCCAACTGCAGCAACTATTGGTTGCTGTTGCACATGTCCAAACCATCTTTAATTGGTTCTCATTTTATTTCCTATCGGTTGCACTTCAATCATCTCATGATGTGTGTATTTCTAATTTTATCCTTTTTGGTCTTGCCACACATATCCCAATATTCAGATTTTTGTCACCCATTTTATGGAATATTTTATTTATTTTAAATTTTGTTTAATTTTTTATTTTGCCACTTAACAGTTTGTCCCATAAAATATGGCTGGTATAATAAATTTAGTTATGCAAAAAAGATCGTCAGGTAACAGCATTTGACATGGTTCATTTTGAGGGTAATGCTTTAAAAACATGGGGTAGAGTTAGTAAGAATAGATAGATAACATATGGTTTGACTCTGGTTATGGCCCTAGATAGAGTTTAATGGAAAAAAAAAACAAAATGGAAAAATAGGATTTATGTAGCTAACCCCAAGTAGTTGGGAAAAGTCTTCTTTGTTGTTTTTGTAATTATGATAGTCCATATTTCATTGATTCTAGATCTATCCAAAAAAAAAAAAAAAAAAAAAAATCATTGATTCTAATAGTTTCTTAATTTGGATATGCTTGTGAAAGATGCATCGAATTTTGAATCTAAGTCTCCTTTTTTGACCAATATGAATTTAGTAAGATAACAGTTCTTGTAAGAGTTATTTTGTGCTTTGTTTGGTTTACTTCTTTGGAATTAGGCGTTTTTTCAACTTTGTTTAAAGAAAACTAACAGTTAAATGAGCTTTAGCACTGTTTTGTGTTTTCTATTCTCTTTTCAAGCTGTCTCTTTATTTCTTGTATCTTCCATTTTTATACTTTGGTTGGTTGGATGGAAGGAAGGAGGAAGGATGGAAGATACTTCCATCGTTTGGTTGGAAGGAAGGGAAGAGAGGGAGGAATGGAGAGGGGTGAAGCATCCCTCTTGGCCCACATTTTATAATTCCTCCAAAATTAGACGGAAGAGAGGAGGGAAAGAAGGATAAACTGCTCCATAAATATGGAATACTATTTTTACCCCTTAATTATTTACTAAATTACTTTGTTTAGCCCTACTAATTTGGAATGAATATTTGTTTTTCATTAGTTTATATAATGAGGGTGTACTGGTGTAAAAAAAAAATATAAATCCTCTCATTTCCTTCCAACCAAACAATGAAAGGTGTTACCTCATCCATCCTTCCCTTCCATTCAACCAAACAAAAAATGAGGGTGATACCTTCCCTTACCTAGGGATGGAGCATCCATCTCTCCCCCTCTACCTTCATCCAATTTTCCATCCCTCCTACCGAACGGTGCATTAATGTGTTTTCTAAATGCTTTGTGGTTTATAGAATTTTTAAAATAAGCAATCTTGTTGGGTCAAGGTTCACATTGCATCTATCAGTAAAGTTTAGCCCTTTTCACTCTTTCAATAACTTTTTATTTTTCAAAAAGCCTAAATTTATTGAATGAAGGCTAAGCATTGTAAAATTTCTTTTCTCTCACACACACGAGTACTCATACATGTATATAGGTTTTGTATGTACATTGAGTTTGCAAACCATCTTTTGGTGTTATTGAAGAATTTATGTTGCCAAAGATCTATAATATTAGCATTGTATTGTCCAAAGTTGAATTTTAGTTTTTAAAAACTAATTGGTGCATGAAATAATTTGAGTGTATTTGGACTGTTGGTGTGCTTAACATTCCACTTTCCTTTTAATAGATATGATCTCTTAGAGAATATTTTGTTTGCTCGACTTATTTTTATTTGTTAGCATTTTGGCATGTAGCTCTTTGTTATCTGATTTTGGTGTATCCTTGATTTTGTTGCTTAGGTACAATTATTTGAATGATTTGCCTTCCCTGGATCCAGAATTATATCGCCACCTTATTTTCTTGAAGGTGATGTCTCTGTCTCCACTCTGCTTGATTCTCTGTAGCTTATAGTGAATCCATTATGATTCATTTGTTTTTTTTTCCCTTCATCCAATTCCTTTTTTCTTGCTCATTATCTTATGTATATAAACGTAAGTATGCATATAAAGACATGAGAGAATCAAATATTTATGAAATGAGAGAGAACCATTTTATCTTCCATGGCATTTGAAAAAATCAACCTTCTTGAATAGTCATTAATAAAATTGAAATGGAGCTAGTGACACAAATCACAGTATCAAAGGTGGGATCATATCATTTCTTGAGAAGTTGAAATCCATTAAAACGATCTTCTTTGCATCCATTGGTAGAATGGACTTACGTGCCATGAGTAAGAATATGGATTTGCTTAAAATGATTTGCAACATGCGGTGTAGTGATTTCTTATGATTATAAGTATTTATTTTGGACCCAACATTTTTTCTTGGTTGTGATGTACAGCATTATGAAGGTGACAATTCGGGGTTAGAATTGTACTTTGTTATTGTGAACAATGAATATGGGGAGCAAACAGAAGAAGAGCTGCTTCCAGGAGGAAAAAACATACGTGTCACTAATGAAAACGTCATCACATTTATTCATCTTGTAGCCAACCATCGGTTAAATTTTCAGGTAAGAGAAGGGGGAGGGGGGGTGTGGGGGGTTGTGTTGTTTATTTCTGTTTTTGTTTAGTTTCTTCTTAAATTTTATCATCATCATGTTATCATGACGTTATATTATTTTCAGATACGCCAACAAAGTTCTCATTTCTTGAGAGGATTTCAGCAACTTATACAGAAAGATTGGATTGACATGTTTAATGAGCATGAGCTTCAGGTATTGTGATCGTCCATGTCTACATTAAGTGTTCGCTGATTGCATCTCATGATTACTTTTCACTCAAATAGTTGCATGGTTGCTAAAAGATCTATATAAACATATAACTATTAGCCAAAGTACATTTCTTATTGAAATTCAAAACACGGTAACATCATTCATTTAGTGCAATGCACTCTGGTTTCTGTTGGGTTTGTTTGTCTTTCTACGTGACGACCACCGTAGCTTTTCAAATAGTTTAATTTGGAACTGGGTGATTTTTGTGAAACACCAAGGGCTGTAGCCCAGTGGTATCTACTCTACCTCCCAAAGTGGAAGGTTTGTGGGTTCGAGTTCCCATCCCCATAGGGGTAAGAGAGTGTGATGTTATTTTCTTTCTGTATTGCAACTGATGCATTATTAAACACTGTGAATTAATACAAAGAACTGACTAAATCCGAGATGATAGTTTTGCCTTTATGTTTTATTTTTTATTTTTTATTTTTGTGGGGGGGTTGGGGGGTGGGACTGAAGAAGAAAAGGTCATTTCTGGGTGTAGTTAAAAAAAAAAGACTTCCCTGAACTATGTTTATTTCATCTTGCCCTCCATGGACATTTTGGTCAACAAAACAGGCCATTATTGTCTCAGCACAAAAATTTATTTTCACAGCTGCCATTACTTTTAAAACATCAAATTGATGGAAAGGGAATTTTTTGGCTCTAGATTCTATGGTTGAGATGTTTATTTGACCCAAAATTCGTTCAAGGGAAGCAATATGAAAAATAAATAAATAAATAAATAAATAAATATATATATATATATAGGGGGGATTTGTGAAATTAATCCTTTTAAATTCTAGTTGTTTTCTGCTGATGTTCGGATTTTTTGCAACTTTTCTTTCTGAGAAAAGTTTTTAGAACCTTGATTTATTCCTTTTGAGTCTCATATTCATATTCCATAAATGTTTCTGTCTTTATTTAGCTTCTAATATCAGGATCAATTGATGACACAAATTCGTTCAAGAGAGCAATATGAAAAAATAAATAGAAATTTATTTAGGGGGGATTTGTGAAATTAATCCTTTTAAATTCTAGTTGTTTTATGTTGATGTTCGGATTTTTTGCGACTTTTGTTTCTGAGAAAAGTTTTTAGAACCTTGATTTATTCTTTTTTCTCTCGTATTCGTATTCCTTATATGTTTCTTTCTTTATTTAGCTTCTAATATCAGGTTCACTTGATGGTTTCGATATTGATGACCTCCGAGCTCATACTAATTATGTGGGTGGCTACCATAAAGTAAGTTCTCTCTCTCTCCCTTTTTCTTTTTTTTTTTTTTTGCGTGTGATGAATGTGTATTTGGGAAGTAAAAGGAATTTTATAATACTTTCTATAGGGGAAGATTGGTTTAGGCCCAATCTTTACATTAACAGAGTAAGGGAGGACACCTTTATAACGTCAAAAGCAAAACGGGCCTAAGACCCAAAGGTGGGTGAAATGTACGATTTCTTCCAAGTTGAAGTATGTTACCAAGCCACCAAACTTATTCCAGACCGAAATCAATAGCCACTCTGCACAATATTGGCTTCTTTATAGGCATGAATCACCTGACAGCAACAGCTTTTGAGCAGCATTTTCTTATGATGACCTGGTCGAGAGAGTACTATACATCAGTGTAAAAGATTTCGTTGGATCTGTGAGGTTGGTTATAGTAAGGGCCTGGCCGGAAAGAAAGTGTTCTTGCCTCTATCATTAGCTCGGGTAGTCCCAGTTTCTGGTGTTTTGGTCAGCTTTCAATGGCTCCATTCTCCATGCTTTGGCCAGGCTTCCACTCAACAAAAAATCTGTGATATATATATATTTTTATTAGTTGATACTCCCCGCTCCTCCTTTTCCAAGGGGAATTGTTTGCATCCAAGAGAAGTTGAACCTTAGACTTGATGCTTCATGAGGCGCCAGAGCCAAGTGACTTACCCACTTGAGCCAACCTCTTGGGGTTAAAATCTGTGCTGTTTAAATCCACATCGACTGTTTTAGCATTTATTGGAAAAAGAACTGTTCTCCCGGTTTTGTTTTTAAAATGGAAACTTGACTAAATATACTTTATAGCTCAGTGGCTGGATTAAGACATTTAGATTTTGGTCTAACTCATGTAGGTCTGTGTTTACAAATAAAATTCATGGCTTTGTATTATGAAAGGTTTAATGTTACGGTTAGAATCTCAAGCTTTTAACATTGGTATTTAATATTTCTATTGGCAGGAGCACTATGTCATTGAAATGTTCTGGGAAGCTCTCAAAAACTTTTCGATGGAAAATAAGCTGAAGTTCTTGAAGTGAGTTCTATCATCTGTTGTTTATTTCCCTTCTGACATTTGGGCTGTATAAAATGCTACACTGTGTGGCTGTTACAGTGATTTTGTGTATGATTTTATTCTGTAATGTCCTCCACACACTCCAAGTTGTTCCGACCTTCACACCATATATATTTTTTTCACTTGGTTCTCTTTTCCATGATTTTTTTTTTTTTTTTGGATAAGTCTCTTTTTCGTACATTTTTTGCTCTCTGTTCTTTTTAGGTGTGGATGGTGGAATCTTATATTTTTTAGTATCTTTAATCAGTGTGCTTCTCTTTGTGCACACGGGTTAATAAAATGAACATGGAAAGTTTTTAAGAACCCATGTAAATGCTGGAACATATCCTGTTTTATTCGATTAACCATGTTGAGTTAGTTTAATGGTGCAACTAGATTAGTGTTACAAGGGGAGACTTGTCCCACATCGGATCCGGATGGGAAAGTGATTGGGTATAAATTGGTGGGTATGCAACACTACCCAATAGCTTGAGTTTTTAGGTAAATGGGTAAGCGCCCACATGTTACAGTTGGTATCAGAGCTAGTCACGCAAAGCGCCCGGCTCGGAAGGTTTCCAGGTGGGCCTCCCAGGTATGCAGGGTGGCCCTACCGCAACGAGGGCGTTGCGAGCTTGGTTGAGGGAGAATGTTACAAGGGGAGACTTATCCCATATCGGATCCGGATGGAAAAGTGATTGGGTATAAATGGGTGGGTATGCAACACTATCTAACAGTTTGAGCTTTTGAGTAAATGGACAAGCGCCCTCTCATTATAGTTGAGCTTGTCAACCTTTCCTATTGTGTCTAGATATAGACACATACAGGCCAGTTATGGGCAGTTTTATCTAAGTTCCTATAAATTGGGTTACAGGGGGTTTGGATTAGGCAGAGAGTGTACATTGTTGTGTATTCAATGAGTTGTGTCCTTTGTATTTTGTTCAATAAGATCAAAGGTTGGGACTTTGTCACTCTGTGTGCCTATATTTGTGTTTGTGTATTGTGTGTGTGTTGTGTTGTGTTGTGTTGGCTGAGACTTGGTGGCCTCAAGTGCCATTACTGAGGAAAAAATTTGCTGTGTAATTTGACCCTGTAACAATTAGCATAGTGAACACTAACTGGTAGATTGGCGATAAATTTCCAGTTAAGAATTGTCCCAAGTCCTAAAAAACGTGGTTAATCACCTTCTTGACAGTTGTTTTATAGACTGTGAGGTGGAGAACTGCATGGAAAATAGAAGAAGAAAACTTCTTATCAAAAGATTGATAAAAAAATGGAGGGGGGGATGATGTAGGAAGAAAATAAGGAACATATACAAGTCCTTCTAGAAACTTTGATAAACATTATATGAATGATAGAAAAGTCAAATTTGTTAAATTTTGAGAGTAAGGTAAAAACTTGTAAGGAAATTGTAGTAGTTTCCGAGAAAAGGCTTACGAAGCATGTAAGATTCTAGAAACTTGTTTCTATGACCTTCCAAAGCATTTTGCAAGCATTTATAGAAGAGACGTTTTAGTGGAGATTGGTGGGTTTGAATAGAGTAGTTGTCTTAAAGCAGTACATTAATTTTACTTATAAATTAAAAGCAATAGATTAACTTCACTGTAACTTATAAGAACTTTCTTTAGACTCCACTGTTACACGTATTCTCACTATTATGGAGTTATTGGCATGGAGATAGATATGCTACAAAGTGATTGTCTAATTTGTCTCTGAGGGCCACTTGGGAGAAGAATTCAAATATCACTTGATTGCATAGGTTGTGTGCTCTCCCTTCTAAGCAGGAGATCGGGAGAGTATTCAACCAAGCATCCTTGGGAAGGGGCCACCAAGATTCACTGTAAAGAGTAGTTTCTGAAGGAAATTTGGGGTCACAAGAGGTGACTGGACCACAAGGGAGGTGCACAGCTCTTAGTGTGTGGATTTCTTTGAGAAGTAACTATAAAAGTGGTTGCATGAGTCTCATAAATGATAAACATTTAAACAGGCAGTGTGACTTGTGGGAGTTTTTGGCATGATGAATTTTCTGGGGAGGTAGTAATGAAGTTCTGTTTTGTGTAGAGTAATTAAGGAAAGAATACAATAACATGTGGTTTGACTGGAGTTATGGCATGAGGTAGAGCAAAATGTAAAATAGGATTCATATAGTTGACTCCCAAGTAGTTGGAAATGAGCTCTGTTATTTATGTTGACTTACACCAATTAGATAATTAGTTATTGACATTGTGCATGTTGTGTACTTGGGTTGCATGTCCTTTTGGCACCCACCCATTCTTGTATTACTTTGACATATCGAGGGAGGGTGAAAAAAAAAAAAAAACTAGCTCTATTAGTCAATTAACTTCTTTGCCATAAAGAAGCAGGTTCTTTTTTTGAAGATAATTATTTGGATTTTGAGAACTTTCCTGGATTGCATAGTTTGTGGAGCCATCTGATGTGATTTCCAAGCCAATTTTAAGTGTTAGTAATTTGCATTTCATTGTATAAGATACAGCTTCTGCTTTAATACATTTCATTGGCATGAATAGCCTAATTTACATTTGTCTTGCAGCTTTTAAAAATCTTCAAGAACTATGGGAACTGACCATGCCTTACTCTCTTCCCTTATTAATTTATTTATTTTGTGCTTTTTTTTCCTTTTCCCTTTTTGCAAGGTTTGTGACTGGGTGCTCTCGAGGACCTTTACTTGGATTTAAATACCTGGAACCCTTATTCTGCATACAAAGGTAACAGTGCTGTATGTGAGGTTCCTCGATGTTCAGTTTATGATTTATTTTATTTTATTTTTTAAAAACCCTGTACTATACAAGTTATGCAAGTCTACCCTCGGATTGAAATTTACCCCCCTCAACTATTAAAAGTATGCAAGATTTTTTGTTCGGAGCAGGGCATCTTGCAATCACTTCTTATAATTGAAGGTGGTGATGTGCAATATCTTTAGTTCAGTTTAGGTTCCAAACCAAACAACACCACCACCACCACCACCAACAACCCCCCCCCCCCCCCAAAAAAAAAAACTTTTCTATGTAACTTCTTCAGTTCTCTATGATCTATTTTCTTATTATTATTTCTTTGCATAGGACTGCTGGTAATGCTTCTGAAGAAAGTCTTGACCGGTTGCCAACATCAGCTACTTGTATGAATCTTCTAAAGCTTCCTCCATACAGAAGGTTTGTCACTGCTCTAATATCTTGTACAAGAAGAACAGTCTTTACTTTTTGCTATTTTACCTGAAAAGTGTACCGGCATACCACTGATGAAAAGAAACATATACTGTTAAGCGGCAAGCGCGCGCACACATGTGTGTGGAGAGAGAGAGAGAGAGACAGACATACTATAGCTCTTCACTGATTTTTATATAAAAACTCTTTGTGCAGTTCTTTGGAAGATAATATTTTGGGTTAATTTCACTGACACCCCCCTCAAGTTTGGCCAAATATCACCTTATAACTTCTTTCAAAAATAACTATCACTCGTATTACAAACTTTTGCTCCGTTTTTCACTCACACCCCAACCGTTACTTGCACAGTTCTGACACAATGTAAAATGACTTAAATATCTTTTGACTTTGTCAAAACAACTCTTTAACTTAAATAATTAGATCAAAGACAAATATCCCTAAATATTTTATAAATTTACAAATCATATTATATATCTTTATTGTCTCTTATGTTATATATATATATATATATATATATAGTATGTTATATAGTATTATATATTATATTATATATATGTATATTATATATATATGTAATCTTTTCGCTGGATCCGTGTATTGGCGGGTATGCGGGTGGCGGTGGTAGGTGGGTTTAATAATGAGGGTATAATGGTCATTTAAGTAACTTGGTATTTAGGAATAAATGGGATTAAAAAATTAGGGGCAAAGTTGCCTTTTTTTATGTTTTTAACGGAGACCGTGACAGAAAAGTAAAAATGGACCTAAGTAATAGTTATTTTCGAAAGATGTTTGAGGGTGATATTTGGCCAAACATATGGGGTGTCGTTGAAATAAAACCTAAAATTTTTTGTGCAAGATATCGATCCTTTTTTGTTCTCTCTATTTAAAAGATTATATTATTTATTTATTGTGTTTTTGTTTTGTTTTGTTTTGCACCTGTCATTTTCTATGATACATGGACTTGAGTTTGTGTATTGGGTGCTGGTAGCATCAGGCCTCCGTGAATTCCTGATTGCAGGATATGTGACTTGACTTGAAACATGTTCAAAATTGTAAATGAGTGCGTAAACACATTCTGCATGTTTTAATACATTAGAGATTACTTCAATTTTTCATTCGCTTCTTGATTTCATATTGCGCTGCACTCTTGGTTGTCAAATTAAAGACCTAAGGCCTAAATTGATATCTAGCAAAACCTATTTTCATGGGCTTACATCTCTTGTAAAATACTTGAAAAAGGTTTTTTTGCCAAACCAAGTTATCATTCTCCTTCCCTTGAAATTTGTGTCTCTGCATCTGAAAGTAGTGTTCAGCCATGCATTCTGAGCTGTCTTTTACGCTATTTACTGGGCTTATTGCTTATTTATTTTGTTGAATTATTAGACTATTTTGGGTCCTCATTCTCTATGTAAACCTATTTCTCGCTAAAAATGTTCACGGTCACAAAATGTGTTCATGGTGCAGCAAAGAGCAACTGGAGCAGAAATTGTTGTATGCCATAAATGCGGATGCTGGATTTGATTTGAGCTGAAAGCTTTGTTATTTCCTGTCCTACCAAATGCTATGCTTCGGGTTCATTGAGAAAGCATTTTGACAAACACAATACCATGATGGTCTGTTCAGTGCACTACTCCGTTCAGAGTTGTCCGAGGACCATCAGAGCTGAATAGGACACAGCTCAGAATATCGGTAAACATCAACAGGGTGAAGGGTGCAGAGGAAAGCAATGTGTAGATATAATCCCGGTGTACATATACATACATGGTGTCATCTGCAATGTATATCATCTTCATGGAAAGCCTGTACACATGCAGGACCTCTCCCAACTAGGTCTTGTCAAGAATAGTTATAAACTGTAGTCAAGTAACTTCCTCAAGTAATTTTAGTGAGTAAACATAATCTGACCTATATATATGATGGGGATCAATCTGTGGAAACTATCAGGTTGTATCTGGTCATCATGGTTTACTCCTTTTTTATTTATTGTTTAAAATTAAAATTTAGTCCCCAATTTTATGACTAATTTTGTAAATGAGAGGACGTGAAGTGGCTTAATCGTGTCAGATGTTTAACTCCTAAACTTTTCGTTGCTTAATTTGTGAGCAGTTATGGTGTTTCTTAATCCTGAATTGTACATTCTATGCTATCTATGGCTTCTAACTTTAAACAGTTTTGGAAGTTTTGTATGAAGCCTACGCCCTTACTCGCGAGTAACCAATATAAAAATGGAGCGCTCAGATACCATATTAAAGTACCAATTGCCCCCAGAAATGAAAGGTTTTAAGAAATGGGCTCAACAATGTATTTCAAGCAAATGATAAACTTGTTATCAAAATCAAAAGAAATACACAAATGCATACTGGTATGTTCATTAACAAAAATGTTTTTAATGTTCTCAAGAGCAAAATAACCACATGCTTAGTTAATTGTGTGGCAATATATACAAGTAGAAAAATAAAAATTAAAAAAAAATTAAAAAAAAATCAATGATTTGAATTGGACAAACGACTCGAAATAAACTGAAATGATGCTATATAAATATTCACGCTTCTGATTTGCTTGTTTCAGTTTGGGTGGTTTTAACTTTTAGCTGGTGGCTGTTCAAAGTTATCGTCACAAGTATCAAGCATTTATACAATTGGCAATTAAATGACGTATATATATATATATTTGAAATTTAATTAAATTTATATCATTTATTAAATGGCATATATATATATTTGAAATTTAATTAAATTTATATCATTTATTTGAGGACCATAACATTGAACATAGAATATACAGGGAATCAACATATATAAACTGCAAAAAATTGTGTCAACAAGCATTATTTATAGAATTAATAATTAATAAAAAAACATCTTTGAAACATACTGGTATCAAAATGTTCAGTTATACAAAATCCAACATTTAATAAATTTATTTGTCACAATCTCTTCAATAATGACATATATCTATATATATATTTGAAACTTATATATTTGGTTGATTTTACTATGGCAGGAACAAACGGAACCTCGATCAGCGAATGGCCAATAAAGGTGAGTGAGTCGGATGCAAGGATACGAAAAAAAGATAGCTGATGAAGTAAGGCTCCACATTCTTCCACAACTGAAGGCTAACGAGAAAAAAAACTGTAGAAAATGGTGACTAACTTGTAACTTAAATATTTGATAAATTGTGGAATTCTATATATATTTGAAACTTATATATTTGGTACATTGTGGAATTTTTGAAGAAAAAACTCCATGTGCCCTAACTTGTCTGCACATTCATAAAGGATAGCTTTTCAATTTTAGCCGATGAATATTTTCTTCAATGCGTGTGTGTGTGTATATATATATGTATATAATTATTTATTTATTTATTTTTTCCCAGAAGATTAAGCAAATTCTATATTTATATGTGCCAGTAATAATTACAATGTGATTTAGCTTGGGCTGAAGAATACCTAGCCCAATGGGCCCAAAAGAGCATTACAGGACTTAGATGGGTAACCACAAATAAAGACTTGGCCGAAGGCCCTATACATCATCTAATGATCAAAAAATTGAAATACAATGCTTTATGTCCTCTCTAGGAAGCACGAATATGGACACAGTGATTTAGATGGGGCATGAATATATATGAATTTGAATATGGATACAATGCTTTACAAGACTTGGATGGGCACGAATATGGATATGAGACGCTGATACGATATGAACACGGTGACATTACAAATTTTAAAAAAATAAAATACGAAATAAAAAATAAAAATACATTTTTTTATAGAAATAAAAAAAAAAATCTTTCAAAACACAAACACAAGCATCTTTAGTCATTATTTAATAAATTTTGAACTTTTCTTAACAATTATACTGCGTTATTGTTGTTAAAAATGTTACATTTTAATGTTCCAAACTTATTAAAACTATATTATTGGATACTTGTTAGAAATTAAAAAAATATATTTAAAATTATAAATACTTTTAAAAACGTACAGGTATCCAAAAGTATCCGAAGAATATCTATATCCTACATGTATAGCACAACAGGGGATCATCCACCACATAAGGATACAAGCTTGATCTTGAGCATCAATGTTTGTTATATCATTCTGTGGTGTCTGTATGCATAATATAAATTCGTGTGTGGTGGATTCTTTTAACACTTGTAAACATGTTGATTTATTAGGAAACAAGCGAATGAGCAACACATAAATAATAAGACTAATTCAATTTTTACAAACACTTGAAAATAGGAAATTAAACCGATGCTACAAAAATCTTCCAACTTCTGATTTGCTTGTCAAAGTTGGGATACATATATATATATATATGCATGCATGCTTGCACGTATGATTGATTCTTTGAGCACTTTGACCTACTTTGGCTTCAAACGACTGGAAATAGCCAAAATGGTGCTACAAAGACCTTCCAAATGCTCATTTGCTTGTTTCAGTTTGGACGATTCAGCTAATGGTCCTTCAAAGTTATCGTTACAAGTATCAGGTCCGTCCAAAGCAGCTGATCCATGAATGTTTAAGCTTGCATAGTCGCCGGACTCCAAGTGCTTCTTGCATCGGTCAAGGTCACTAATGGCATCAACATAGTTTTCATGACAAGTCTGATACGTCCCTTTCAATTTATGATCACTCGTTTGTTTAATGAGCGAGCCGATCATGTTTTTGGTTGATTTAGCATTGGATTGTGCCAAGTCAATGGTGATCCCGCCTAGGCCTTTGATATCTGCTTTAGCGGTCCGGGGATCGGATTTTAGAGCCTTCACACATAGGGCAGGTTTGGAAGTGGTGGAACAAATGCTGTTAAGCAACTCATTTGCTGCGGCATCTGACTCATGATTCAATAATAGAAATGATAGTAGTAAGATTGAAAGCAACAAGGAGGAAGAGTAACTCAAAGAAATGGCCATTTCTTTATTTTGTTTCACTCTTAACTTTTTATTTTTATTTTTTATATTTCTCTTCAGATTATGCCTCTCTTTTATATATATATATATATATAGTTTATTAAAGAGAGAAATATAAGGATAGACCTTAATTAAGGTTTTTTTTGGGGGGCTAGCAAACCGAAATTTCTGCTACCATTAGAAGAAGCCAAATTGAATGACTACCATTAAGATTATAGAAATCAATTATTATGGCTAGAATAAATGCCAATTAATTATACATATAAAAAAAGGAAATAAATGACAATTGAATGATTACCACTAATAATAATAATTTTTAAAAATGACTACCGTTAATATTATAGAAGTCATATATTGGCATTTCTAAATAAGGTTATGGTTATCCCTAATTCAAAATATCAAATTAAAATTCCTTTATTTTATATATATAATAAAGTAATATGTAACTTTTAATGTTATATTGAGTATTGATATGGTGCTAAAAAGGAAAGGGAAAAAAAAAGGTATTGATATTGAACATGTAGGATAGGGTCTCAGATTAATGAAATCATCCTAATTTGTAAGCATTTATTTTCTGATAAATAACTTAACTACACATATGTATTTTTCTTTGTTTTTGTTTATTTGGGAGAGAGATGGATAAGACTAAGAGTGGCATCATACCACTCTGAGCACTTGTGAACATGTTGATTTATGAGGCAGTAAGCAGTACATATATAATAAAACTAATTCAATTTTAACTAGGAAAAAAAAAAAAAAAAAAACTAATTCAATTTTGACAAACGCTTGAAAATATCCAAAACAATGCTAAAAGATCTTCACGCACACATAGAAGAAACAAAAAGAAGAAGAAGACTACAAAACACAACTATAATATAGATATTTATTGATTGATTCTTTAAGCAATATGTGAACATGTTTATTTATGAGGCCACAATGAGTAGTACATTGACAATAAACCCTAATTTTACTTCAAACGATTGGAAATAACCAAAATGATGTCACAAAGATCCTCCAGCTTCTGATTTGCTTGTTTCAGTTCAGCTGGTTCAGCTGGTGGACCTTCAAAGTTATCGTTACAGGTTTCACCCCCGTCCAGAGCAGCCGATGCATGAATATTTAAGCCCAAATAGTCCCCGGAGTTCAACAACTGCCTGCATTCATCAAGGTCACTAATGGAATCATCATAGTTCTCACGACAAGTGTCGAACCGATCTTTCAACTTAGGGTCAGTCGTCTGGTTGATGAGGGAGAGGATCATGTTGAAGGTGGACTTAGCATTGGATTGAGCTATGTCAATGGAGATCCCTCCGAGGCCTTTGAGGTCTGCACTAGTGGTCCGGGGATCGGATTTTAGAGACTGCACACAGAGGGAAGGGTTGTGAGTGCTGGAACAAATGCTGTTAATCAACTCATCTGATGCAGCAAGTGAGTGGTTAAAGAATAGAAATGATAGGAAGATTGAAAGCAATGTTAAGGAAGAGACACTCAAAGAAAAGGCCATTTCTCTTGATATTTCAATCAACCTTTTTGATATTTCTCTTGAATGGTGAGGGATGTTATTATATATATATATATATATATATATATGCCTCTCTTATATAGTAGTTATTTAAGAGGGAAATCTAATGTAAGATATTAAATGTTTGGCAAGAATTTTTGCTAGCATTTAGTAGAATAAATGCCAATTAATTGTTAAAAGAAAAAATATATATATAGAATAATTAAATGCCATTGAGTATCTACCATTAAGATTTTTTAAATCAATGAAATTCTTAAAATCAGATTACGATGGTTAGAATAATTATTGATTAATTATGGGAAAAAAAGGGAATAAATGCCCAATTGAATGACTAACTACCATTAAGATTACAAAATCAGGTTATGGTTATCCCTAATTTGAATTTGATGTTTGGAGCAAATTAAAATTCCTTTATTAAATAATCAAATTTGTAAGCATTTATTTTCTGACGAGTAAATTTAATTACACACAAATTTTTTTTTTTTTTTTCCTTATTTGGGAGATATAAAATATATTTATTAATTATTAAATGCTTGCAAGAACTGTGTCAAGGTCACCAATGGCATCAACATATGCACTTATATTAATATATCTGTACTACTATTAAAAGTAGTAAGTAATTTTAATTTTTTATATACATTTTTATACTATATTTTTATGTATTAAATTTTTATTTATTAACCTTTAATGAACCAATAAATGTGTTATTATATTAAGCATATTAAGAGACTTGTGCACTTATATTAATATATCTGTACCAAAGTTGTTAAAATCGGGATTCTACGTAGAATCGTTTTGGGCTTCGTAAAATCGGAATCGTTTAATCGGATCGTGAATCGTAAGATTCCACCAAATTATAAAAAAATAATTGAAACTAACTTCCTAAACAATAAGATATGTAAAATATAACCAAAATAAGGCCAAAACACACCATATTACATATCCATGACTTCAAATCTCAAATCCTAACAATATTCTAAAGTCCGAATATAAATAAAAGTAAAAGAAAATATTTCAAAGTCTGAATATAAATAAAAGAAGATGTAACACAAAATTGATCACATCATTCATTGTTTGTCCTAGAGTTAAGGTTCTATTTGATATTCATTTCCCTCCAAATATGACACACATTACTAGCTGAGGTTAGCTTCCAAATCATGACCCTGCGTCTCTTTAATTTTTGTTTCCAATTTAAAGATGCCCAAATTAAAAAATCTTTCCAAAGAGTTAGGGCATATGTAGAATCCGCATTTGTGGTGGAGTCCACTTCGTATGATTTTGGAATATTCACACTGATGAAACAAATGTCTATATTACAAATCAAATTCATTTTGTCACATACTTTTAAGTATTGCAATGTTACACTGTTCCTTCTTACTCACTTTTTTTTTCTGCTTATTTTTCCCTTTCTATTAATTTTTTTCATAAATAGTGATTTGCGCACTCATCCTCCGCATTATTAATTTTTTTAGTTTCATAAAATCACTATTTCAGTTTCATAAATAGTGATTTTCTGCTTATTTTTCCCTTTCTATTAATTTTTTCAGTTTCAGTTTCTATTAATTTTTTCAGTTTCATAAATAGTGCTAAAAAATAGTGATAAAAATTTAAATGGCCAGGTAAAATTAAAACAAAAACTAAAGAAATTGGAAAAGACAATCAGAAGACTCAGAACATAAAATTAAAACTAAAATTAGACCATTAATGCAAAAGATTATCAAAACATGATGAATAATTTCTAAGAACAAGTAGATAAAAGGTTAGAATAATCAAGGAATAATCAAGGTTAGAACAATCTTAGAATAATCAAGCTCCGAAGGGTTATAGAGATTAGAAAAAACTCTAGAAATTTCTTGATCAAGGAAGAACATACCTGGCCGAACCTGCAAGCTGCTGTATGGATTCGATGATTCCGATCTGCTCGTTATAAGCCTCTGCACTGCCGCCTCCTTTCAGTCTTCACTCCTCTCCTCTCTGAGATAGGGTCCTCGTTTCTAATATTATAATAGAGTAGGTTTTGTATTTTATGATTTAAGAATATATAATTTAGTAAATTTCTATACAAAATTTGGGCCAGGCTTTGGCCCAAACAACTAAAAGAATAAAGGCCCAAAGACCAAATAGTATAAAAGCCCGCCCAAACACACATTTTGGTAGAATCGTGTAGAATCGTACGATTCTACCAACGATTCTACCGATTCTACCCCCGATTCTACCAATTGGGCGATTCTGATCTGATTTGAGTCGATTTTAAGAGTTGAGTCATAGAATCGTGCGATTCTACGACTCAGAATCGCGATTTTGATAACCATGATCTGTACTACTATTAAAAGTAGTAAGTAATTTTAATTTTTTTATATACATTTTTATACTATATTTTTATGTATTAAATTTTTATTTATTAACCTTTAATGAACCAATAAATGTGTTATTATATTAAGCATATTAAGAGACTTATATTATTATTATTATTATTTGGAAAATGATTCTTGCACTGATTTGTTGTGGACTTACTTTAATTGGTCCATATCGTAATTCAGTGCAACAAATTGGTGCAAGTATCACTAGCTTAAAATATTTTATTTTTTTAATTATTTTAGTTGAATTAACCAATAAATGTGTAATATTTAGCATATCAAGAAACAATAGTTATCTGAGGTGGAAATTCTTTAACTGGACAACAATGTCAAAATTGATAGCCTAATTTCCACTACTCAGTGGATGGTTCCACCTACACTACAGAATATCCAATTCTTTTGTTCCAATGATTTCATATCTCAGCTTCAAAGTTTACCACTTTCATCACTTGATCCTGATTGTGTGGAATGGATCCCAGGTCTAACAAAGCAGTACTCATTCAAGCACACCATCCTACATTTCAGTCCTCCATCATTTGGTTTAAACACCAGATTCCAAAGCACAGTCTTATTTCATGGCTGGCTTGTAGGGGCAAATTGTACACAGCGTACACTAAGCTTATGAGGAAAAAGCATTACACTAATGCTTGTTACTTGTGCCTCTCAGATTCTGAATCCTTGGATCACCTCTTTTTCAAGTGTAGTTTTAGTTGCATCATTTGGGAGTTCATTCAGCATGTTGCTGGATCCTATATCCATCCAAACAATTGCGAGGAACTCATTGCCTGGTGTTCACACAATTGGTCAGCAAATCAAGTTACTACTGATCATAAGCTATTGCTCTCTGCAGTCATTTATTCTATCTGGATTGAAAGAAACTCAAGAGCCTTCAGGAATAGGTCTTCTTCACCTCAACAACTAATATGTCATATCAAGAGTTGTTTGAGAGCAAGATTTTCATCACTGAAAGCCAGGGACGGAGCCAGAAAATTTGTTCAGGAGGAGCACATTTTGTAATATTGTACACCGTAATATATATATATATATATATATATATATATATATATATAGTATAATGTCCATGCATATAACTTAATATATATATAGAGTGATATTTTTGGGATTAAACTAATTATAGATTTAGAATATAAGGATTACGGAAACTATTTAAGAAGGAGAAGAATGGTGCTGAGCTGAGGATCTTGGGGAGCCAAGATGATCTACTTCAACTTTTTCTTCATGGTTGTGCTTATGCTGGGGGACATGCTTGGTGTTTCACTGATTAAGCCACATTGGCCTCTGCATACTCGGTTTTCAGGTTTGGGGTTATTTGTTGATGTTTCTCCCCGCCATTACTCAGAATGAAGCTTTTGGTTTCAATTAAACTATGTTTTGTTTGGGTGCTAATATGATGTTTTCCTTGATGGAATGCTGCTATATTGGATGTCAGCTGCAAGATGGAATGCTATTATATTGAAATGTTACATTGCTAGTATGATTGGATTGCTGCAAGATGTCATTACTGGTCACATTTAGGGATGTTTGTTGCTGCCACTAGTGGCTTCTGGTTAGTTGTAGCAATCTCATTGTGTTTTTGGAACTTTCTGGTAGTGCCTATGGCAGTATAGTATTGCCTTGGGTCCTTGTAAATTCTTATTTTATTTTATTTATACAAAGCTTACCATTTCAAAAAAAAAAAAAAAAAAGAAAAGAAAAAAAGAAACAATAGTTATACCATTAACTTTATTTTTAATATATATCAATAGAAGCAATTATTTCCTATATTGATATTTTATTACCAACATTCTACATGTGCAGCAATATACGTAATAATTGACTTTATTGAATAAAAGCAATATAATGCACTAATAAATTTGTCTAATTTATTGAAATACCCTCAAGTTGTTATGGTAAATGACTGCAGTACCCTTTTGTATGTGTGACTGTGAGAGAGAGGAGATGAGTAACAGAAGGGAAGTCGGTGTAGGTTAATTTCAATTTTAGGGGAGGTCCAAGTAATTTGGGAGGTCTATATAGGTTAATTTCAATTTTTGAAGAGGTCAATAGAAAAATAAAATATATTTTTTAAGTAGATATAATTTTCTGCCCATCATATAAATTTCTTATTTGATAACAAATTTTTAATTTTATTGGACCTCCACAATAAATAATGTAGCCAAAGAGTGTCGTCATAGAGTATCCATGCAATATAAATTTACTAATTCTGTAAACATCTACGGGGACAATTGAGTGTTTTGAGTGTGCATTTTAACATTGGTAGTTCTGAATAATAAAAAAAATTTGCTTCATGTTTAATGTTGGCAAATATTCACTATATAACGAGACATAATTTTTCATGTGTGAAAAATTCAACGAGTTTTTCTCAGTTTTGATAATGAACTGTAATTTAGTTGATATAAAACAATATAAAAGTAATTAAAAATGCATAGATATAGATAATAATTAACTCTTTATTAGAATAAAAGAGGTACATTGATAACAAATCTAATTTGACATCAAACGATTAGAAATAGCCAAAAGGATGCTGCAAAAACCTTCCAACTTCTGATTTGCCGCTTGAAGTTTCGGTGGTTCAGCCGGTGGTCCTTCAAAGCCGTTGTTGCAAGTATTCGGGCCGTCCAAAGCCGACGACGCATAAGTGTTTAAGCTTGCATAGTCTGCCGGATTTCAAGAACTTCCTGCATTCATCAAAGTCACTAACGGAATCATCGTAGTTCTCGTGACAAGTGTCGTATTGCCCTCTCAATTTAGGATCAGTTGTCTGTTTAACACTGTTTTTATTTTAGCTAAAAACAAAATGCCTAAAACAAAACGTATCTTTAGCACTTGTGAGCATGTTGATTTATTAGGCGTAAACAGTACACTGTACATATATAATAAAACTAATTCAATTTTGACAAACGCTTGAAAATATCCAAAACAATGCTAAAAGATCTTTATAAATATATACAGAAGAAACAAAAAGAAGAAGACTACAAAACACAACTATAATATAGATATTTATTGATTCTTTAAGCACTATGTGAACATGTTTATTTATGAGGCCACTATGAGTAGTACGTACATTGAAAATAAACCCTAATTTTACTTCAAACGATTGGAAATAACCAAAATGATGCTACAAAGATCCTCCAGCCTCTGATTTGCTTGTTTCAGTTGAGCTGGTTCAGCTGGTGGACCTTCAAAGTTATCGTTACAGGTCTCACCCCCGTCCAGAGCAGCCGATGCATGAATATTTAAGCCTGCGTAGTCCCCGGACTTCAAGAGCTGCCTGCTTTCATCAAGGTCGCTAATGGAATCATCGTAGTTCTCACGACAAGTGTCGTATCGACCTTTCAACTTAGGGTCAGTCGTCCGTTTGATGAGGGAGAGGATCATGTTGTAGGTGGACTTAGCATTGGATTGAGCTATGTCAATGGAGATCCCTCCGAGGCCTTTGAGGTCTGCACTAGCGGTCCGGGGATCCGATTTTAGAGACTGCACGCATAGGGAAGGATTGTGAGTGCTGGAACAAATGCTGTTGATCAACTTATTTGATGCAGCAAGTGAGTGGTTAAAGAATAGAAATGATAGGAAGATTGAAAGCAATGTTAAGGAAGAGACACTCAAAGAAAAGGCCATTTCTCTTGATATTTCAATCAACTTTTTGATATTTCTCTTGAATGGGGAGGGATGTTATATATATATATATATATATATGCCTCTCTTATATAGTAGTTATTTAAGAGGGAAATCTAATGTAAGATATTAAATGTTTGGCAAGAATTTTTGCTATGCATTTGGTAGAATAAATGCCAATTAATTGGTAAAATATATATATATATATATATATATATATATATAATAGTTAAATGCCATTGAGTATCTACCATTAAGATTTTATAAATCAATGAAATTCTTAAAATCAGATTACGATGGTTAGAATAAATATTGATTAATTATGGGAAAAAAAGGGGAATAAATGCCCAATTGAATGACTAATTGCGAAATCAGGTTATGGTTATCCCTAATTCCAATTTGATGTTTGGAGCAAATTAAAATTCCTTTATTAAATAATCAAATTTGCAAGCATTTATTTTCTGATGAGTAAATTTAATTACACACATTTTTTATTTTTATTTTCCTTATTTGGGAGATATAAAATATATTTATTAATCATTAAATGCTTGCAAGAACTGTGTCAAGGTCACCAATGGCGTCATCATATGCACTTGTATTAATATATCTGGACTACTATTAAAAGTAGTAAGTAATTTTAATTTTTTATATACATTTTTATACTATATTTTTATGAATTAAAATTTTAATTATTAACCTTTAATGAACCAATAATCGTGTTAGTATTATATTAAGCATATTAAGAGACTTATATTATTATTATTATTTTTAGGAAAATGATTCTCACTGATTTGTTGTAGACCTACTTTAATTGGTCATCTCGTAATTCAATGCAACAAATTGAAGCAAATATCACTACTCTTAAAATATTTTATTTTTTTAATTATTATAATTGAATTAACCAATAAATGTGTAATATTAAGTATATCAAGAGACAAATGAGTGTTTTGAGTGCATTTTAACAATTTTTTGTTGCATGTTTAATGTTGGCAAATATTCACCATATATCGAGACATAATTTTTCATGTGAGAAGAAATTCAACGACTTTTTATCCCTTTTGATAATGAAGAAAAAGAGGATTTCCACGATTATAAATTACAGTTGATTGTAGTATAAAACAATACAAAAATAATTAAAAATGCATAGATATAGATAATAATTAATTCTTTATTAGAATAAAAGAGGTACATTGATAGCAAATCTAATTTCACAGGCTTACCCATTCAACAAAAAAAAATCTAATTTCACAAACGATTAGAAATAGCCAAAACGATGCTGCAAAGACCTTCCAACTTCTTATTTGCAGCCTGAAGTTGCGGTGGCTCAGCCGGTGGTCCTTCAAAGCCGTCGTTGCAAGTATCCGGGCCGTCCAAAGCGGACGACGCATAAGTGTTCAAGCTCGCATAGTCACCGGACTTCAAGAACTTCCTGCATTCATCAAAGTCACTAACGGAATCATCATAGTTCTCGCGACAAGTGTCGTATCGTCCTTTCAATTTAGGATCAGTCGTCTGTTTAACGAGGGAGACGATCATGTTCAAGGTGGATTTGGCGTTGGATTGAGCTATGTCAATGGAGATAGCTCCGAGGCCTTTGAGGTCTGCACTGGCTGTCCGGGGATCGGATTTCAGAGACTGCACGCACAGGGAAGGATTGGTGGTGCTGGAACAGATGCTGGTGATCAACTCATTTGTTGCAGCATGTGTGTGGTTGATGAATAGAAATGATAGGAAGATTGGAAGCAACAACGAGGAAGAGACACTCAAAGAGGAGGCCATTTTGTTTTTGATATTTCTCTTGAATTGTGTGGGATGTTATGTTATGTCTCTGTTATATATATAGTTAATAAATAGGGAAATATAAGGAAAGAAAATTTGAAGAAATCCCAATTGAATGACTACAATTTTGATTATTATTATTTTTCTTTAGAAAACGTAAGCATTACGTGGTAGGAAACTAATGTCCATCTCAGGGAAAAAAATCGTCTCCACTGCCTTCTCACTAGCAACTGTCCAATGAGGGGTAAATTGCTGAGTTGATAAATGGGTTAAAAATGTATCATGTATGAATTGCATATAGCATCAACATATTTTTCTAACACAGATTAAAAAAAATTAACTTCGACAACTCAATTTCATAATTTCTAAATTAATAATAAAAAACACAAATACTTTTAACATATATGTAGGAAGATTTGCATATTCCATCACCTACTTTTTGTAAAAGCATACAACACAAAAGTTGGAGAGATCAAATTATTATTATCACAACTTTTTAAAACATGTCTCATGTATGAATTGCATATAGCATCAACATATTTTTCTAACACGTTAAAAAAATTAACTTCCACAACTCTAAAATCTATATAATTAGTTAATTATTTCAAAACATTAAAATCTCAAATAAATTTATATTTGGATACTGAACTGTACCGATACATAATCAATGTTTATATAATGTATTCCTACATTATATAAAATTTACTTGTGATATTAGTTATGAAATCGTTATGATATTAGTAATAATACATGGTTCGTTTTCCTTTGACTTTGGTTAAATTTACAAATCTAAGTTACATTGAATGAAATAAGTTATGATATTTATTACAAATGTGATTCTACACTATATAAAATTTAGTTGTGATGTTAGTTATAAAATCGTTATGGTGTTATTTTTCTAAAACGGCATAAGAATATTATAAATGACTTGCTAATTCACTAAAAAAAATAACGAATTAACAAAATTTATGTCAAATTCTTCAACACCAAAAAGAGAGTAGTATCTTATCTCCAATCCAACCTTACAAAGAAATCTCATTCATAAAATTGTATAAATCAAATAGTTGCGTCTGATCTATTACAGAGTTCATTGCCATATGGATCTGTTTGCTTTTCATGTTTCCAGTTACAGACCAACTTTTTTCTCATTTTTGCTGAGTTGGGGTTTGTCTATACTTCTTTAATGTCTGAAAATTTAAATGGGTTTTGGAATTATTGTTGCTTAATATGTTTGGATTTTATTAAGGGTTGAGAGTTCCTTGGATCTGGTTCTGAACATTTTATAGATTCAAGGATTCATAGTCTGGCGTCGACAAATCGGGTTCATGGCAAAAAATGAAATTTGATGCCTTGTGTAGTGTTTAATTGGGTGAAGAATTGAATACCCAGCTACAGTACTAGAAAGAGAAAACAGAGAGAGTAGGGGATGAGGTGACTCTCAGTGTTGGTTTCCTTTGATCGCCGGCCGTTGTCTGAAGAGGCGAGTACATACATAAGGGGTTTTCTTCTAGGAGAGATTTGGAATTTTAAGAGAAGAAAAAAATATATATGGAAATAAAATAATATTGTATATGATATAGTGTATAATGTATAAAGTATGCAGTATTTGTAAGTATGGTAACATATAACGTAACTCAATAAAATTATTAGTGATATGCTGAGTTGGCAGTGACGTGGCATGACTCAGCAATGACATGGCAAGATTATGACATGTGGCTGCATCTCAGCCATTGGATGCTCAATAGACAGTTTCCAGTGAGAGGGGAAATGGAGCAAATTCGCGTCCCGATATTCCTAATGGCTAAAAAGAGAGAGTTCTTCAATGCATTGAAGAGGACATTCCCTTAAGTAGCATTATTCGTTTTTTTTAAAATAAAAAATTATATTTATAGTTATTAAAGGTGTAATTTATAAGCTATATTATTTGTGGCCCATTTAACTGAACATTTTTATTTTTTTATAAAAAAATTCAAATATAGAATAAAAAAAGTGTTAATTATTATTGTGATTCTACAACATATTACTCTATTCATTTATATATAAACACACACACACACACATATATATATTATTTGTTATAGGGTTAAGTGTAAAAAACTCACTTGCTATATAAAAAATGTGCAAAGAAACATCCCTGTTAGGAAAAAAAAGTGCATATAAATCTTTATATTATCTATCTTTTGAGCAAATAGCCCCTATTGAGTAAATCTGTTAAAAAATATACGTTTGGTGATGCTTCTTTATTTTTTTAAATCCATAAGTACCCTTTTTGTGTAACAAGAATGTCGCTACTAATTTTGTACATATTTAAATAGTGAATGGGTTTGTTTGGATATACTTGAAGACATATTCATGAAAATCTTTCTCTTTAATATTTTTTTCTTTCTCTAAAGTATTTTTATGTTGCCGTTAGCAATTTGTTAATAAGAAGACATAATTTTATTTATTTATTTATTATGATACCATATTTCATATGGTTTGTGATGTGAGATTATGAAATCTATACATTATTTTTAATTTTTAGAATATTATTTAGGGATATGATATCAGCACTCTACTTTTTAACGTTTGCACTCTAATTTTAAATGAAATGGCAATTATAACTTCAACTTTACAAATAAATAATTATTACTTTTTAAATGACATAACTATCATTTCAAGAATTTTCTCCTTATTTCTAATATTTAATATTTTAGATCTTTTTGACTAGACCCAAAAAAAAAAAAAAAAATTGAATATGTATTTTTTTACAGGACCAAATATATATGTGTGTGTGTGTTGTGTTGAATAAATTGCCTCTTTGACTGCACCAAAAAAGTAACCATTAAAAAAACTATCTCTTTTGACATGAAAAAAAAAAAAAAAAATCCAAAAATATATATTTATTGAAAAAAGTATCTCTTTTGTCAAGATAAAAAAATATATATGTTTTTATAAAATAAATTATTTCTTTTGAACGGACCCATAAAAAAATTACCCAAAAAAAAAAAAAAATAGTTACCTCTTTTGATGAAAAAAAGTTAAGAATAAATTATCTCTTTTGATTGCCAAAAATAAAATTATTATTATATAATATATTATTTTATTTGAGAGGAAATTTGGGAAAAACAAAAAGAAAGGAAAAAAATAGTAAAGAATGATAAAAAAAGTTAAAGTTATATAAAGGGTAGTTATGACATTATAAATTAAAGGATGTACATAGATGGTGCATTAATAAATTAAGGGCATTCTTGTCATTTCATTTAAAAGAAAAAGGTAAATGAAGTGTAATTGGAGAAAAGTGGAGTATGAATATATATATATAACCATAATCTTTCTTGCCAATATTCTTTTCTAATTCTATATATTTTCCTTCAATTCCTTGAACTTTCCCTCTATAAGAAAATATAATCTCTCTCTTAAAATTATTTTTCTCTCTCTAAAACAAAGCTCCCAGAATAAGCAAGCCCTAAGAAATTTCATAGTACCTGTTGATACCAAAAATTAAGCAATCCAATTCCAATCTCTTCAAGAAGGGAAAAAAAAAAAGAAGAAAAAGAACCAGTTACAAAGTTTTGGTATAAATAGATAAAAATCATAAAAAATGATATATGAAAAATAGAGAAAAATTAGATAAAAATAATAATTCTTGTATTTAGAGGAGGCAACATCAAAGCAATATTAAGAAGTTTGGTTCTACAAGTATTTTCATTTGTATGGACGTACTTGTTTATTTTTTATCTTCAAATATTTATTTTTACATATTTTCTTCTTCAAATTTTAACCTTGTGTACGTATAGGACATGTAATTCCTTACTAGTTAAGCAATGTTGTCTTAATCTTTTATAAATAGTTGAGTTTATTTATAGATATGGAATAAAAGATAAAGGTGGTTGAAGGCGGAGAAGAAAAATCATATACAACGTATGAAATTAAGGATAATTTTGACATTTTGCATTTTACCTTTCTTCTTCCGTTTTTTGTTAATGATAAAAGTAAAGTTAATTTAGTAAGTTTACTGCCAAAATTATGATTTATCCTTATTTGCACAAATTGAAAAAAGTAAGGGGAGGTTTCGAGCCATAGGAGGGTAATTCCACGTTATGTATATTGGCACTCCATTTTTCTTCAATTGCATTCCACTTACATTTTTTTTATTTTAAGGAAATGACAGGAACATCCTTGAATTTATTAATGTATCATTCTTTATTTTATAATGTCATAACCACTCTTTGTATAACTTTAACCTTTTTTTTTATTTTTTTTTTATACCTTATTTACTTCCATTGCTATTATTTTCTATGCTATACTTTCTTTCTTTTTATTTTTTTTATTTTTTTGAGGTCCTCTCAGAGAAATTATTTATTCTGCACTAGTAATTTTATCTTTAGTAGTCAAAAGAGAAAATTTATTCTATATTAGTTTTTATTTTTATTTTTTTTAACAATAGAAACAGATAATTTAGTCAACAAAGTTAACTTCTTCTTTTTTCAGTCCTATCAAAAGAGGTAACCTTTTTTATTTTAGTAATTTTTGATGGGTCCCGAAAAAAAAATAATTTATTCAATTGATATATATATATATATATATATATTTTTTTTTTGTCTTATCAAAAGAGATACTTTATTCAATAGAGATAAAAATAAAAATATAAAAAATTATCGTTTTTTTTGGTACTTTATTTAATTTTTTGAATCATGACAAAAGAGACAATTTCTTCAATAAATACACTCTTTTAGGCAATTTATTCAACATATATATATTTTTAGTTTTCTTGTCAAAAAAGACCTAAATATTAAAGATTAGGTATTAGCACATGAAATCTGAAAGAATAATTTTATCATTTAAAAAGTAATAATCAACTAGGACAGTTGTATCATTTTAAAAGTAATAATCAATTACTTGTAAAGTTAGGATTATAATTATCATTTCATTCAAGATTATAGCGTAAACGTGAAAAAGTGAAAAAGTAGAAGAGAAAGAATACTCAATACTTTATTATTGGTTGTCATTTGTTTTTTTTCTCCATTTTTTCTTTTGTGCGTTTTATATATTTCTTAGAACATGCATGTAATTATATATACGCATGCATGTGTGTATTTTCCCTCCATGTAGGACAGGGATGATGTTTTCATACTTTTATTTAGTTGAACACAAGACACGATAGATATAATGGGTGGGGTGTCCAAAAAATTGAAGTTAGTTTTTATTTTTTATTATTTATTATTTATCAGGGGAAAAAATTAAAGTAAATGGATCTCAATTATTTACTTTTTTATGGGATGAATTCAATTATATTACCAATGGTTGTGTGTAGTCTACATATAACTCATTTATCTTTCAATGTCTTGACTTTAAAAAAAAAAAAAAAAAAAAAAAAAAAAAATCAATTATATTCCTTTTATGAGCAAGCTTACAGAGGGAGATGGAACGAAGGGATGAGGATGGCTTGAAGGCCCTCTAGTCCACCAATTTGCTTTACGGAGAAGAATATTCGTTGTGTATAACGGAAAACATGCTTTCACACACCTTTTTTTAATTTACCACTTCCCGCTGGACTCATTACTTACTTTTCTGCTCAACCAAACAAGAGAAATAAAGAGATGCCTCTTCCATCCTTTCCTATTTTCTTTCCATCTAATTTTTCTTCACTCTTGTGAAATGAACAAGATACATGTTCACTATGAGCAAGTCTACTATGAGAATTCAAGAAAGAAAACAAGATACATCAAAAGTTAGGTAACATTCTCATGAGCGAGTCTACTATGAGTCTGAGTGAGCTCACCCTTGTAGCCGTTGGATCGTAAAGTTACATGAAGCTTAGGTCAGCCTCTCCATCCAACGACTTTGATGGTGAAGTAGTAGCATACTGAAAAATGGTGAGGCCAAACTTGGAATGAGTCCAACCACAGAATCTTTGGAATAGAAATTAGGGTTTTAAAAGTAGATTTTCCTTTCACACAACCCACCAAGTTTACAGAAGTGGGATTGTATAAAAGAGAACCACCCCCTGGCATACATCAGATCTCACCTGTTTATATCAATACCCTGCAGATGTAAAGATAATATCATATGATAATGCAAGTGTTTCTCATCATAGCTATGACATGCCAAAATTTAAGCACGCCAAACCTCTTAGGCTCTTCACTAGAGAACAATGAATTGACTCGAAAAGCAGAAATTGCTGTGAGAAGCTCCTTCCTGTTCTATAATTCCAGCAAGAACCCTCGAATGACTTGTGTGAATTCAAGCAAATATCAAAGTACAATTATACTCAAAACCACGCCAAGAGCAAGCATCAAACTACAACTAATCTCAAAACAAAGTCGAAAACAATATGAGCAATGCATCAAACTACGAACAATCTCAAAACCATGTGAACAACAATTTGAGTGAATACGCGTCAAACTAATAACCATCCCAAAACTATGCCAAAAGTGCCATGATTAAGAAATCACTAGCAAAATGGTCAGCAGTGGAAACTAAAAATTTGACAAGAAGCTTGCTTAGAATTTCTGCACCTTTCGCTTTGGTAAGGTAACGAGTTTATCTTACAGGTAACAAAGACTTTCATATTCTTTCATAGAAGCCACTGATTTTACATGTGTCCCTTAGTAGAAAGAGGCAAAAGAAACATGAAATAAGATCACAGAAATTAGATGCCAAACAAGGATTTGGTCAGATGAATACAGTTTTCAGCATGCTTTTCGAATTCCTTCTGTAATTATAGCTCTTAAAATATAAGCAGCCAGTAAATGTCCCGTTACAACATAACAGTGTCAATACCAATTTAAAATCATTAACAGCTATTTCCTATCATTTTTGCACTCTAATGAAGTAATAGAGCATAATATGTTTCACATTAACAAAACTCGTTTCAGTAACCGTAAATTGTGCATAACTCATTATCAATTCAAGTACAATTCTCATTTTTATTGAAAAATTTTAACATGCAGATGAGGAAGCATTCAGAAAGTACAGTAATTTATGAAGAGCGAAAAAAGGAGGAAAAGCAAATTTCTGTTCAACCACTTGATCTGGTTGATGAATGACTATTAGAAACTGGAAAGCCTTTGCAAAGTCATTCGAAAATTCTCAAGGTAATAATAGAACAAGAATCACAAAGGTATACCACATCTTTTACATGTGAATCGGCTTGTCATAAGTGGCCATGGCAGCCTCTTTCAATGCCTCACTCATTGTTGGATGTGCATGGCATGTACGTGCAATGTCCTCACTTGATGCCCCATAATGCAAGGCCAGCACTGCCTCATGAATGAGCTCCCCAGCATTCGGCGCCATGATGTGGACACCCAATATCTTGTCAGTCTCCTTCTCGGCTAGTATCTTGACCACTCCTTCAGCATCATCAATTGCCTTGGCCCTACTGTTTGCCATGAAAGGGAATTTTCCAACACAGTAGTCAACACCAAGTGCCTTCACTTGCTCTTCAGTCTTTCCAACGGATGCCACCTCGGGGTGTGTATAAACAACTCCAGGTACCAAATCATAGTCCACATGGCCTTCCTTGCCTGCTATGAACTCTACGCATGCAACCCCATCCTCTTCTGCTTTGTGGGCTAACATTGGCCCGGGAATAACATCTCCAATCGCAAAAACTCCTGGTACGTTTGTAGCAAATCGTTCATTGACTGGGATCCGACCAACCTTATCAGTTTCAACTCCTATCTTGTCCAACCCAAGTCCAGCTGTAAATGGAGTTCTACCAGCAGAAACAAGAACAACATCAGCTTCGAGTATGCTTTGCTTACCACCAGCTGCTGGTTCAAGGGTCAACTTCACACCATCCCCTGAAGTGTCAACAGAGACCACCTTAGTTTTGAGCATAAATTTCATCTTTTGCTTCTCAAGAGCACGTTGAAATTGCTTGCGGATTTCGCTATCCATGGTTGGAACAATGTCAGGTGCAAATTCAACAACAGTGACCTCTGAGCCAAGACGGCCCCAGACAGAGCCCATCTCAAGGCCAATGTAGCCAGCCCCAATGACCACAAGTTTCTTAGGGATTTCTGACAAAGCCAAAGCTCCAGTAGATGATACAATCCTCTTCTCATCAATAGTGATCCCAGGTAAAGACTTGACATCAGAGCCAGTGGCAATAATAATATTCTTGCCTTTCACAATACCGTTCCCGCCTTCAGGGGTGTCAACGGAAACTTCAGAAGGGGATATGAACTTGCCATAGCCTTTAACATAGGTTACTTTGTTTTTCTTAAACAGACCTTCAATGCCTCGTGTTAAGCCTGAAACAGCTTTGTCTTTTTGGGCCATCATGGCGGGTAGATCAACCTCAACAGATGGGAACTTCACACCATGACTCGCAAATGAATGCTTGGCCTCGTGGTACATGTGGGAGGAATGGAGGAGTGCCTGATCACAAAAAGGGTAGAATATTAATATGCGCAAGTGATTTCAAATAGAAAGAAATTCGTGAACATGGAACCCATTATTACAGAAGTAATTTTAAGTAGGCTAAATATGAACCTATAACTTTATGTACCAAAGCCCTTGATATTGACCTAAATTTCCAGCTACAGGTTTTGTTTTAAGCATCAATCATGCAAAAACGAAAACAAAAAAGCCTTCAGATTCTCATAGTGAAAAAAAGAGAGTATAAAATCAAGTTGGTTTCCCTTGGCATTGGTGGAGCAAATGTTTGTACAAACCAGCGGAGCTAACTCTCTGAATTTCCAAAAGAGACCCATCCCCACACATCAATCCCAATCAATTCTAGAGCTACCAAAGTACCAAGCGAGCTTAACATAAAAATTAAAATAATTTTTTAGAACTGCAGCAATTACAAATAAATTAGAAGCACAAGAAAACTTCAAGTCCATTTTGAGATACTTAGATAAGAACACAACCCTTGAAGGAGATTGTTGAACACGAGCAACCATACACTGAAAATAATTAAAAACATTATCCAAAATATGTGTAATTAACACCCTGCTAAGAAAACAAGTTGGAGTTAGCATGAAGAAGCTCGGTAACAACTCCAGAACAGCTTGGAGTTATATAGAGTACTCAATATTTAATTATCACCAAACAACGCCACAATTCAACTAATGAATACTCATACTTAACAAACTGAACTCCAGTTTCTTTGAAACAATTTATCGAACACTTTGATGAAATCAATATATGGAAAACACTATTCACGAAACTCCAAATAATATAAGGCATAGAAATACAAATAATCATCAGATCTAATGGTCAATTGTTGAAGCAAATAAACAACAAATTCGAACAAATTGCAAACTCTAACACGAATTAACAACAGAATCGATCGAACACAGAAACGAGAAGCGTGGGATGACAATACCTTAGAAGGGATACAACCGACGTTGAGGCATGTGCCGCCGAGAGCGCCTCGCTTCTCGATACAGGTGGTCTTGAGCCCCAATTGAGCGGCTTTGATGGCGGCCACGTAGCCACCGGGACCACCGCCGATCACCACGACGTCGTTCTCGTCAGATCCCGATGCGAAGCTTCTGGAGAAGGAGGTCAGAGAGAGAGAGTAGCGAAGAACATCCGAAGAATTGTAGTGGTTCTTCCAGAGAATCGAAGCCTTTCGTCTCGCAAAGCTGGCCATTGCCATTTTCGCTTCAAATCAGAGCTCAAAAGTCTCTCACCCAAACAAAGCCTTTGCTTAGCTTTTTTGTATAGTACATAACACAACACACATACATGAAGGGAGACCAAATATTATATATAAATAAATGTTAGATATATGTGTATATATCGGAATCTAGTGGTGTGTGGCACAGGAAATAGTTACCGATCATCCACTAGATCAATAACACGTAGGGAAATACTATTGGTATGTAGATAAGATCTGATCAGGGCCGTTAATTTTTGTGAATTTTTACATTGATGACGATGACGTGGCGATGGTGCTGCGGGATTTGGTTTCTTTGGTCCAATTTGTTCCGCTGCTCTTAGTGGTGGGATCCACTTTTGTGTGACTTTCTTCAGTGGATAGGAGATGTATGATTGAATTTTCACCGGTGAATCTGATCCGTCCATTGAATATAGTGATCAGTTTGTGGCTTTTTAAGGTTTGTTTTATTCATTGAAATTGGGAGGAGAGTGAAAGGAGATGAATTGAATGGGGTGTTATTATGTATAAGGAAAACATGTTCTTTCACCAAACTAGTCATGCTTTAGCTTTAAGAATGAGTTAGGGACAGATTTAAAAAAATAAAATTAAAATCCGCAAAATTCCAAACCCCCTTCAGACCCATCCCGATTAATAATAATTATATAAATAAATATTATTTTGTTAGCTATAAATTTTTTTTATAATAATTTTGAGCTTTAATAATATTTTTGCAATTTGTCCATCCTAGTTACAATGATGCCTCATTCTTGCACTTGTAAAACCCCAATGTGACTCCTCCCTATATATAGACATATTTTCGTGATGGAGAGTCTCGTGTGCATTACAATCTATAGTTAAGATTTAGTTACTAAAATTCTTGACCTAAATAGGTACAAATTTATAAATTCTTTTTAATCTTTTACAATTCACCAATGTCTACAAATACTTCAATGTTGTAAAATCTTTCATCTCTTTGTAACACTCCATATTTTCTTATTCTTTTTAGTATAAAAGGAGAAACATAAAAAAGAAAAAAAAAAGAAAAAGAAAAAAAAGTATTATACTATTTGTAATATATATATATATTACAAATAGTATAATACTTTTTTTTCTTTTTCTTTTTTTTATATATTACAAATAGTATAATACTTTTTTTTCTTTTTCTTTTTCTTTTTTTTTCTTTTTTATGTTTCTCCTTTTATACTACTCTCTTCCGCGTTAAGCTTTGTTCATAGACCAAGAAATCGAAATATCCACATGATCAATAGAATATTAGTGCATTCGCCCGTGGAAGAATCAGTTGAATCCGTCTTTCTGGACTACTTTCCAAACATCTATAGATCGATTAGCCAACCTTCGTCGATATATATTTATATACATACCAAATTTTATAACATTTATTAGACAAAAAAAGCAAATTATATATCCTTAGTTTACAAACAAGTACTCCAACATATATAGTTGTATTTGTAATCTTTCATTATATACATGTACCAAATTTTATAATATTTTTTAAGGGAGACGATATTCGCACTCCACTTTTCTCCGGTTACATTATATTTATCATTACTTTTAAAGAAAAAGACAAAAAAAACCATTGAATTCTTTAATGCACAATTCTTTAATTTATAATGTTATAACTATCCTTTATACAATTTAAATTTTTTTTATTTTTAACCTTCTTTACTTTTTTTACTATATTTTTTTTTCCGGGATCCTCTCAAAGAAAATAATTTACTCTATACTAATAATTTTATTTTTGACAGTCAAAAGGGATAATTTATTCCATAGTGACTACTTTTTTTTTTTTTTTTAATTTATTTATTTACAATCGAAAGAGATATTTATTCAACAAAATTGTATTTTTTTCAATTTTGTCAAAAGAGGTAACTTTATTTTTTGGTAATTTTTTATAGTTCTTGTCAAAAGAAATGGTAATTTTTTATGGGTCCTGTCAAAAGAAATAATTTATTCGATAAAAATAACTTCTTTGAGATAATTTTTTTTAAAATCATCTTTCTTTTGTACTCTCTATTATTATTGTTTTTTGGGGATCTTTATAACAGAGATAATTTATTCAATAAATATATTTTTATGTCAAAACAGATAATTTTTTAAATGGTTACCTTTTATTTTTTTATCCGGCCAAAAGAAGCAATTAATTTAACTTAATAAATTTTTTTTTTTTTGGTCCCTTAAAAAAAAATTTATTCAATTTTTATTTTATTTTATTTGTGTTGTCAAAAGATACTTAAAATATTAAAGATTAGATATAAAGAGAGAAAATATGAAAGGATAGTTGTGTTATTTAAAAAGTAACAATTATTTACTTTTAAAGATAAGGTTAGAATTGTCATTTCATTTAAAATTATGTTACAAATGTTGAAAAGTGAAGTGCGAGTATTTGCCTCCCTTTTTTAAATAAGAAAAACAAATTATATCCTTATGTTTGATATGTGTAAAATGCAGCGTTTGGTGATATTATGAGCATGGAGTACCACACAATTTATGATATTTAGCAAATTACTTGTATATCTTTGTATCACAAAATTGTGTCCTCACACACCATAGCATCACCAGCGGGTTCTTTGATTGGTGGAGAGGATGTTCTAGCCTCCAACAGATGAGGCTCTGTGTCCTATTACAACCACCAAATAGCTTTTTAAGGTTCTTCCTTTTTCCTAGAGCCAACAAACTTCGTACTAAAGGTAATTAAATAAACCAAACAATAAAGCCAAGAGATTACAAATACTGAAGCATTACTGTCAAATTCTTAACTTTTATTAATATAAAGCTAATATATAATACGATACAGAGTACAGACAAGTCTTCACCCTCTATTCCTACAAAACTGATGGCAGCTTTAACAAACAATGGGATTATTTGTTTTTACACTCTGATTTCCAGATTATTTGGCAAGGAAATAATCTGTAAATAATTGGGTATTCACATTCTTGCCTTTAATTTTTTTTGGCAAGGAAATAATCTGCATATGCATTCAGTTGTTTTCTAGCAAGCTCCTCAACCTATTCCGGGCCGCCTCAGACAAGCTGCAGCACTTCAACCTTTGCCGGCGAGGAGGAAGTGGATCTCTCCGGTCAGGGGGAGTAAAGCACACAACTACTGCAGTGAGATTGTCTTCCGTATAAAGGCGTAATGCTTGGTTCACTAGTTCTCTGGCACACCGCTGCAGGTCATCATGCAGCCTTAGCTCACGGCGAACAAGGCTCACTGCTTCCTCGTTTGACATCACATCCCAGATCCCATCACAACCAATAATCAAGAACTCATCATCTTCTGTTAACTCAACCTGTTGAACATCTGGCTCTGCAATGAGGGGCGATGAGGAGCCACGGGGGTACTTCATGTGCCAGTCTCCAAGGGCTCGGGTGACTGCAAGTTCACCATTAAGGAAGCCATACTTAATGTAACCACCAAGATCCTCAACCCTCTTGCGTTCTGCTACAGAATTAGGCCTGTGATCTTGAGACATCTGTACTGCTACTCCTTTCCTGCAGAGAACTGCCCGACAATCACCAGCATTGGCTATCATCAGATGCCTGCCAAGTACTAGAGCAGTCAATGCTGTTGTTCCACAAGTGGTGGCAACACTATGTTCAACAGCCAAGGCTTGGTCAGCCAATAAAAATGCTCTGCGATGAGAATTCTCCAACTCTTCCAAGAAAGCATCGTCAATATCAGATGTTTGTGGCAAATAGGCATCTTCAAAGAATAATCTCATAGCATTGTTCTTGACATAAGCTGCTGCTTCAGGGCCTCCATGTCCATCAAATACAGCATAAAAAGCACTTGCCGAAGGGCACCTGAAGATAGAGCCCAAATGGGCAGAGAGATCATCAATCCGAATGTGTTCATCTTCCATTTTTTCCCGGGGTCCAATGTCCACGTAGCTGCCTGAACGAATGCTTGGAACAAACTTTGTGGTGGAAGACTCAATAAGGGTAGTTTTGATACTACTTGAGCAGTTGACAACCTATGAAACGAGAAATAGAAGATGAGATCATGTCCATGTATATCTCAAGACAACGTACCCTAGAACCATAAATGCTGCATTTAACAAAAAAAACAGATATATTGCACCTTCAACGAAGCAAAACATATCCAATAATATCACTGTAATTGAACTAATGAATTCATAATACACGAAGTTCCTTCGTTAATCACAGTGGAAAAAGTAAAGTTCACTTTTGAAAAAAGTATGTATCCCTAAACCTAAACTAATCAATTCAGAGTGTCAATCAAAGTAATTTCACCAACTACTGTATTAAACGTGGAACTAAAAGAACTTTCTGAGATTCTTCTTCTCGTGATTACATATGCATTAATGCGCACTCACACACACACACAACCACTGCTGTTGATAGTATAGCTTAATATTTATCTAAAAGTTAGTAAAACAAATACAAAGAAAACCCACCAAGAAAATAAACCACAAGCTATGGTCTATAATTCATTATAGATGGACTCAACCTGTTTTTCACAAGAAGGTGAGTAGTTAAGTACATTCAAAAAGGGAAAAGGAGAAGGAAAGGGAAGGATATGAAGGAAATCCTTTTTCTGTTTGAAACAAAGGAACTTTTTACCAAAAGAGAGATGTTATGTCTTACGAACTGAACCCGAGGTTTCAATGAGGATGTTGATGTGGTTTAAGATTAAAAAAGAAGATAACAGGCAAGTTAGACTGAGAACACTAGGAATGGGGCAAGTTGGGTAAGCTTCTAAGTTCAGTAATTCTCCCCCTCCTATCAAATCCGACCATGTTTCATCAAATTGAGAACAATACACACACAGACACACACACACATATATATTTCCCCCTTTCAAACCCCACCAAATCCAATCCCATTTTAAACTTACTAAAGAGGCAATATTCCAGCTCCCCGGAAAAAAAATCATGTTATTACCTTCTGCTTTCAAATTCCACCAAATTCAACCGATTTTAGACCTCATTAAGGACAACACATCCCCAATATCACCTACCTTCCATTAATTCTAAATAATAGAATCCCATTTTAATACCCAAATCCTATTAAATCATCTCATTCCAGACACAGACACAGCATAAGTTTCCTTCCAAATTAACATGAAGAAAATAGCCAAAAATATATATATATATATTATTATTTTTTTAACAACCCTAATTTTGTAGCATGGCTTAATAAGCAGGATGATCAGCCTTTAAAGTAAATTCAGGACAAGAAAGCGTATCAGTCAACATATCAGTATCGTATTAACACATATATGTATGATCTAATCTAGCAAACAAGGATCAAACAAAAGAAAAAGAAATTCGGAAATCAAAAAACCAATCAAGAACGAGTCAGAAAAACCGATACATACCGACCCAGAGCGTGAAATTTCGATCGGCAGCGACTCCGAGGCGCGAAGATTGCAGAAATTCGGAGACCGTGACGGCGTAGAGACTTCCAAGCAGTCCTCCTTCATGTTGAGACTGACCGCTTCAGAGACGCAAAGGTACTGAACATCGAGAAGAGACATGTTCGGTTGACAAAATATATCTGCTTCGGCTAACATCTTCTGAAACAACACAAATCTAGAGAGAGAAAATCACTTTAGGGGAGAGATTTTTCGGTGGTGTGAATTGGGGAATTAGGGATTATATATTGGTTTCTCTCGCTGTGTCACCACTTTCTGTTTTGAGTTCTAAATTTCTATAATGGGAATTGTATGTGTACGCAACTTTAAAGCCGGTTAGGGCATTTTCCACAACACATGACCGACTTTGCTTTCTTACAACCAATTCACTAAATTGCCCCCAAAGTAACATATTTCACAAAGATATGTATTTTTGGCAGATATATATATATATATATATATATATATATATATATTATATCATATTCCTTCACAAGCAAGTTAAAATTAGGGGCGACAAAATTTGATCCGACCTGACGATTAAACGGGTTTGGATCATAATCGAGTTGACACGATATTAACTCGTTTAATTAATTGTGTTGTGTTTGGATTGAAGTGGTTCAACCTGCATAACTCGTTTAATAACTGTCATAATTAAATTTATATTTAAGTTTTAAAATAACTATCTAAACTTATGCTTTGTAATTTATTTAGTAATTTGGTTGGATTAAAACTTATATTTTTATATTTTTTATTGTTTGATTGAATATTATTATTAATTTAAATAATATAATTTTTTGTTTTAGTAAATAGGTCATTGTATAACTTATTTAATAAACAGGTTGGATTAATATTAAGGGTTCATGACCCAAATATTAAACGGGTCATGTTCGAGTTGATCTATTTAGTATAATACTCTTAAATTGACACGATACGATTATAACTCACGAATTGTCATCTTTAATTAAAATATTGTTTCTTTTTGTTGGTTATTTTCCCTTGCCTTGTATCTCTAAAAAAAAAAAAAAAAAATTGACTAATTTTGAATAATTTTTTTTTTTTTTTTAACCTTCTATGTTACAAATACATTCACTAAATATAAAAGTTTTGAAAAATTCACCAAACTTTTTTTCACTTTGGAAAGGGTGTTTAGCACACTCATTTCATTCAATAATTAAATGCAATCATTATGGTATAAAAAATGTGCCAATATTTATTTATTTATGGTAAAAAAATGTCTCAAGATGCAAAATTATCTTACATGTAATTCTAAAAATATAACCAAACCTCTTATGGTACTAAACAATTGGCAAAAGTAGTAGCATATTCCGAGTATCACATTAGCATATTCAATTCATTTCGCAACTTGTTATGGTCCATGAACCGTTATAATGATCCACCTCAAAGTCTATCATATTTCTACAAGTGCAAGATCACACTTGTCACTCTACATGTTTCACAACGTTTTATTGTATCATCATGTACGCTTAAGTTGTTATATGAATCAATCTATGCTTCAATTATAATCCAAGTCATAGGATTCTTTGCTCTTGCACTTCTGTTATGCGCACACTCTTATTTTTTATTTTATTTTGTGTGACTCGAATTTTATTATTTTCGTGTTTTTATTTTCACTTAATTTTGTCCTGTGTGAGTTAAGTAGATATTCGGTGCGCTTGGTACATTGTGCACAGGACTAATCAGAGTTGTTTGTAATGTGCACGATGATGCATATTATGCATGCAAGACTTTAATTAATTCAGTGCACGATACACCAGATGCTACTATTCGTGTGACGACTTATATTATAATCTCATGTCCTCAATATATCCTTGTATCACAAAATGATATAAATTGATACTTTGTGATATAAAATGATATCCTTTTATGAACTCAAGTTACCATAAATTCACATCAAGTTACAAATTTACCTTAAAGAGAACGGTTACTCAACTTGTGCCACCTATGCCATTGGATCAATTATATGTTTGTGTATATATAATTATTAAAAAAATAAAAAAGTAATCACTTAACGGTTGACACGATTGGATGCCAAAATTAAGACATATATAGATTAAGACACCAAGATAAAGGACAGTGTTCGGAATAATACTCAAGAAAAACAATTATTGATGCACCATTAATTTCTTATTCGAAACACCATCGTTTCTTATAAATAAAGAATAATTTGGAGTTTAAAAATCAGATCACTCTAATTGATTTATATAAAGTGGTAGCTAATGTCATTAATATGTTATTAATATTTCTAATGTCAAAAAAAACATTAATCTCTATTCATATAAAATTAGTTAAATAAATTTATTCCATAATTATATGTGACTCCCTATTATTAGTGTCTGTCAATTAGGTCCTATGTTTATTGACTTTATATATATATATATGTGTGTGTGTGTGTGTGTGTATTTTATAATTATTTTGGATAAGGTTGCTTATTGAAAATGTTGTAGTCGTGAAAGGATAAATCAGTCATCGTGTCAACTAGTGCAACCCTTAGTCATATACCACACTGTCGGTCCACAGAGTCTCAAACAACTACAACCACTAAATACAAAATTAAGGACAATTCTTATCACTTATCACAGTTTTCCATTCATTAGTTTAAGGCCAAACCTAATCAGAGTAACTTACCTCCCACGTAATCTGTCCTTTACATTTTAAAATAATAATTAAAGAGACAGAAACAAACTTCCATAACAAGTTCATTATCTACACATGCATCAAGACAAAGTCAATATCCAGACCTAATTACTTCATAAAGGTTGCCTGAAATATATTATATGTGGACAGTGGACTTGTCAGCACAATAAAACTTTATTAATGATAGACTCAACTCATGTTAGTCAGTAAACATCTTAATTTTTATTTTTTATTTATTTATTGATTAAAACAATAATAAAATATACAAAGGATTATAAGAATTTGATAGAAATTTAGAATTATATATTTCACGAGTTTATGATACAAGCTGTCTTCACACCTAAATCAAGCTCAAGCTCAAGCTCAATTGTGTATGGCGTGAGACAAATTGAACTAGTTAGTAACATATATTATAATAGAACTAGGTTGGTAAATGTCGGAGAACAATACATAATTTTGCTTTATTTTTAATTAGTTTGATTTACCTCCAAGATGAAGACAAGCTTCAAGTGAGACTTTATTAATTCATATACTTCATCAATTAAAGGGTAGAAAAGTAAATTCACACTTCGATGCACTCACACCAATTAAGTTCACGCATTCAACATTCATGATTTTTAATTTCAAAAAAAAAAAAAGGAGTAAAGTACAATGACACATCGAGGTTTGCCTAAAGGACACTCATGAAAGTTTGCCGGTTTTGGGACAATGACACCCACTCAAATTTGATACAGCTACCAAAGACACCCTAATAGTAATGAATTGACATTTTTGCTCTTTGACTTTTATTTTGACCAATTTAAATGTTAAAATGACTATTATAACGTCATACCAATAATCATTTCTTTCCTTCTCTCCTCTCTGTTCTCTACAGATACATACATATATATAAACAGTAATAAATTTAGGGATTCTATTGAAAAGTTCAAAAAACTTGCATTATTGAATTTTATCTGATTATACTTTTGGGTATTTTTTAAAGTAACATGATTATATATTGTAAATACTTGTCCAAAAAAAAAAAAGAGGCATGTATCTGTTTAGTAAAACCAATTGTATAAATTAACAAATTAAGATGGCGCGCACACACACACACATATATATATATAAATCTCTTATTAAACACATACATATATATACATATATATATATACACACCCACACACACACACACATATATATATTGTGAGTTTCCTCAACTCTCTCTTCACTGCCGGAAACTCAAAGAAGGCCACCATCTCCGACGACAAGCAGATCGGCAGCGGATCGAAGAACCCGCCAGCGGTTGTGGCCTGCTCCTCGCCGGCGCATGATTCTTGTATAGAGCTTCGATGAGTCCATGGCAGAGAGGTCCGCTGACGGTTGTGGCCCACTCCTCACCTACACATGATCTTCTACAGAGCTCCGGCTATTCCATTGCAGAGAGCTCTGCCGACCGTCGTGGCCCGCTCCTCGCCGTTCAGTCTAGCTTCACCGCCGGTATATTCAATCCATGCTCTCTGTGAAGCCATCGCCGGGCAGTATATAAACTTTCATCTATCTGTCCTTATCCTAAACCTCAGGGGATGTCTCTCTACTTTACCACAAAAAAAATTATAAACTTATTTTGATTAAAAAATGTATGGCTTTAAAACCGAAGTCTAAAGTTTTTTTTTTTTTTTAATATTAAAACCTTAGGCTTCGTTTGGCATGCGTTTTGTTTTTATTGTTTTTGTTTTTTGGGCTGCTACAGTATCGATTTTGGTAACAAAAACATGTTTTATGCAATCTTATTTTATTTTACACAGTGCTAAAACACTTCGTGAACAGTGACCCAAAACCAAAGCACCAAAATTTTTTTTTTTTTTTTTTTTTGTTTTGACAACTGTTCATCGCTCAACGCCTAAAACAAAGAACTTCTGATTTTTTTTCAAACAGCAAAACATCGTTTCCTAACATGCTTCCGATTTTTTTTTCAAAACATTGCTAGAGCAAAAACACTGTTTTTTTTTTTATTCAAAAATAAAATATTTAAAACAAAGCGCATGCCAAACGAACCCTCAAATTGGATTTTTGGTTGATATAGTTAGGAAAACAATAAACTTGTCAAAGAGTAATAATTATAGCCTGGTGTGACAGCCATTGAGAGAAACATTTTAAGAAGAAAAAGTATATCATCTATTAGTTTCTGTTGGATTCTATGTATTAAAGTCGCGGGAAAAAAAAGTAAAAACAAAAAAAACCACCGATTGCATTACTTATTTTGGGATTGAAGTTGATGAGAAAGGAAGCGGAAATGGTTGATTGGCTACCACAAAGGAAGGCTGAGGTATAAGACTTGTAGAAGTACCATATACAATAGTGTCGTTATAAGGTATCATATTTTGTTCTTGACTTTCATGGTGTTGCAGTACTTGTCCTTGTTCAAACCTCTCTTGTTGTTGCTGCTGCTGCTGCTGCTGCTGCTGCTGCTGCTGCTTAGGGACATGAAGCTTCTCTCCCTCTAACTCTCTATACTTGATGAGATACTGTTTGAGTGGCTTTACATAGTCTTCAAACCCTAGGGTGGTGATAGCCCATATGATATCGTCCCCGTTGATCGTCTTCCTCTTTTCCCGTTGGCATTTGTCTGATGCTTCTCCGGTGACAAAGCTAATGAACTCCGACACACATTCTTGGACAGTCTCTTTTGCATCCTTGGAGATTTTTCCATTGCCCGGAATCACCTTTTTCATGATCCGGCCAACGTTAGCTATAGGAAGGAACCGGTCTTGTTCTTTGTTGTTGCTGCTGCTCTTTGAACATGGACTTTCTGGGCTCGCTCGGCTCGTGTCGTCGGCCCCATTTCCATGTCTATGATCATCTTCCATGTCTATGGAGATCAAGAATTAATGAATTGATCTTTGGGAGTGTATATTTTTGTTTTTATAGGTAAATGGCATGGAAGCATGAAAGTAGGCAAATGATGAGGAAGATAAAAGGCTTGGGTTATTTTTCACCCATTTAGTCCCTCGGACTCGCTCTCAAGGTTGAGAAGGTAATTATGAAAAGGACTGGACTTGACTATTGTACATTTTTTTAATATTATTACAACTAGTACTTAGTACGTTTTCAATATAATCCGGTCCGTACTTAGACAGACAAAAATCGCGTGGTTTTTGCAACTGAAATTTACCCTTTGATACAGTTTTTTGAAAACATTATTTGGTTTTTGTAGAGTAAAAAAAAAATAAAAAACTAAAAACAATTCAAAGATGGACTTGATCGACGGTAAAAACAAAGTTATAGAATATCCAAATTCAGAAAATTAAGAATCTTTTTTGCTTTCACGCTTGCATACTCCGCAAAAAGAAAAGACTGGCATCTGTGATGAAAATACTTGCTAGGTAGTTGCGGGATCCGAGGAGGAACAGATTTACGCAACCTTACCTCTGTAGAAAAGTTGTTTTTTTTGTTTCGAATCCGTAATCTCCATAGCACAAAGGAGCATCCTTCTTTAAAATGTTCGTTGGAGAAACATCATTCCATCTGATGATAACCAGCCTGCAACAGAACAGTTCAGATCACCTAGTCCATGAACATTGCAAACCCTAACAACTAATATTTAAGACAACCATGTATTAAACACAATAGCAGTCTCACATTCTCAATCCAAAGCTTAGGTACCTATGTATAGAGTCCTAAACTAAATTTCTTGACAAGAGTGAGCCAAAGATTTGTCTAACAAGAAATTCCTAACAAAATACAACAATAAAATGGAAACCTAATTAAACTTCGAATTTGAGAGCCAATTTCCAACAATACCCATATAATTGGAATTTCCTTTACTAATATTAATGCAAGAATATCTGAAATGGACACAGAACCTTGGAAAAAAAATGAAGTCAAATTGAGAATTTGACCAACAATATTTGATGCATCTACAAAAAATGCAAAAGCAAACCACATGCTACTTTAGATTTAGAAACCTTTCCCATTTTTACCAATGCAAATTAGATGGAAGCCATCAAAATGTAAAAGATCTTTTAGGTGGTTAATATGAGAAGTTCGGTAAAGAAATTCACGAAAGGGCAAAATTAGTGTGATATGATAGCATGAAGAATGTCAACAAATTGGACTCAAATCTAAAACCTACAGATACCATTTTTGCAACAACTTCAACTCAAGTTTGATCCAAAACCTGTCAACTTGGTTGTTTCTGTAAGGCGAGTACTCATTCACAGCAATTGGGCTCATGCTCTCTCTGCAGCTTCTCCCACAGGCATAAAACCATCCTTGGGTTTTGATAATGGGCAAGAATATAATTTGATTCACATCCAGCATTGTAAAATCGATCATCGCTGATGTACTGCACTTTGTGACCATGGTTCTTGAATTGGTCAATCCATATGCCCATAGAAACATCTTCAAGTTTAAAAAGCTGGACAAACGTAAGACAAGATAGAAATTTCAAGATGAGATTTAGAACGACTACCAGCTCAAAGGAATATAACTTGGGGACTTGACAATGAGACACTGGTATTGTAACTCAGTTAATCCTGGGAACTTCACATCATGTGGTTCGGTAGGACAATACATACGAACTTCAAATAATATCAGTTTATGTTTTCAATAATTGATATATTATCCCTTTTCTCTTTCATGATCAGTACATTTGTTATTCTTTTGTTCATTCTCCTAGTCATTTATCATACATTGATTATGCAGGAATGGATTAATCCTTATACTGTAGTCTTCACCACAAAATTCATAAACTAGAGCAATGTGATTCAGCTTTTTATGATTCTTTTACACATTGCTGTCCACAAAAGTTTTGGTTTAGTTCTTAAAATTTCTCAGATAAAAAACCAATATAGTCTAAATTGTAAACCGACCCCCACGCCCTGAAAAGAAAAAGAAAAAGAAGAGGAAATAAAAAGTGTCTAAGCAAAAGTCACTTGATCAAGCAAGAGATCTGAAATATATGTAAGCACAATGCATACGTGTCAGAAATTAGAAGATGAATATTACCTTGAGGTCCCTTTCTTGGTGCCCTTGAACAATGAATTTTGCAATGTCTCGGGAAATTATATAACCTGGACCATGGGCCCATGGCGGGTATGAAGAATGGGGCCATTCCTATCAAAATGATCTATCAGGATTATGAAAGAGCAATATTTGAGGCAAGTAGCATTCAGTAGAAACATATACTTTTGAATTAGATAAATACCTCTTCACTGATATACCATTTGTTCTCTTTATCCCTATGTGGTTCTGATTCAAAGGATATAAGACCATATAAGAGGCCATCAGAAACCTTTCCCTTGAGACTGGAGAGAACCTCATCTATCCTAACAAATGCATCATCATCTGTTTTCATTATATACTTAGCAGGAAGAATTTTGATCTGCAAATTAGAAGAAAAAATAATTAGTATATGAACCCAAAAATCAGTCAGGAAAAAAAAAAGACCTATAATTCATAATTAACATTTTGATTTTCAAATAATGAAACAACAAGAATAAACAGGGAAAAGAAAAGAAATAACAAGAATAAAGAAAAAACATTCTAGTTATTTAAAGTCTTAAAGGTGTGTTTAACAACATTGTCAATGGTATGATCAGCGTACGATTATAATATAAAATCATGGCACAATATCACAAAATGAAACTGAAAATATTGAAAAGCTCCAAAATATCCAATAATTCAAAATTCATATACAGAAAATAAAATAAAATAATAACTAGCTTTTGTTGGGCCTTGGGATGATTAGCTCCACTATATAATCATTTGATAATTGGACTATTTCAGTTACCAGCATTACACCCCTGAACCTGTTTTTATTGGGTAAACTGGTAGGCCCAGGCCACATTCATCAGGTTTTAGCAGCAAAAATTACTCAACGACTTGGGCTTGGCTGTCGAATTCTTTCTAGCAATTTGCCACTAGCTAAGACCATAACTCTGTTTAATATCTGTAAGATCTTGATATACATTGTTGGTCCCATTCTCTAATAGGTTAATCTTTCGAAGTAATTGGAGATGTACCGTGGTGTCAGCGCTTTGGTTCTGGGAAGTCTTGAGTTCAAGTCTCCATCTCTGAATTAGTTCCCTGGTTTAGTGTGCAAGTTTGCACTTGTTATGATCTAGATTGTTTGTCTCTCCCCATCTCTAACAGCTTAAGCTTTTGGAGCAATTAGTGATCTAACAAAATCTACATGTTTTTCTGGCCCTAGTCTTATCCTAGTATTATTTTTAAACAAACTACTACTTGCCTTTGCATTCATTGGTCTTTGTCACGCATGACGAAAGTACCTTAGAGGAGTTATTTCATGCTTCACTTTATGCCACCTTTAGCTTCCCAGGTACACATTCATTTCTTGGTCTTTTTCTATAATTGTCATTCCTCCAACTTAGGATCCACATCTCAAATATGTACATTTTTTGCACTTGCTGGGACTCACAGAATACACTAATTTTTTGCACTTGTTTCTTCAAAGCCCAACACTTTCAGCAAAACACACCAGCTTTTAGAAACGTTTCATAACTAATCACCTTCAGCTTCATTAGTATCTTACAATAACAAATAACTCCATTTCAACGATCCCAACTGAAATTTATGGTAACGTTTGCTTAATATCCCCTTCCTGTTGGATCATTCATCCAAGAAAATATAATGCTGACATTAGGGCATCTATTGGCTATTTCTTTTCCTAATGTTCTTATATTAAATCCTTCCTTAACTAAAGTTATTATACAATGACAAGGTCATATGAAACACCCTGTGCCAATCAAAAGATGTTCTACAATCACTGAGAATACCAAGAACACAGGCACTCCAGAGGTATACTGAATTTACATTTTCTGTACACAGCCAGTCTCTGGTAAAGTGATGCCCTTCTTGCAAGGCCATGGTGACACAACTTGTAACAGCCAACGTTGAAATTACATGCTATGTGAGGGTTAATATTATGTGGACTAGCTCCATTTCTTTCCAAAAATATTGTAAATGTAAGGTTTACTAAGTTCGCTTAGTGTTGGCTTCAAGAGTTAGCATGTTTTTGTAATCTACATAATGAACCACCTATTTTATTTCATGATGCGGCCAAATGCAAAGTAAATCACAATATCAGCACAAGTGCACAACAGTAAATTAGTGAGGGCCATGATAACAATCCTGCCTACAGAAATAAATTATAAATAACAGCAACCTCTTTTGTTTCTATACCAACCATTTATATCTACGCACCCCCAGAATGCAAATTGCAATTGTTTTCAAGCTGAGAAGGCTGTAGTAATCAACAAAAGGCATCAGCTGGATATCTCCATATACTTGAGCTTCTCTCCACAGCTCGAGATTGACTTGTCTATTCGTATTCTGCAGGTAGGAAAAAAATGAAATAAGAAATAGAAAGAAACAGAAAAAAATAAACAGTCCAGCTGTAACCCAAAAAAATTTCGGGTCAACCTTTTTCCCCTTTCTTTCTTTTTTATATGATACTGAAATACAGTGGAGACATTGTGTAATAATAAAAAAATATTATATATTCCGTTCATTGCTTGGAGTAATGCTAAAAAAATAGCTAAAGCTCTAGCCACCAAGCATTAGAACACAGGTTCAAGTCTGAGGGTGTATATTTTTGTGCAAAAAATAGGCCTGTACTTAGTATACACCTCCCAGAACTCTAGATTAATGGGGACTACCACAAAGTAATGGCATTCTATATGATAATGAAAAATCAAAATACCTTTGAACAATAATAGTCATGAACACAGCTTACAGTTCACTGTTGAATCCTGGTAAATAATTCTTTATTTATTGACATATTCATTTTTCTTCAAAAATAAAAAATAAAAAATAAATAAAAAATAAAAAATAAAAAAGACAGAAAGAAAAAGGGACAATGAAGAAAAGGACTAATCTGGAGGAGGCTCGAATAACTAACATCAGATATTCTCAATACGTCTCTCAAGTTACATATTCATGATAAAAAATTGCAGAGTACAAGGTGCTTGAAAATAATATTCAAGTCTGCTCTCTACTTACTCTACCAGGAAAATGAGAATAGTCCTTTCTGGAGAATCACTGTGTCGAACAATAGTAAATAGATGTATTACCCTAGCTCAAAATAATAGTAATAATAATAATAAAACTGCAGTTTCTCTGTATTTCTTTTTGAGCAAAAACTGGAAAACAAAGACCATCCTGGTGTTAAAAAACAAACGCCTCCCATTTTGCAAGTGCACCACTTACAAGGCCAATGAAAAAGCGGACAGCCACCTCCCCAGAACGCACAGCTTCATATTGCATCCACGACCTCCTTAGTGCCATACGGCGCTCAAAATTATTTCCAGTGGAGAAAACGCCAATTAGCATTAGAATTCTTTTCTTGGAAATTGGTGGAGCTGTGAGTCTCTTAACATCAGCCACTAAATCCAGATCTTCAGAAACAGGCAACCCTTTACTTAAGGCGGATATGAGATTCAAACCACCTGACATTTTGACTCCACTAACCAACCATGGTTCAAGTTTCTGCATTTGTATAAATTACAATTCAGATAACACATTTCACTAGAATTACCACCTTGTAATTTGATGTAAATTGTAACTAAACTCATTATCTTACCTCCCTATATGCAAAAGATGTTTCATGCCTTCCATTCACAGTCATATGAAATCCCTCTACACCAGCCCACAACGTAGCAGTAAATGGATTACCTTCAACAAATGGGAAATTAGTACTCACATGTGAACTCCCATTGGAACCATTGCTTAACTTGTCATTACTGGGATGACTTGCATTTACATGATCTTCTGTGCTTCTTCTGATAACTTGGTCATTGCACTTTACAAGTCCATCAACTGTTATTTATGCCACAACATGTTAAATTACTGATTCCAAAGAGCATAGTTATTTACATCTATCACTACCTACTGGATATTTGTACTTAAAGATCTCAATAACACTCCATAAGATGAATTTTGACAGAAAAAAAGGGGGTTGGAATTATCAAATCATGGAGCAAATGCAGCCCAGCAGAACAAATTCATCAGCTATAAATGTTTCGACTTACAGTTGTGTCATACACATATGCTAAGAAAGAAGGGAACTTGAGCTTCTGACAACAAGTTTGAGAAACCAACTGGATATCACTTGGCCTACCAGGCCAGTGGACTTACATCTAATACCTGTTCTGATCTATATGTTAGCACATATAAGAAAGCAGCACCACACAATTTGTTTGTGATTACATAGCACTTTGAGCCATGACCTTCTATCTAGTACAACACTGGCACCATAACTCAAAGTTCTTTTGAACATTTGACTCGCATGAGATTCTGAATAATAATATGTCATATTATATAGATACGGAAGAAATTAGCTATATAAGATGTTTTCCATCCAACTGTAGGGCCAACAATAAAATGAGACAGTCTCCAATCCCTGACTAAATCAAATATTAAATTTTGCAACTTTTACTTCTATTATGCAGAATTGTAGGGAAGACTGGATATAGGCATTGCTTAACTGAAACTCCAATGTCACATATCAGAACAAGAATGCAAGTGCTTGTACAACAGCTATAGCATTGCACCGATAACAGGGTAGCATTTGTAAAACTTCAGGAAATCAAAAAATTGTAGTTCAGGAAATGCTATAAAATATACCTTTCATGTTGTTAGGTGACCCATGATCAGGGCATATTTCCGCTTTGCCCCACCCAAGTTCGTTAGTCCATATATTCTGAACTATCACTGGCTCTATCATCAGGTTATCTCCCGGCAGACAGACATTGTAATGCAAAATTATAGGAGGCTTTGACTCTTCTGAAAGTTGCGAGCTTACAAGTTCAATTTGAAAGCTACCCTGTTGCCCATCGGGAATGCCAATCACTGTAACGGATGAATCCTGAACTAGACCACAAGGGATCTCAAGAATGCTATCATTGCTAGATAGTGTTGTATTAAATGTGCTGACGGAGTAAGGACAATCTCTTTCTTCTGAGAAGCTACTATTGTCCTTCACAAATGTGGACAATAAATCTTTCCACGCTACGGCAGCCTCTTTGATACCTTGAGCTGTTTCAGGCAAAGCGTCCGACCTAGACAGTAAGAGACGCATTTGACCCCATACTAGCAATGCCTTGGACTCTTGTTTAGAAATATTTTGCAAAGCATACAAATCATCAAGTCCTTCAACATCAATAAAGTGTGGCTTTTTTTTCGTAGTAGTTTGCAGCTTTTTCACTATTGCTTGACCCGAATTATCACTATCAGTAGTATTTAACTTAGAATCATTGGCCGGATGGCCATTGAAGAAATCATATGCTGACTGCTTTGGCGGCTGGTTTCCTCCCATGTAGCTGTATCGAAGAAACAAAATCATAGCAAGAGCTAAAATCAACACACCTCCTGACCACTTCTTCATCTTCCAAAACTTCTTGAATCTCAAATACTATGTACAACAAACTGTTTAACTCTTCAATTGTGTAACTAACAAATAAGCATAGCATGTAGTGGATCCAATGATTCGTCATTTTCCGCAGTCATCTTCTTTTTTCTAGTCCAAATACAGATAAACCCTGCCATGATATTTCTTCAAAATTTTAAAAGAAAATCACGAAGTTCATAACTCATAAGCAACCAAGCAAAATGAAGTAAGAAAATGCTAATTTTCTTCTACATCACACACACATGTATAAACACAGATAAAAGCATGGACAATAATTAGGAATATTCTGAAAAATCATAAATGCACAAAATACATAAATATAGTTAAGGCTAATCTGAAAGCAGAGAACTTTACAATTATTCAAAAGCCAAATCACTGGGATTACAGTAAAGATTCCTCCAAGTCTATGCAATGTCTTCATTTGCATAGATGTTGAAAGTACTTCTCTTAGCTTTTGGGAAGCAAAATCTTTATAGAAAGCAAAAAACAAAAAAAGTTTTGCTTTGAAAAAGTAAAGAACCGTTTCCAAAATAGATAAGAAACAACTGACTGGCATTAACAAAAGCAAAAATCAATAAGATTTGGAAACTTCAAAGCAAAATATGCATAAATCCATACCTGGGTAGATTCCAGAAGTAACTGGGGCGAGCTTCTTTGGATCTAACAAATGCAAAACAAGTTTCCAATTGAACTTTAAAAAACTTTCTTAAGCTTAACCTCTTCTTTAACTACTGTGGTTGGATTTGGATTCTAAAATCACCGTGATTCCAAAGTGTTCACACGCAGTTAGGTTAGAGAAGAGAGAGAGAGTTTTCAACTGCTTATTGAAGACAGATTTGATGAGGTTGTTGAGTAAAAAAAAAATTTGCAATTTCTCTGTAGTGTGAAAGATATGTGCTATCAACAGAGAAGTGATTTAAAGTGATTGGAGAGGATACAGTTCCATAGTTAGGTGTTGGGTTAGTAGTCTCTAGAAACCAAACGGGACATTTTTTTTTTAAAAAAAAAAAAACATCCGTCTCATTTTTCTCGTTCTCTCTTCATTTTACTGAGATCCAAACGCGACGTTAACGTGTTTGTTCGGCCATCGAGACAAAAACGACGGCGTCTTTGGTTGTGTCGGAGGATTTCACGAGTTTTCGGCTCTTTAGTCCAAGACACGACGGATTGGGGCCCTCTCATTATTCTGGACAGGAAGATGAAATGGCATGATCGAAGCCATCCACGCGGAGTCAACAAACACATCAATTAACAGATAATTAAGGATGTCAACTCTAATCCAAGTGTGTATCACGTTGGAATAGCATTGTTTAATGGAGTAATTAAAAAAAATATTCTATAATTAGCGACCGTGTCTCACAGAAATGTATAGCTCACAAAGATCATGTAAATTTTTATTTTATTTTATTTATTTATTTATTTTTTTTTTTTTCGGAGTCAATCACATAATCCATAGTTGTCTAAAATTGTATAAAATATCATTTTTCTTATAATTAGGAAGATTATTTCATTACCTTTTGGATGACCTTGGCTATGCGATGTCTTTCAATGATCAATCGTTTTTTTGCAAGAATAAATGACATTAAACTAAAATATTTGTTACGCAGTCTTAGAATTGAAATTAAAAAAGTTTTAAAATTTGAAATAAATATTATTCAATTCTAAATTACACTAAAAATTCTTCAATTTTAAATTTAAAACGTCAATTCTAATCACTACTATTCAAACAAGGTAGCTCTCAGTCTCGGTAAAGTCCATCTTGTTGTGATAGAAATAAACAACAACAAATAAGTTTTTTCAGCCATATGGATAATTCAATGTGCTCATTAACGCCTGACCCTGAAATGTGGATCATTCAAAACACATTAGCATTGCGTACTCCTCCTGTTCGAACTGGGTTTGAAACCACTCCAGATTACAAAGCATTCCAGCCCAAAACTGAGACTACTAAAAGAAGCCCTTAATACCAAAGTCCATTGCAATTTGCTGGTCGGGAGCAAACAAATACTAGAAATGGGTCTTTTACTGTGACCACGAAATAGCTCTCAATTAGAAGGTTAAAGGAAACAAACATCCCAAAAAAGTTATACGCATGACACAATCCTCAAGTGCAACAACCTGAAACGTCTTATAAACAACATTATACAAAGCAATATCACCAGTAACATATACAATAATACAAACTGAAGTAGACTAAACACCAAAATATCAACCTATCAAGTCCAAAAAACTGAATCAGTCAAACACTTATGGCTTGAATTGATTTTGCATACTACTGCGGACTGTTCCGTTTCTTCAGTAGACAATGGTGGTGTCCGACTTATTAGAGCACTCCCCATAATTCACCATCCGGAGCATACAATCCCTCCATTTCACGTGAGGAAAAATCGCTGGCCTATACGATATAGGCTTTCACATGATGCGATCTCTTTCTATTTTTCTCTCGTCTGTCTATTAATCCTTGTGTAAGAAATTGTATAAAAATATCATTTTTCTAGGAAGATTATTTCTTAGCCCTTAGATGACACCGCGATGAGATGTCCTAACCTTGAACTGTCCATCTTTTCTTGTAAGGTGTGAACTGTATAATTCTGTTTTCTGTTATTTTTCACACAAAAAAATAAAGAAAAAGAAAAGGAAAAACATCTTTTCATGTGCACAACCTGAAACATCATTTAAACAAAGATTATACAAAGCAACATCACCAATAACATATAAACTGATGTAGTCTAAAAACCCAAATAGCATCCTATCAAGTCCAAAAACTGAAGCATACAAAAGCTGATTGTTACTGTTGCTTGGCCAAATTGATTCCCATTGATGGCAGCACGAACCCAAGAAGAAGCACCTATTACAAATATCAAGTCAGTCCAAAAAGACAGAGGGTGGAGGAAGATAACTGAAGTCATTAGAGTTGGTTCTATAAACACTGAATTGCAAAAGCATCCATGCCAGAAAATGAGCAAAGAAAGGCTAAATGGGTGATAAGTGAGGAGAGCGCCCACGCAACCAGTTCCGAGTGCACACCACGGCGTTCCTCAAGTCCGGCTCTGTGCCAAAAACTGGGAGATCAGCTTCTCTGTATTCTGTATAATAAGCATCATATGAAGTGGCTATAGATACTGGAATTGCCAAAATCTCACGAGCCATCTTGGACAGAATGGGATACTTGGGATTTTTAGCTTTCCACCACTTCAATGCATTGAAATCCTGGCTCAAAGGCACAACGGGTTCTTCCAAATAACAATCCAGCTGTGACTTAGGCGGCTGATTAATAGATTCAACAAACTGACTGTGATCCTTCAACCAAGTAGGACCACCAGATGCTCCATCCACACTCCCTGGAAACTCTGATTTCGAGCTGGAAGATGTTGAATCACTCAAACTTTCAACATCTTGTTTCACATAATCATCATATAGGTTGCGAATGGCCTCCAAAACAAGTGTAACTTTTGAGTTTCCATCACTTTCGGCAAAGTTTGAGGAATAACATTCTATATATTGCAACTTAAAGCAAGGATCCATAACTGAAGCAATTGCCAATACCAAAAACATATCATTAATATACTCATCAAGTCTATCAAGCATTTTCTTAGCAACTTTACTACTGAAGCTATCTGAACTGATCGAATCTTGAGTCAAGATTGTCCGAAGCTCTTGAAGATTATGGAGATATATGTTAGCAGTTGGATCCTTTGTTTCAAACATCATCTTTGCTACATTATGTGTGCTTTCAACCAATTTACAAACACTTTCAACTTTCCTCCATTCATCCGTAGATGGTAAATCGTCCATGCATACACGTGAAAATTCCCCCATTGAGTCTAGTTCTAAAGCATTTCTTAGCTTGGAGGCTGTGAGATACCATAAAGGACTCGACTTTGTCCAGCATAGTTCCTGAACCTTATCAATAATCTTAGATATGTCCTTAAATGCATCTTGCACCATTAGGCTTAACATCTCAGCACAACAGTTCACACGAAATAGCTGACCACTAAGTTGGAGCCTCTTCTTTTCCTGAACTTTAGCTTTAACTACCTCAATAACTTCATCATAAGCATTGCTGTCTAACAATGTGAGACTGGAAATCTTGTCCTCCAGCTCCCAATCTTTAAGAGACTTCAAAATGGCTGTATCGAGACAACCACAGTCCCCATCAAAAATACGCCGGAAACTGAGAACCCACTTTTTCAAGTTCCAACCATCATCTATGAAATTTGCTGCTAGGCTCATAAAGAAGCAGCACTCACCCTTTGTGGTTTCATGAAACAAAATGTCAGCCGAAAGGCTGATCTGTCCAACCATATGTCTTAAAAAATGTTTAACCTTCGCTTTCTCTTCCTCATAAATTTTCAAGCAATCACCTTTGACAGAGTCATAATCCAACTGAAGTTGTGGATAAATCTTATTCAGTTCCTTAAGAAGCACTTTCCCATCATAGCAATCATCAGATTCCCATTTACAATCAGTAAAGCCATCACTCCTTGCGTCATCGTCAGCTTGATCAATTTCACAGTCACAGTGCATACCTATAGAAACAAATATGTGAAGAAAGTTCTCAAAAGGCAAAAGCAAACTGTTGATTGGCAATTTTGAGCCACTTAACCTGCTTGCTAATCAGAGGAAATCACATTGATTTTCGCTCTCAAAAGAAATGTACATTGAAAAGGGATCATCAAAATTATCTAGATATTTCCAATGAAACTAGTTTATAAGAAGACATTACCACTATCATCACCAGCAATGTTTACACAATCACAGTCACTCCTTTTTGTATCATCAGCATCATCGGCGTCATGGTCTCGCTTCATATCTAGCAAATATACAATTTTTAACCTAATGAGAGGGGGGGGGGGGGGGGGGGGGAATCTTAAAAGCATTGATAGACACCAACATAAAAGTAATAAGAATCAATACAACGAACATAAATGATCTATAATGGTTAGAACAACTAGGCGAAATGGTTTGGAAGGTTTTTTGTCAGACAAAGAATAGAATCTAGAACTCATTTGTTACAAATGCAAAGTTAAAGAAAGTAGTGTCCATCTTTATATTTGTTTTGCACTGGAAAATTATGGGACTGGATCAAAGCCATACACATGGCTGAGTAGGATGGATATGTGGAGATCAGGGATGTAGGCATGCCCATCTGTGACACAGGTATTTGGATTGGATTTGACCAATATCAGTAAGGTCCAATTGAAGTTATAGGTCTAATGAACAGTTCAGATTGAATGCAGCAGTGGGGCACATGAACTGTGAGGTCCCTTGTTGCCTCAAAATGGGTCACACAGAAGCAGAATTTCTGTTACATGCACAAATGTGAGGATCTTACTATTGCAGCCAGTGCCACATGCCCAAATTCACTCAAATCAGCTACTCGGAATTCTTTTTAAAAAATTTGGACTAAAATGTAGTCATGATAATAGGTTGCATCAATGACATTCCATAGGGCCAAAGTTTTCTTTTCATGAAACCCCTCTTCTATAATTCATCTCTGCAAAACTTGTCCAAACTTGACCACTTTGGCCCTATGGAATGTCATTGATACAACGTATTATCGTGACTACATTTTAGTCCAATTTTAAAATTTCTTTCTGAGTAGGCACGATTTGAGTGATTTGGTGGTGGTGGTGGTTATTTTAATAAAGTATATCAACAATAACAACAACAAATGTTTTTTCCCAATTACATAGGATCGACTACATGAATCGTATATTTCCATTCTGCTTTATATAAGACCATATCATCATCATCATCTTTGCCTCAATCCCGTATGAATGGAATGTCTACATGAATTCTCTTTTTCCAATCCTCTCTATTACATGTCATTTCACCTACTATATTTAGCTTTTTAAAATCAATTTAATAACCTCATCCAATTTTATCTTTGGTCGCCCTCTTTGTCTCTTACCTTCTATTACAACTAGTCTTCCTCGTTTGACATTTAAGACCATATCCTCGGTCAACACACGTGCTATGACATCCTTCCTTACTAATTCTACCCATGTTAACTTTGGTCTTTTTCTTCCCCTAGTATTACCCTCAATGTGGACTATGTCACTCTTTCTAACGTGCACACATTTATTTTAATAAACTATGTAACAGTCCTAGGCTTTGCTACAAATTACATGCCTGTTTTATGCAAATGTGCCCTGCAAAAGAAATCTGCACTGAACACATTAACTCGATCTCTATCTCCTAAGCACCGTTCCATTTCTGGGGTTTGTGGGAACCCTCTCAACCGCTTTCATATGATAAAAACCTCAATATAATGGCTAGCCATATATGCCCCACACATATAATAAATGCCTCTGTGGGCTAGAGGTGGGAATCTCTTTGATTTCCTAATCCTAGTTCCAAACGGTACTCTAAAGATTACTGAATTATCTCAGTAATCTAAATTTCATTCTCCACAATCACATAAAAAATGAGGATTATTCATCCACAAAAGTTCTTTTAAGACTTGTTTAATTCTCTCTTTATCTACCTTGCAGATTTCCAAGCTAATAAAAAAAATCAAGAGCTCCCCATGATGTTTTTCATAAATAAATAATTGAAAAAAAAAGGTGCTCACGGACATCATAAGCTTTCAAATCCATTGACACTCGTTGCAATGTCAGCAGTGTGATGGCTTTGCTGCTTCCTTATCATATCCAGGAAACATAATGGAACTGAGAAATCACCATGTCAAGAATCCGAAAGTATAAACTTGGTCCACTTTAGTTGTCAGGAGCAGCAAGAGAATAATTCTCTTTTTTCAATTTTCAAATTTATTATCTAGAAAAGCTCACGTATTCTAACGATAACGCGGTGCTGAACCAAACACACGCCATTCATTTCCCCTTTTTTGCCATTTTCTGTTCGTTCTTCAATTTCTATTATTTTAATTTCGTTTCTGCAGACATTTTCTCTTGTGTTTCTGCTTTTCTTACTTTGAGAAGTAGAAACAATGTTTTAGTGCATCAAGAGAGCCCTGAAACAACATCAGCATTCGTTGAAACCACATAATCCTAACCCTAAAGAGTAAAAATAGAACCCGAAAAGACTTCTGATGAAGGAAAAACATTTGATACGCATCAAAATCACATAAACAGGAAAAATAAAATAAATGAGCATACATATATATATATATATATATATATATATAAATCGATTCATATAATATAAACAATTAAGCAACCAAAAGAGTTAGATCTAAACCTGGTTAACCGTCGAAATGGTTCACAGATAGAGAATGAGAGATTCTAGGGTTTTTCCGGATCTTTGCTTCGGTGGTTGCCCGAAATGGGTTTTGAAGACAGTGAGTCGAGTTGCACAGGAAGATGAAATGACAGAAAAGGGTCCTGTTATTTGCGCGGGAAAAATATTGAGGTGAAGATCGGAACCGTCCACGTAGCTCTACATAACATATGGTTGGAATCGGGCCTACTCAATCGACGGTGGATATTTCCCCCTAGCGCTTTGTTGCACATGAAGATGAAATGACAAGATTGAAGTCATCCACTTGGCAACAAGCTACACCAACGGTTTTTATTTTTATTTTTTTTATCAGTGAGAGGTTAAAAACCTCATTTGATTGTATCTCTCATGGGGATTATTTTTTTATTGTTTTATTTTTTTGGCAAATTAAATGAGGAGGCCTTAAATACAAGCACATTTGCTCGAAAACTAAGCCCTCTGCTAAATCAGCCACTGGATATCTAAATAATGTCCATTGAACAATATTTATTAGACAATATTTGTCTACTCATCGTTGAGTAAGAAGTTCATGCTTACCATTGATGTGGCATAAAACAAAGTAACAAGTGTCCCTACAATATAAAAAAAAAAATTAATTAATAAATGATTTAAGAAGTTATTTAGGTTAAATCTAATAGGATCCAAATCAAACACATATCTAATTATCTCTTTCCCATGCTACTATATTACCTTAATTTCTAAGCCTTAAGGAATCACAACTACATGTATCTTGCTCAAATCAAATCCATGAAAAGAATTGGATTAGGATTTTCAATTGTGGGTGATAAGATTTCATGTTTAAACTAATATATATATATATATATTGATTTTGTTCTTTTGAAGCGTGATTTATGTTGTTTAGCCCTTTGCCTACTTGTTGACAAGGAAATAAATTAAAAAAAAAAAAAAAAAGTTTGTGTGAAGGTAGATGATTGCACTTGTTAACGGTGTCTTGTCCTATATGTGAAAATAAATATGAATATATGATTGTCTTATAATTAATCAATCAAAAAGAATTCTTAAGAAAAAAAAAAAAATTATGTTTTTTATCAAATCATGACTAAATACTTTTTTTATTTATTTGAATAATGTTAATAAATCTATTTTAATGCAAATACTCTAGCACGGAGTGACTAGGTTTACAATTGAACTCTTAAGTATCACTATCATCAATTATTTTTTTGGGTTTGATTCGAATTTTATGATATGATTGTCTTATAATTAATCAATCAAAAAGAATTCTTAAGAAAAAAAAAAATTTATTTTTTTATCAAATCATGACTAAATACTTTATTTATTTATTTGAATAATGTTAATAAATCTATTTTAATGCAAATACTCTAGCACGGAGTGACTAGGTTTACAATTGAACTCTTAAGTATCACTATCATCAATTATTTTTTTGGGTTTGATTCGAATTTTATGATAGAGAAATAATCAAATTAGGATTTGATTCAAATTTTATTGGGCTTAACCCAAATAACTTTTTAAAATTTTTATTTTTTATTTTATATTGAAGGGACACTTGTCACTTTATTGTCATGCTACATAGGTGGTAAGTATGAGATTCCTACTCACCTGAGTAGACAAGTATTGTCCATATTTATTTGAATCACACAAAAATCTAAATTTTTTTAGCCTTATTCTAATTATGAATCTTGGTCCATAAGCAAGCCCACTAACACATCAATTATATTTATTAAAAACTACTCCGTAAATAAAATATTTTCTATTAGATTTAGACATGGAGATAAAATATTAGAGGGAAACTATGTCCAAGAATTAAAATATATGGGCTTTCACATTTCTTTCTTTCACTCATCTGTCAATTAATTCTAGTGACTGAAATTGTATAATAGTTATTATTTTTTTAGAAAGATTATTTCTTATACCTTAGATGACACTACTCGATGAGATGTCCTAACCTTGAACTATCAATCTTTTCTAGTAATTTGTGATCGGTATCATTCTTCATTTTTTTCAACCAAAAATAAATAAAAAAAATGTATAGCCATTGTATCAACTGATGAAATATCTGTACAAAGAAGGGGAAGAAACCGAAAGGCCCTTTGAAGAGAGAGGCAAAACTTCAGTACAGTAACCAGACAGAAAAGGGGTCTGACCATTTTTTTATTTTTTTTTTTTTTTTTTATTTTCCTGGCAATACAAAGCTGAACAAAGACACACATAGATCCAACATACCCAGAACCAGATTACCAAGAGTCACCTAGATACAAGGAAGATCAAAGCCAACCTAACAACACAAACCACCCTAAAACAGCAAAACACTAACAAGCCAGCCACTAACTACAGCACAAACCACAAAAACTGAAGGAACAAGAGACCTGAACCTTTCACCCACAAAGGCCAACAAAAGACTGCCCTTGATACCCAAGTACATTACCAAAGCAACATCACCAGTAACTTACAAACTGACGTAGTCTAAAAACCAAAACATCATCCTATCAAGTCCAAAAACTAAATTGATTTGCATACAACTGCTGACTGGCCAAATTGATTCCATTTGATATTTTGATGGCAGCGCGAACCCAACAAGAAGCACCTGTTAAAAACATCAAGAAAGTCCAGAAAGAGAAAGGGGGTGAAGGAATAAAAATGAAGTCACTAAAGTTGCCTCTATATAAACTCTGAATTGTAAAAGCATTCATGCTAGAAAATGAGCAAGGAAAGGCTAAAAGGGTAGTAAGTGAGGAGAGCGCCCCTGCAACCAGTTCTGAGTGCACACCAAAGCGTTCCTCAAGACTGGCTCTTTGGCAATAACTGGAAGATCAGCTTTTCTGTTTTCTGTATAATAAGCTTCATATGAAGTGGCTACAGATACCGGAATTGCCAAAATCTCATGAGCCATCTTGGACAGAATGGGATACTTGGGGTTTTTAGCTTTCCACCACTTCAACGCATTAAAATCCTGGCTCCAAGGCAAGACGGGTTCTTCCAAATAACAATCCAGCTCTGACTTAGGCAGCAGATTATTAGATTCAACGAACTGAGTGTAATCCTGCAACCAAGTAGGATCACCACATGCTCCATCCACACTCCCTGGAAACTCTGATTCCGAGTTAGAAGAAGTTGAATCAATCAAACTTTCAACATCTTGTTTCAAATAATCATCATAAAGGCTGCGAATGGCCTCCAAAACAAGTGTAACTTTTGAGTTTCCATCACTTTCGGTAAAATTCGAGGAATAATATTCTATATATTTCAACTTAAAGCGAGGATCCATAACTGAAGCAATTGCCAATACCAAAAACATATCATTAATATACTTCTCAAGTCTATCGAGCATTTTCTTAGCAACATTACTACTGAAGCTATCTGAACTGGTCGACTGAATCCTAATAGTGGACAACTCCTGGTTAAGGTGGTAATTTTAGAAAATTGTATAATTTATTTTAATAAACTATGTCAACAACAACAAGCATTTTCCCAACTACTTAGTATTAGCTACATGAATCCTATGTTTTCATTCTGCTCTATTTAAGGTCATATCCTCGATCAAACCACATGCTATCATATCCTTCCCTACTAATTCTACCCACGTTAACTTTGGTCCTCCTCTTCCCTTGGTGTTTACCCTCAATGTGGATTGTGTTAGTCTTCTTAACTGGCACACAATTTATTTTAATAAACTATGCAACTGTCCTTGGCTTTGCTACAAATTAGCAGCATATTTTATGCAAATGTTCCCTGCAAAAGAATTTGCGCTGAACACATTGAGTCCACCTCTATCTCCTAAGCACCATGCCATTTCTGGGTTTGTAGGAACCCTCTCAAACACTTTCAAATGATAAAAACCTCGCTATAATGTCTAGCCATATATGCCTCGCATACATAATAGATGCATCTATGGGCTAGAGGTGGGGACCTCTTTGATTTCCTAATCATAGTTCCAAATGGTCTATTGATTACTGAATTATCTCACTAAGCTAAATTTCATCCCCCACAATCACATAAAAAATGAGGCTTATTCATCCACAAAAGTTCTTTTTAGACTGTTTAATTCTCTCTTTATCTTCCTTTCAGATTTCCAAGCGAACAAAAAATTGAAGAGCTCCCCATGCATTTTTTCATAAAAACAAGTGCTCACAAACATTACCGTCTTTATAGATTAAACAATCAAATCCATTTGACACTCATTGCAATATCAGCAGTGTGATGGCTTTGCTGCTTCCTTACCACTATGTCAAAGAGTGAGAAAGTATAAACTTGGTCCACTTTAGTTGTCAAGAACATCAAGAGAATAATTCTCTTTTTTTCCAATTTTCAAATTTATTCTCTAGAAAAGCTAACGTCGATTTTCACGAAATTGAAGAAAATGTTTCAGAAAACGCACTGCTGAAAACTGAACCAAACACATGCCATTAATTTCCCCTTTTTCTGTTATTCATTTTCTATTATTTTAATTTCGTTTCTGAAGACATTTTCTCTGATGTTTCTGCTTTTCTTACTTTGAGAAGTAGAAAAAATGTTTTAGTGCATGATGACAGGGCCGGCCCTGAGATTGCAAATATTTTGAGAGGCCCTAGGCAAACTTTCAAATGTGAGGCAGTTGAGTTTCACACGCGTAAAAAAAAATATATAAGTGTGCGAATTTTCAAATTCTATAGCTAATATAATTGTGTGCCTGTGCATTGTGCATAAGACAACTAACTAATAACTATAAATTTATCACCACCAACAAATAATTGTGCGCCTGTAGCATAAGACAACTAACTAATAACTATAAATCTATCACCACCAATAAATAATTGAGGCACGTGCAGTATAACTATAAATTTTTATCACCACCAATAAATAATTGTGCGCCTGTGCAGTTTGCATAAGACGATTAATTAATAACTATACATCTATCATCACCAATAAATAATTGTGCGCATGTGAAGTGTGCACAAGACAGCTAACTAATAACAATAAATCTATCAATTAAAGAGTGCGAAATTTTCACAGGCACAAAATAAAAAATGAAGAGAACAGTTTACTAGAGAACAGAAAACTGCAGCTTCTTTTACATTCATTGTTTATATAGCTACTAAAATTTGATGATTACAGATGACCAAAATATGTGGATATGAGGTGACTATATATGTTATAGGAGGCTGAACTTGTAGTACTGAGGAAGTAGTGGGACTTTTAGGTTATATGTGGCATCCACTATCATATATAGTTTTGTCTTTCACTCTTTGGATTAACTACTCTACACTTTGTGTTTGTTTTTTTTTGGAGCCAATTACCCCTTTCTTGATTTCAGGATGAGGGATCAACTTTAGTAGCAGTGATTGGTTGTCATTGCTACAGAAGACCTGTGCAAATTAATAGAAAAAACCATTAACTTTTGTTTTGTCAAAGCCTGCTCTTGATTTCCACGTGTTTGTACATTCTGATGGCAAGTGCTTTGACAGTATTATTAACTTACCTGCCATAGATTGTGGACTCGATCGCCATGAAAGACACATGTAGAAAGGCACACATTTATTAAAATACTAAGAGAACCATAATATATTCATTCAGCTTTTGATACCCATCACACACAGTGACACACACAAAAAAACCCTAGTTTGGAAGCTACTTTTCAGTATTGGAACACAGGTAAAGGCCCGAATCAAACGAACCAAAGTTAGAACAAATCAAATGATGAGATGAACCATAGAAAGAAACATATATAAAAGATTGATTCATGCAAAAGGAGAGAGAGGATGAACATACCTTGTCACCGAGGCGATAGCGGAGGCTGCCGAAGCAGATTGTGTCGTCTGAAACTTGCCCCAACTTTAAATTTTTTTTTTTTTTTTTTTGTTTTTTTCCATCCCCTATTGGCCTCAAAATTGAGGCCCAATGTGACCAAGACTTTTCCTAACTTAAATTTTTTTTTTTTTTTTTTTTCCCTCTGAGGCCCTCTATAATTTGAGCCCCAAGGCGACCGCCTTGGTCGCCTTGGGCCAGGGCCGGCGTGCATCAAAACGAGCCCTGAAACCACAAAATACCAACCCAAATCTTAAAAAAAAAAAAAAAAAAACAAAACAAAACCCAAAAGACTTCATATTAGGAAAAACATTTGATACGCATCAAAATCATAAAAACAGAAAAAATAAAATAAATGAGCATATAGATATATATGACCTGTATACAAATCGATTAATATAATATAAACGATTAAGCAACCAAAAAGGGTTAGATCAAAACCTGGTTTTCCGTCGAAGACTCAAAATGGGTTAGAACTTTCAGAGAGAGAGAGAGAGAGATTCTAGAGTTTCAGGTTTTTAGCTTCGTTGGTTGCTCGAAATGGGGGTTTTGAAGAGAGTGAGCGGATACAAAGAAAGAAGCCTATTATTTGCGCGGGAAAATATTGAGGTGAATATCGGAACCGTCCACGTGGCTCGACGTGACAGACACCAATCGACAGTGAATTCCCCTAGTGGCACACTATTGGGTCAGGCCCATTTTTCACATGTACTCAATTTATAACAACACAAATTTCTCTTCAAATGTTCTCTAAGACTATTCTGGCCAAATTATAAGTCTAACTATTACTATTTACTAACCGGAAAGAAAAATACTCTACACCCTTAACTAAAAAATAAATAAAAATACTCTCCATTGTCTCAGATTAAACGTAATTTTATGAGAATATAATTTTTTAAGAGGATGAAATTTAATATTTTTTATAATATTAATAATAAATGAATTATCAAATATGTGTATAGCGGGGCTCACAGGATGTGATGATTTACTTTTTTTATAAATTCAATGTAAAAAGGTTAAATTAGACTAATTAGTAATGTTAAAAAAAATAGTACATTTTTCAAATGAGATATTTATTTTGAGACAGCTAAAATTAAAAATGTAGACATTTAATTTGAGACGATGAAGTATAAGGGAGAGAAGTTGGCAGTGAAAAGAAAAGAAAGAAATAATAATAATTATTGTTATTATTATTATTATGAATAAATAAATAAAAAATAGCAGCCTTTTTCCTTTGATGATATGAGGTAGATGATAACAAAAACCAAACTAGCAGAGCGTGGAAAACTCTTATGTACTGTTTGATTAGGGGGATGAAAAAAATAGATGAAAGGGATAGGGGAAAGGATGGATGAGATATCCCTAGGGAATGAAATGTGTGTCTCTTACTATTTATTTGGTTGAATTGAATGAATAGTAAAAATGATAGATAGGGTAACACATTTGATTCAAGAGTAATTCTCAATTACTTAGGTTAAGTTTTGATCTAAACGAATATGTTTTTTTTTGTTTTGGTTTGAAGGAAGGGAAATAGGGTTTTTATATTCTTTTTACTAATATGCCTTATTATTTAAAATTTTCAACATTCTATATCTATCCCAAATTTTTAGAAAGGTTAAAAATGGAAAATCCATAGGTATGTTAGTTATTATTTATTTCTCTCTCATCTTCCTCCCAAACACAAAAATAGATAGTTTATCCCTCCTCTCATCCAAACAGAGCATTAAGGAAAAAGAAAACAAATCTTGTTTCACCACAGGCCTCCTATTTCCCCTAACTTCGGAATAAAAATTGCAACTACTTTACCAAGATAACAAGGTTTCTTATTCTGATTTGAACTTTAAACTTGTTGAACTCATTCAAACCATTATATCAAATATGTTCATACTATAATTATTTTAGACTTTTTTTTTTTTTTTTTACACACTCGATCTCAATTTGGGAGAAATTTTTAGATGGTTCGGGGCCAATCACCATTGGACATGTAAGCGAAAAACTAAAAAAAACTTTCATATTTTTAACATAATTGCTTACATATCCAATAGCTCGACACAAATGATTCGAGACCATGTAATAAGTTCTATCAATTTGATTGTGCAACTGAAGCAAACAGAATGTGAAAGCTTTAACCAAAAAAAAAAAAAACAGAATGTGAAAGTCCAACAGAATGAAAAGTTGTAAAGGACTCTGAATGCAGAATATTAGATGAACACAAGAAGAAACAAACAAACAATTTGTCCTTGTATCACTTTTAGTCCCATCCCACGAGCTCTTCTAAGAGCCAGAGGTAGTTTTCACCCAATATAGCTCTTAGAATTCTTAGTTTTGTTTTATTTTTCTCTTTTTTCATGTCCATCTTCAGTAGCATATTGAGTTCTTTAAGGACTGAATTTGTAATATGAGATTTCTTTTAAGGATAAAATTGGTCCACTTGATCAATAAAAACTTTAAACTCATTTATTATTCATTAAGAGTAGGCTCTTTTTCAAGTGCCGAAACTTATTATTGTATGGTAATTAAATTGTGTTATTAAACATACTTAATTGTAAATTATTTAATACGAACAATTTAAGTTAGGTCTAGAAAAAAAAAAAAAAAAAAATAGTGAGAAAATATCATTTCAATGAGCAATGTGTCAAGTCTCCAATCCTTCGTGTAAGGTTAGGTCTAGAAAATATTGTGGTATTGGTCCCAAAATTAAGATAGGGTCAAAATCCTCTCCATACTTTAAGGGGTCATCTACTAATTAAAATGGGTGTCATTTTATTGGATAAAATTCCGCTACCACCTTGATGGTGAAATTTCAAATAAATATAGTAAAATGTAGGTACTCCTATAAGAAACAGTGTACTGATGGAGAAAATTATTAATTTTTTATTAGTAAGAAATTTACATATCCGATTGTCTCTATGGGTACTCAAGTACAACTAAACTACACAACTTTTGGTCACATAAACAGAATTTGACCAACTTTAGAGTTACCAATTTCTTAGTTTACGGATCAGAAATGTAGGCAAGGTACCAGAGAAAGGATTGCATTCATTTTTCGCATTTTAAGGGTTTGTTTGGAATGTGTTATGATATTATTCTTTTGATATTGGTATTTAAATTTGAACCTATATCATGTTTGGAACGGTTGGTATTAATTTAAAACAGTTTATGACATATCATTTTTTTTTTTTTTTGTCCAAACTCATATCATCAAATTGGTGATATTATGTATTTTGGTAGTGTAAAGGAGGAATTAAAGCAAATTTTTGAATTTTTCAAAATAAATTTTCATTACTAAGTTCTGATTTTTACCCAAAACACTCATATCCTCTCCCGAACAGGAAATGCCTTGTACACCCACTAATCATTAATATGACATCATTGTCAGTGAGAGAATCCAATTCAAAGGTTATTAAGTATGCATGACCTCTTCTATTTTTTCAAAGGATTCTTATCTTATCCTATTCACAAAATAATAAAAGAGGAGAGGTTCCAAATAAGATGGAAAGAGAAGAGACTCCAAATAGTTGAAAAAAATAATAATAATAAAATATGGAACATGTTGTGTTAGGAACTACGTGGGCGTACCATGTTATTCCAATGGACAAATAGATATGACACGTCTATCATTGAAAATTTCATGTAAGACCACATTTACGTTAAAACAGTACCACCAATGTCACTAACCGGTCCTCACACTCAAAATTAAATCCCCATAAGGGTACCAAACGATCCGATTTTGTTAGTTTCTGTATATCTAATAGCACAAGTGTTTATATGCTGCATATACAATACCATATATAGGTATTATTATTAAATAATGATAAGAACTTACCAGAATCAAATCTCTAATTTGGCCTTTCAATACAATCTAATAGAAAGCACCAAGCGCGTCATAGTCTAAGAGTTTAAACTATGTGATTTGAGTTTAAACTATGTGATTTTTAAAAACCCACTTGAATATTCGCCAAGTAAAATTATTTTCAATTACATCATTTTTATGAAGAATTAATTGTGGAGATTATGAGAGTAGGGGTCGTTATCGTCTTTTCTTCCAAAATGAAAAAAATAAATAAATAAAATAAATAATCTTCTTTGGTCCATTTCTATTGTTTAAATAATTGGATATTCTAATCATTTATACTAATGTTATTTTTTGGGAAATTTTAACTCTCTGACTTTCTAATTTTTTATTTTAGAGATCAGAAATCTAAGCAAAGTACCATAGAATCGTTTGTATTCAAATTTAGCATTTTAAGCCATTTCATAAAAATCACAAAGGAGAGAACACACTCCAAATAAAATAAAATAAAAAAAACCCCACTCATGTCACTAACGTAACATTGTCCTCACATTGATAATTAATTATAAATCCTCATAAAGAAGAGAATCGATCCGCTTTTGTTAGTTTCTGTAAATCTAATAGCACAGGGGTTCATATGCTAGAAGACAACAATACTATATAATATAATATTATATACATATGCATAGGTTATAGAAAATAATGATAAGAGAGATTAACAGAATCGGATATCCAAAGACTCTCCAATTAACCCTTTTGAAGTGATTGTAAACCCGAAATCTGTTTCTGTGCGTTGGCCTAACTTGTCTCTTGTGCTGTTAGTTAGTAGTTAGTCGTTAATACCACCAACCAAATTAGTGGGACCACCAAAGCCATGCATTGCGTATCTAATTAAACCGATCAATCACATTGTTACGTACCCGTGACACACCAAAACACCAACCCGTGATCACCCAACTGACACGTGCCCCCTCCACATCTCTCCACCTCAAATATACATATACATATAATATACGTATACTCTAATATATATATATATTGAAAACGAACCCTTCTAACCTAATGCATTTGGTATATATATATATATATATATATATATATATATATATATATATATTTTCCTCCCTTCTTTTCCTTTCCTGGCAAATAGAATAAAAATTAACAGATAAAAGGACAGTAGTCCAACTCCACCAACTGAAGCACCTCCGCCGAAAGATGAGAGATGACAGAATCAGCACATAAACGTGAAGAAGAGAGTGATGCAAGGGCATGGGCTGCTCGATTACCTTGCCGCCGCACATGGGACACCTTAACCCACAAGAATAGGTCCAGATTAGTGCGAATATCATAGATACATAGGGTGATGATAGAAGTGCATCAAGAACCTACTTGCAAGGCATCCACAAGATTTTTAGTATCACATTCAAACCAGACGTGCTGAAAATCAAAAACCCGAGCTCACATGACAGCAAGTCTAAAAGCAAATGCTTCAGCCATCAATGGAGATGAAGTCGAAAACTGTTTAAAAACTACTACCTGAAGAACCAAGCCTTCCAAATTTCTGAAAATAGCTCCTCCTCCCTTAAGGCCGGTTGAATGGGAAAAAGATGCATCAACATTGCACTTGATTTTCAAAATATTCAAATAGAATTTTAGAGCTTAAACATTCAAATAGAATTTGATTAAAAAAGACACACACAAAACAAAACGCATGTCATAAGTAAAACTAGTGAGTATTAATTTTATGTCGTTTTCAAAATTTCAATCGAGAAACTAATGAAACTAAATCAGAAAATGTCGGTAAAACTATATATATATAATCATTAAAAATCAATAAATACCATCAACTCAATTTGAGTCCAATTCATCATTTTTAGAAATTCTAAAATATACCGGTCCTCTTGAAAAATAAAAAATTAGAACCCACAATTTTAGAACTTAAACATTCAAATATAATTTGATTTAAAAAGACCCACACAAAACAAAACACAAGTCACAAGTAAAACTAGTGAGTATTAATTTTATGTCGTTTTCAAAATTTCGAGAAACTAATGAAACCAAATCGGTAAAACAATCTATATCATATATATATATATAAACTTTTTCTGATTTGGTTTCATATATATATATAAATCTAATCATTAAAAATCAATAAATACCACAAATCAACTCAATTTGAGTCCAATTCATCGTTTTTAGAAATTCTAAAATATACCAGTCCTCTTGAAAAATAAAAAATTAAAACACACAATTTTAGAACTTAAACATTCAAATAGAATTTGATTAAAAAAGACACAAAAAAAACAAAACAAAACACATGTCACAAGTAAAACTAGTGACTATCAACTCTATGTCAGTTTTCAAAATTTCAATCCAAAAACTAATGAAACCAAATAAAAAAGTGTCGGTAAAACTATCTATATCATATATATATATATATATATATATATATATAAATCGAATCATTAAAAATCAATAAATACCACAAATCAACTCAATTTGAGTCCAATTCATTTAGAAATTCTAGAATGTACCAATCCTCTTGAAAAATAAAAAATTAGAACACACAATTTTAGAACTTAAACATTCAAATAGAATTTGATTAAAAAAGACACACAAAACAAAAAACATGTCACTAGTTGTGACAAAACTACTGAGTATTAACTTTACGTCGTTTTCAAATTTTCAATCGAGAAACTAATGAAACCAAATTAGAAAATGTCGGTAAAACTATCTATATCATATATATTTATACATTTTTTGATTTGGTTTCATATATATATATATAATCATTAAAAATCAATAAATACCACAAATCAACTCAATTTAAGTCCAATTCGTCATTTTTAAAAATTCTAAAATATACCAGTCCTCTAGAAAAATAAAAAATTAGAACACACAATTTTAGTACTTAAACATTCAAATAGAATTTGATTATAAATGACAAACACAAAACAAAACAAATGTCACAATTAAAATTAGTGAGTATTAATTTTATGTCGTTTTCACAATTTCAATCCAGAAACTAATGAAACCAAATTAAAAAATGTCGGTAAAACTACTATATCATATATATATATATATGTAAAACTACTATATCATATATATATATAAATCTAACCATTAAAAATCAATAAATACCACAAATAAACTCAATTTGAGTCCAATTCATCATTTTTAGAAATTCTGAAATATACAAGTCCTCTTGAAAAATAAAAAAACACGATAGAATTTGACCCAAAAAATATCGCATATGTCATAAGGAAACCCAAAAAATATCGCATATGTCATAAGGAAAGTTAATTCTCACTGGTGTTACTTGTGGCATGTGCTTTGTTTTGCGTGTGTCTTTTTTCTACTTAAACTTTTAGGGAAAAAAAAAAAAAAATAGCGAGTATTAGCATTAGGTCGTTTTCAATTGAGATGTCGGTACAACTATACTATATTATATATATATATATATATATATATACACATGAGAGTGTGTATATTGAGAGAGATGTATTAATCTAAAAATTCAACAAAATCAACAGTTTGTGGCATGTGAAGTTGTTGTGTTGGAACTTGGAACTTTGGATTGTAGCCATTATAGTGACACGTGGCAAAAACAGGCAGGCCCCAGTACATAAGAGCTACCAATTATATGAGCGCGCGTGTGATTCATCATACATGTGAATCAAATCCAAACAAAAACTAATGTACACGTATACGACATTAAAACATCACTCTCTGCGTCATGCATTAAAAGATTAAGCCCTAAACCCCCCCCCCAAACTCAATTTGGAGCCTCTAAACAGCCCCGTGAAACAAACCCATACTCGTGACAGATTAAGACAAACACATACATACACATTCCAATTTTATGTAACAAAACCCTCCCCTATATATATATGTCACTCCCGAGTTCAATTTTAATCACCAAACTTATAAATATATAGCTTCCATTGTGAAGCTAGCTCAAAATTGAGTACAATAACGAACCAGTCAATCCCGAACGTCCCCAAGAGAGACTCTGAGTCCATGATCATTGGTTGTTTCACGCCAAATTAAAGCAAAGGTGAGTCGAGTTTTAATTTAAAAGTTTTCCACTTAAAATGGACTTAACACGGGTCTCATTATAATATCTTGAAAATTTTGATTCTAAATGCAATGACTCACTTCACTGCATGATAAGATATTGTCCGCTTTTAAATTTGAGCACGCAAGGTTTTGTTCTTGGACTTTACTCCAAGAGGTCTCATATCAATTAAAATGACACACCTACGTATAAGCATTTCACCTTCTTTTCTTTTTACAGGCAATGTAAGATTGTGCATTCGTAAATCACCCATTGTGGTGGCTTGTTAGTGTCCCACATCTGCTCACGACACACTCGTCCACAGAGTCAATACACTAAAAGTGTTTTTCTTAAGTCATTAAATAATTAGTGTGAATAAATTTTGTACGGTTGAGAAATGAAAGTAGCTAGTTTTGAATGTATGGGTTGTTTTTAATTTGTGATGATGGTGATTTTTAAATTAAGGGGACTAGAGGGTATTGGGTCCCACCCCTGAATGGTTTAATTCTGCTGCCGTGCAACAACTTCATTCATGCATTCATCATACTAGTATATATGGCCAAAGCTACAAGGAGCTAAAGAACAATAAAGAGTCACGAGAACTGGATTGCTTTGCTTTTGTATCAAACCACATCAACAGTACTGCTCTTTTTCAATCCTTCTCCATCACTCACATTTGCCAATCTGCTATAGAAGGCTAGAATGCTCTCTGTGTGTGTGTGTGTGTGTGTGTACAGATGTATGTGTGTGTGTGTGTCTATATATATATGTATGTGTGTGTGTGTCTATATATATATATATATGTATAGACACACACACACATACATATCTATGTGTGCATTATGGCGATCACATGAAATGATGTTGATAATGTCACTGAATTATCGATGAATGTGATTGATCTCAAGTCTCAACAGAACCATAGTGTGACCTGATAATGTGCGAAGCATCCCAGCTAGAAAGTAGGGCACGGATAAAATAAATAAATAAAAATAGTGGAAAATAATTGGAGAATTTATTTGGTTGAATGTTCTTTGAATTTGGAATACACTTTTGTTATGTGAAAATTATTAAAGGTTGAACCATATTATATGTGCCAGTTAGCTATGCTATTAGGGCCAAAGTATGGCGCCATCACAAGTTTTTCTCATAATTATTTGCCATTTCTATTTTTATTTTTATTTTTATTTTTATTTTTATTTTTTATTTTTTAGAAAAAACAGCTTTGTTTTCAGTCGGTTGATATCAATTTCATTGAGGTTCTAGATAGAAAACTTAATTCAAATTAATCAAGAAAATCACATGGAACTTCTGGGAGAATGTACTTACAAAAATATTGGTGATAAAAATCATAAAATAAATTAAACATTTATAATTTCATGAAGTACAAAAATGGTTCACATGTTGGTTAAATGTCAACTCACAAGGAAATCACTAAAAAAAAAAAAAAAAAAAAACACTTTTTCCTGTATTAGAACAAAGAGAAGTCCAATTGACAATTGACAATTGACATTTCTTTTGCAATCAAGTACAAGGAATCTACTTACTGAAAACATTATATATATAAATATATATATATGTGTGTGTGTGTGTTATGAATTAGTCACTCTCTCTCTCCTAATTATATATATACACACACAAAGCTTTTATTATTACAGAGTTTGATACATGTAGTTTTTGGGAATGGAACAACATTACCGTTGTTATATTTAGGGTCTTAGGTTCACCCTCACACCTATATATATATGCCAATTAAATTCCAGGTGCCACATTACACAAATATGGCTTAAACTGTATTATTTGCCCTAAATGTATAAGCAAAGCTGAAACCTTTATGGTCTGGTTTTGACACCTATTTCAAGAACACTGGAGCCTCAAAGCAGCTCACAAGATCAAAACTGCATAACTTGTAACCTTTCCAACACCTGATACAAGAAACTAGTCACAACTCACAAGACACATAAAACACCCAAGAGAGAATAAAAAAAAAGTATTGCAAACAGAAGATCGATCTATGGACCACAAACCACTGGAACAAAACAAATGTGAGAGAAAACACACACACACACACACACACACACATACACGCACAGAAACAGAGAAATGTGAGAGATCCTCAGTATGAAATCTACTAAAAAAACAACACATCCCTTAGGCCATACATACTTGCCACAAAAAACCAATCTCTCTCTCTCTCTCTTGTGTTTTAAGGATTTCTTCTAGAGAAAATGATTTTTGAATCAACCACAACTTGACATGTGTCAACCTGTTGAATGAGAGAACTCCATTTTTGAGCAAATTTTTCCAGTATAAATTAGTCCCTCCATTTCACACATTTGAGGTATCTAATAAGACTGCCTATTTCCTTTCTTTGAAGGTGGGATTTTCTGTCATTTTCCAGAGAAAAACCCTTGGGAAAATTCTGGGTAAATGAAGCTCGCTCGTGGGTTTTTGCTCATTTGGATTGTGGTGACACTTCTCTCCCCAAATTCAAGCAATGTTGAAGGAAGAACACATTTCCACAAAAAAAAGAAGAACAGAAGTACTCCTAGTCTTCAACTCCCTGCATCTCCACCCCCTGCTTATCCTCCCTCTGTCCCCTCCGATCCAAGCGATCCCGGCCCCGGGAATTCGAGCTCAGACTGCATCTTCTACGTGACCTCTTTCGGGGCAGTGGGAGATGGCTCCAATGATGACACTGCAGCCTTCAGGGAAGCATGGAAAGCAGCTTGTGCAGTAGAAAATGGTGTCCTTTTAGCTCCCTCAGACTACACCTTTATGATCACTTCAACCATCTTTTCAGGCCCATGTAAGCCTGGACTAGTGTTCCAAGTAAGAACTAGACCAAGTCTGGTCAATTCCCTCCCTTTTCTTTTCATTTACAATCTTACAATGGATAGAAATTCAATACTGCTCATATCATTTGCTTATAAGTTCATGTTTCGATTGTGAAAAAAAGGTGGATGGGGTTCTAATGACACCTAATGGACCGGATTCTTGGCCTAAAGAAGACAGCAATAAGCAATGGCTTGTGTTTTACAAGCTTGATGGCATGACTTTCACCGGAACCGGAACCATTGAAGGGAATGGAGAGAAGTGGTGGGAACTCCCTTGCAAACCTCACCGGGTACCTATTTTTGTGTATCTAAAATCAAGATTATACATATGTGTATATATAAATTGTTTTGTGTAGATCCACTTTTAATCCAATTTGAACCACATTCATTCAACACTATCATGTTTAATTCTTCTTCTTCTTCCTTTTTTTTTTTTTTTTTTTTTTTGGCTGAACTTAATTTCGGGAAAATGAAATGCTGCTAAAGTTGATTAAAATTTAATTCTCAGGGTCCCAATGGGTCGACGTTGCCTGGACCATGTGACAGTCCTGCTGTGAGTAGAACCATTCACAACCCAATTCAAGTTTGAGCCAATTAATGAAAATTTGTTTAGTATTAACAAATTTGGTTGCTTAATTTTCAGTTGATTCGCTTCTTCATGAGCTCGAATTTGATGGTTAGTGGGTTATGCATCCAGAATAGTCCCATGTTCCATATGAAATTTGATGGCTGTGAAGGTGTTCTGATAGAGAAGTTGTCCATTTCTTCGCCCAAGCTTAGTCCCAACACGGATGGCATTCACATTGAGAACACCAAGGCTGTTGGGATATACAACTCAGTGATAGGAAATGGTAAAAAATCAAATTTAACACTTACAGTTTACTAGTATATGCCAATACTCAATAATGTAACCCTAATTCAAAACATGCAGGCGATGATTGCATTTCCATTGGAACGGGTTGCTCAGATGTTGACATAGAAGGTGTCACTTGTGGCCCTAGTCACGGGATCAGGTACCCACTTTCTGTTCGAGTACGAAATTTCTCTTTTTAGAATCTCGTGACATACACTGAGTAATGCACTTTTTTTTCTTTTATCTAGTCGATTTGGCTGAAAAGATCTGACATATATACTGGGTAATGCACTTTTCTCTTTTATCCGACCGAACTGGCCAAGTTCACCTTCCAGACCCTCCTTTCTTGGAAGTATATTAAAAAAACAATGGCTAGCCCACACTGTTTGATACAGAACACACAACAAAGTTAATTCTGATTAAGAAGCATAACTTAGCTCCTGATAGTCTAAAGTCTCGATAGTTAGCTCTTTGTTATCTTAGTAAAAATGAACCGTCAATGAAAGCGTGTAGGTGTACTATTTTGTCACTCAACGACAGAACTTTGATTATTTCTTTTTTTGAGAATCGACGAATCAAATGATATTTCTGTTCTGAATCAAACTTTTCCTTGCCATAACGGTTCTATGTTTTCTGCAGCATTGGAAGCCTAGGGGTGCACAACTCTCAAGCATGTGTTTCCAACATATCGGTCCGCAATGTGGTGATTAGGGATTCAGACAATGGGGTCAGGATCAAGACATGGCAAGGTGGGACTGGCTCGGTGACCGGCATTTCATTCGAAAACTTGCAATTTGACAATGTCAGGAACTGCATAATCATTGACCAATACTACTGCCTCACCAAGGCCTGCCGGAACCAGACCTCAGCCGTCTACCTGAACGACGTTTCTTACCGGAACATAAGAGGCACCTACGACGTCAGGAGCCCTCCGATACACTTCGCCTGCAGTGACACCATGCCCTGCACCAACATAACAATGTCTGAAGTTGAGCTGCTTCCATTTGAAGGTGAGCTAGTAGATGATCCATTTTGTTGGAATGCATATGGGGTTCAAGAGACCTTGACAATACCTCCTATTGATTGTTTACAAGATGGATGGCCAGAGACAATAGGAGAGATGTCCACTTATAGTTGTTGATTGAATGAGTCCTTTTAGTGCATTTAGCTACTATATCTATCTATCAATCTATATATATATATATATATATAGAATTACTGTATAGAGCCCAAGAGCATTTGTTATGGGGTCTTGATTGTTGCTTAGGTTCCATCCCTTTTTGGGTTTGTTACCCTTAATTGTGTGATGGGGATGTATTAGAAAAGGGGTCTATTTATTGCCCTGCTATGTGATATATTGGGACTTTACATTCAGTATATTTATATATAGTTTTAAAAGAATTGCAGTTGCAGTTTTATATCTTAGTGCATGTATCCCTCTCATATGCATCTTTTTGGATTCAATAATACAAATTTTTACTATCTATTACAGCACGATACTCTAGTCGTTACTAGATTTGAAGAGGGCAGACTGTTATCAATTTCGTCACAATAGTGTTATCATTGCATTAAAACCCACCCTAAAAATTGACTAGATACATTTGTCCAATGTTATAATGGGTTCAGTGATTGCTAAAATTTTCAGGGAACACCAAAAAAGATAAAATGATTTTCTTTGCATTATTTTTCTCAGAAAATAGTTTGGGTATCACTGCCTTGTTCATTTCCCATATGCAAATGAGAAGGGAGATGATGTTTGGCAAATTTGAGTTTATAGCTACAAAAAAGTTGTTGTTTTTTCTTTCGGAAATTTAATTTATAGCTACAAAGTTGCAAACAAAGTGACAACGGAATTAGTTTTCTATTATTTGAAGTAATTTAAGTAAATTACCATGACTGTTTTATTCTGACAATGAGATTGTTAAAATAAAGACAAATTTATTTCCAGTCATTTCGAGTTCAATAAAAGGTTAGATATGCGTAATTTTACCTTCGCATGTGGAGAAGTTATTCTTTAGTTCAAATTCGTGACTTTTAAGTCCTAATTTAGCAACTTTACTGTTGTGCAAAAGATGTCCTTAATTGTTAAAATAAATTATTTCATAAAAAAATTATTGAAATGCAATAAATAATTTGGTTAATTAAACCATACATGGTATGAAACACAATTCCCATATCCTTTTAGGATGATATTGACATAGTAAAATATAATATCACAAAGTAAATATGGATCCAAGCATTGTTAATGGATTGGGCTAATATTTTTTGGGTGGGCTAATATTAGTAATAATTTATTATTATTATTTCTTGGCTGAGCTAAAATTGACCGTAGAATTGTTTTTTTCTTTTTCTGGTGAGCTGATTTATTTAATAATTCCTCCACAGTGTTGGCCTAGTGGGTGAGAGAACTTGGGTCTTAGTGTCTTATTAAGTATCAAATCTCATGTTCAAGTCTCTAGATAACTAATTTTGAAGAGTGTGTGAGTATCAAATAGATATTAATAATAATAATAATAATAAGATATATGTCCAAGGCCCTATTATTCCACATTATTCATGAACTTTCCAGATTTTATTTTTAAAACTAAAGACGTATCACAATAATTCTACATTTATACTATTTATGAAGCACGATGCCTAATTCTTATGCCTTAGCCGTGCATCAAAAGATGCAGCCATCAATTCTTCCGATGGGTCACAATTACCACGAGAAAACATATTAGTGACGCGAACACATTTTTGTTATGTTAATAATACTTGTACTTGTTCTTGTTTTTTTGTTTTTCGGAAGGTAAAGCTGGGCCAAATTAGCCCAACACAAAAGCGGACTTTCCCTCCGGATGCAACTTACAAATATAAACCTTAAAGTCCAGCCTAAAATAGCCCATCAGAGGAATAAAGACAGTAATTGTCTAGAAAGCCCTAGACTAGCTGCAAATGAACCGAGCCAAGTCGAGCCTTGTGTTGCTCGGGTTCAGGCTCGGGCTCGTTTGTTTATAGTTCAGCTTGGGCTTATGACGAGCTCAAAAAACTAAGCTCGGACTCCTCATGGTGTTAAAAAGCTCGGACTCAGCTCTTTTAAGAAAATAAATTGAATTTATTGTCAAAATTTATTTAAGCTTGCTTAGTAAATCATTATATATTTATATTACACTTTCAAAAATTAAAGAATTTCATTAAAAATAAAAATAAATGTAAACGAGCCCTATAACGAGCTTACAAACGAGTTTACACGAGTTCATATTTATGAACATAAACGAGCATACACAATCTCATATTCACGAGCCTACACGAGTCGAACCCAGTATTGTTCGAGATCGACTCGTTTACTTAACGAACTTAAAAATTAAATTCGAACTCAGTTCATTTATTTAATGAACAAGTCTGAACCGAGTTTTTAACGAGCCGAGTCCAAACTGTTCACGAACTCCGTTCATTTGCAATGCAAAACTAACGCAACAATGTAAAACACAGGGTAAGGATTTCACCTTTTTCTTTTGTTTTCTTTGGTTTTCTTTTTTACTTCACCATTCGATGAAAACGACGTCGTTGGCATGACACCGTCCTTGTAATACCACTCGGTGAGAGAGACGCAGGTGCAAATAATGCCTTCCAAGTCGCAGCCTTCAAACATTTATCTTCTGCTTTGGTGAGACTGAAAAAAAAAAGACTCCATCCTGGTATGTATTCAGCTCATCACTTCTTCAACCTATATATTATACACACACATCTGCGTGTTTGTTTATTACTTTAATCTGTGTGTTTGTTCGTTACTTTAATCTAATATTGGTATGTTGGATTCTCGGTAACACATTTACGTTTGTCAGTGCCCTAATTCTACTATCACTTCCAATCAATCTTCTCCGATGGAGTACTATTGTTTTGGAGTATCAATAGAATTCTCTGAATCTGAAAATGGTTTTGTGATATCCCGAAAATTTTAGATCAAGTCGTAATCTTGAGTTGTTTATAAATGGTTGGATTTTAATTATTGGAGAATATGCTTGTATTATTGGGAGTTGTTATAGCTCATTTTGGAGAGGCAACTGTGAAATCAAATTATTTGCTATTGAGGGTTTGGAAATTACCAAAGTTAAATTAAGAGTATTATAGATGGGAGCTCCTTAGGTACCTTCTTGACACACTTGTACACAAGGCCTCACTTGGGAGCACATATTCACACCCATGCACTATCACAAACCATATCTAATTTCCTCTTAATGCTACCCACAAGGACACGTTTTGCCCAAAATATTTCTTCTATCATTAGCTTACATTTAATTACACACAGAGAGAGTATAGGGAAAGAGGGCTGAGATTGAGAAAGGAGAGAACGCAACAGAAAAAAGGGAAAATAAGGAAGGAAAAAGAGGAAGGCAAAGAGGGCTGGATTATACATTATATACTTTCATGGCCACCATATTTCATCACCGTTTCTCTCTTGTGCTCAGTTAAGGTAGGTTTGCTCTAAGACTTGTTGCTTCGTGTTATTTGGCTCCTTATTTCAACCCTTGTGGCCATGGAAATGCTGTTATTGTTAGTATGTGCTTCTATTCGTCGAAAAACCTTCTTGATTCGTCGAAAAACCTTCTTGATTCTAAGCATCTTTGCCGAGTTCCTTGCAATTGATCTGTTTAAAAAAGTTTTGGTTCATGTATGTGTATTTGTTATGGATATAATTTCCTCAAATTTTCATAGCATGCTCTTCATGGCTGTTTCTGTGCTGAGATCCCTTAGCCACATTTGTTAGTGTATTTCCTACTGGGACTTTGTCTCACCCTACCATTTTTCAGGTGCCATGATCAAATTGGAGAATTGGCGTTGCTGAATTTCACTTAGTGGAGACATTTATGTTCTTGTATATAAGGTGTTTGGTTAAATGTTTGTATAAACTAAATTTTGAGAATTCTGATGTAATTTTTAGAGTTTGATCTAAACATGTTCTAATTATATCATTTGTGGACATTTTATGGACTTTTGTTTAGGTTTTATATGAGTTGTAGCCTGATTTTGGGACTTGGAACAAACATGAGTGTTTTTTATTGTGCTGAGATTCATTAATTTTACCTGGGGGCTGTGGTTCTCCAAATGCTTTCAATTTTTTACCACAGATTCTCCTCTGTGTCTAGAGTCCCTCTGGAAAATTTCATACTCCTTGGATGGATAATTGTTTTTATAAATCTGACAGTGCCTACTGTCCGACTTTTATCGCTACTGGGAATCAGATTTTGGATAATTTATTAGATGAACATTTTGAAATCTGAAAATTATCAAACCTTCAATATTTTTATCCCTTCAAGTCTTCTTTCTAAAACCAAATCCTTGGATTTTATCAGATCCCTATATTTTTCAAATGAATGAAGTTTATCAAAAGGTTTATTTTCAGCTCATTCTGGATAATCTGTTTTGCTTCTAAAATATGATTTAATTGAGAAACATTCAGCTTCCATGAGTGGCTTAGCCTTGTTGTATTTTGAGTCTAGTTTCCAAAGAATTTTAGTTTGCCCCATTTTGCTTAAAATTGAATTTTCCACGAATTGTTAATCAACTGCTGCGCAGAATTCTTTCCAATAGGAGGCTGCACTTGTGGACTGCTTGTTTTGTGTTTGGATAGTAATTCTGCACTTCTAACCATGAATGGAGGGTCTGTTATATGAATTTTGGGGTTGATTGTTACATGATACATTGTTATTGTTGTGGTTTGAGGATTTCCGAACCATCATTTTTCATAGCCCCTATTTCAGGTCATTACAGGTTTATTGTGAATTTTCTTTTTCAGCTACAGCTTTGAAAGAAATCGACTCAAAAAGCATGCCGTCCCTCCAAACAGCATTGCCTCCTGAACTTGCCAACAATGTGATTAGGGTTAGTATCATTTATTCATTTGTGCAGTTTTTCTTTTTTGAATTTTTTTTTTTTACAAATTCTCTTTTCTGGTTTACTAATTCACCTTACATTTTATCATACTGCGATCGACTCTCTAGTGACAAATAATCGAAGGAGACACGATTTATTGATTGATATAATTATTAACTATTCAATTTCTCCAATTATATCGATTATTTATTTAATAAGTATGGGTAATAAAAGAAGAATAAAAATCCATTTTACAACTCTACCTTAAGGCATCACAAGAAAATCCTAATATTCTTTAAATCAAATTTTAACTCAATGGTTGGTGAGCTAGAATTTAATTGGTCAAGAATTTCATTGGCCAAAACATATGTGAAAATATTATTAAATTCCATTTTATATGATATATTATTGTTATATGTGTGTGTTTATTATATATATTCATTCTAATATTTTATAATATAACAGTTTCTTTAAAAATGATTATTTATTAAGTACTAGAATCACTAATTATCCACCATGGATGGTTCTTCCAAAAAAAAAAAAAAAAAAAAAAAAAAAATCAATTATTAGAGTTCTTAAGTTATTAATATGAAGTAGAAAATCAACTCAGGCATAGAATTGATGGAATTGGAAAAAAGTTCAGTTCAAAGTTACAGAAAATTGAACTAAAATTTTCTCCAATTCCAAGGCTTCAATTCTGAGTAGCCAAACATAGCCTCAGTTTATTTGTCTGTGTGTGTATTCCCTTAATCCTAGTCTGTATTTGGTATTCAGACTTTAATGAGTGCAACTGAGTGTTTTCCAAGTCATGACGCCTTATTTATTTATTTGATTCACCAGCTTTACCGTGAATGCCTCCGAAGAGCTAAATTTATTGGCCATCGGGTATGCAATTCTTATCTCTATAATTCCTATCAGTCTCTCTATATTTCGTTTTGTATAAATAGTCTAGTAGAATTCTGAACTTGTTTTTGTAAAAATTCTTGAGGACTTTTGAGTGTATCTCAACATGAAATGGTGAGAATTAATAGAACAACAATGCTCACCTTTTATATATTCAAGTGTTTAATATCGATTATCAAGATGGAAAGGAATATGCTTTTAAAGCTTTTAAGAAAGTATGCTTCAAAATCATACTATTTAGATTTTTTTTCTTTTTAATCTTTCTTAAATTCATGCATATACTTCCATAAATTTTTTATTTTAAATTTGTATTATCGCACTTCTAACATTCATATTTGTGCTGCAAAGAGTATTGTAATCTTTTATCTTTTATTTGGAATGACAATCATTGGTATAACATTAGCAGCATCCCATATATTAGTTTCGTAGAAGTTATTTATATTTACTTCCTTACACATTACAGTTTCACAATCATGTCACATTTGTATAATTCAATTATTACAGCCCACAATCCACTTACTCTAATGGCGCATACAAAAACACATACAAAGATCTCTCTCTCTCTCCGCAAGAAATGTGAAATTTCATCAAGTTGAGGAGAGTTCTTTTGTGTTAGTTGGTTAAGGTGAGATAAAAGTGTTAAATTTTATATTTCAATTGTCCTTTTAATGTGCGTTACGGGCTGGAGCATGGGGAAAAAAGGGCTTATTGAAAACTTAGAGCACTTCAAGCAATTGATTGGCTCCAAGGGACTTTAGAAGAAGAGCAATGAACATGGTGCTGAACTCTTTTAGAAAGCACCGGTTCCGAATACAATCCCTGATTGCCATCAACAATCAATCATTATTTCCTCTCCAACTATCCTCTTGCTAAAGGAGTTCAGGAATGAGTTCAAGATAATGGAATTATATCTTTCAAGATGAGAAGCTAAAAATGATTTCTGTAAAATGCCAGGAAATATCACTACGAGGCATTTTATAGTGATTTCTAGTAATCTTCGTCCTTTTTAATTGCCGATTTTTTTGTTCTTATATGCATGCATAACTATCCAACCAACCTCTCCCTTGAACGGGGTAGTTGGTGTGGGTTCATGCAGAAATTGATGAACATGATTCAGTTTGGGCTGGGTTAAGTGCAATGGAGCACAGTTTTGGTAAGGCCTATGAGGCCCGGACATTAATAGAGGGCATGCTAATGGACAAAAAAGAAGTACGACAGCAGCATGGCAATAAATGTATAAAAATTATATAATTTATGGCAAACATTACTTATGACAAGCATATTAAAAATTCTAACTCTATAATATTTGTAACTTATGAATGATAATACTCACCTGTGTGCATAGACAAAGACACACCAAGGACTCGACATATGTGTATTGATGAATGCATGTGTGTTAATGCATGTAGATATAAATAGGCTTATGCACACACCTAAGTTTGAACTCTTCTCCTCCTCACATCCTCACTTCTTTGTAAAACCTTCTTATACATGTGTGTGTTGCAAAGCTATCCTTCCTACCTTAAACCGACTTCTTCCTTTTTTGGGTTCTTTGTCAATGCCCTTCAAAACTTAATATGATGCAATTTCTATCATCTAGTCTAAGACAAATCTGTCTACTCCCCTCCCCAATCCATGAAATTTGACGGAGGGACAAGTTAGTGAGATGTTTCATGAATTGTCGTCATCTTTGTTGCTGGCGACTGATCATTGCTTAAGATGTTGATCCTGTTCAGGCCACTGTTGTGCTCTTTTAGGATATTGTTGCCAGCATCCTGTCACTGTCCAAATACAAACCTGGATATTTCAAGCATCACCATTGAATCCTTGATCCATTGTCTTTGAATTCAGGTCACCCTCTCCTTTTTCAATTATTCCTCGCTGATCAATTCCATTTTCCAGTGTCATTTCGCCATTCCAGTCAACAGCCCACCCCAAATTATAGTAACAAATCTAACTTAATCTATTGAATTTGCAATCTGAAACTAATAGGTCTTTAACTGTCATGGCGTTGCCAAGGTTCTGCTGTAACATTCTAATAATGCAAATTGCGCAGTGTTTATTTTCTTTTCCTTTCTTGTTCTCCTTTAATAAAGAATGTGTACCTTATGATACCTTTAACTTATGATTAGACTTGAGGAAAATAGCTGGCCGAGTTGTTTCCAGTCGCATATGTGCTTCAATTTTATAATGGAACAAACATGGCCTGATCCCTGGATTTGTTGTTCCCACAATTTATTAATGTGAAATAAAATAGGTGTTCACCTTTTGCTAATTGCCATGCCTTCCACCTCTGATCGAATTGTTTTCTCGTCTGTGGATATAATATATATGTGTGGGTAAAACTATATTGGCCTAGTAACTTATCAAAAAAAAAAAAAAAAAACTATATTGGCCTAGTGATTTTTGGTTTGTATATTAGAGAATCTTATTTAGTGTTTTGGTGTTGTTACCGTTTCAATTCACCTTTTAAAATTGTACTTTACACTTATTACATTAATGTCTTTGATCATTCTAGGAATAAGAAAAATAAACTCTATTCTTATAACTACATCTGCAGCAACATAATACAGAGCTCGTTGTTGATATGGTGAGGCAGCAGTTCAAAAGAAACAAGTATGAGACAGACCCAGAGAAGATTCAGAAGTTGAAGGATGAGTGAGTTTCATTTCCCCTTAAATGAAGGAAGTGTTTGTTTATTATGGGGAGGTTGGGGGAGCAGATCAGTGGTAATGGTTTTAAATGTCCATACTATATATATCTCCAGAATACATTTCACTTGTCTCCTCTTCCTCCTCGGATCAGACTATAATGTGTATAATGTATGTCCTTTTCGTCTTCCATCCTTGGGTCATTTTTCTTTGTTTGGCAATATTGGTCAAAGATGGAAGTCATGTTGTTATGCACCTATTTTTTAAAAAATAGTCTAAATTTCTAACGTGTGTATTCTCTGGATTTGCAGTGCGGCAAGGGGACTCATAAATCACATATTATATGAGTCCGAGAAGATGTCTGGACGTAAATTCACCAAGAACTCTTGATGATTGCCTAAATGGCGTGCAACTAAGATTCCGCTGGCCGTAGTAGTTGAATTTTGTCTGCTTGAGTAATTAATAAAGCTAGAGACTCGACGTTAGACTATAATGGTTTGTGAGATTTGAATGATGGTTTTGTTGAAGCTGCTCCCTAAGCATTGGAGAATTCATATCTTAACAGGGAGAAAACCTAAAATGGTTTATGGAAGGCATGGCATTACCATGTAGGAAAATCTGCTAAAATTAGTTTACTGCATCAATGTGATTGTTTCTCCTTTACTTTTGCCTCCTGTGATTCTACTCACAGCTGATTTCAATGAACACGCATGCTACCAATACAGAAGAAAATCCGAATGCATTTTTGTTCTTTTATTGATTGGCGATTGGTTTAAATCCTCTCATAACCACCAAGAATAGGAAAGCTCTTGTTGCAGAGATAATGAAACTTTGTCTGTTTGGGTTATGCATTTAATAAATGGTGATTGACCGGTGACCAAAATTGTCAATTTACAATCATTCATAAACATTTGGCTATAACCACGACAATTTTACATTTTACTGACTCCGTATTATAAATTATACCCTCGATCTAATATAGCTATGGAAAATGACAGTAATGAGAAGTCGAATTTAATGTGGCCATGTTAGATTATTTTCTAATAAACGCATCAAATGCAACTACCTCTTCGTTTCTCTCTCCTCGGCTTCTTCTAATTCTCAGTTTTTCTTCTCTATTGAATCTTATGTCAATCGATTTCCTCTAAATCCCAGTTTTTCTTCTCTATTGAATCTTATCTCAATCGATTTTGGTCTTGTCTCTCTCCTTTTGATTTTGCAACATTGAAAGATGAAAAAAAAAAAATTAAAATTTCTTCATGTTGTGCCAATACAGACACACAAAACCAAAAAAAGGAAGGAAAAAAAAAAAAAAAAAAAAAAAAAAAGAAGCTACAACTATTGTTTCTGTCCTTCACATTTTGTATCCATGAAAATAAAAAAAAAACTTTGAGAAGATTCACCCGTTTCTCTTCTCTGTCAGTTTTTTTTTTTCTAAATATATATTTTTTTAGGTAAGAGATTAATGTGTCTTGTAATGACAACTCTTGTACATATTTACTTAACGTAAAATAAATAAAAAAAACTCTTTTGCATATTTTTTTATCTGGGACCAGAAAGATTTTTTCTTGAATTATTTATGAATCAAAATTTTAGATACCAAGAAGAGAAGAGTGGGTGAATCAAAATTCTAGATGCCAATGCCAAGAAGAGAAGGGTGGGTGAATCAAAATTCTAGATGCCAATCAAAACTCTTTTACATGAATTTTGGGTCATTTCTCTAGAATACTTTGGATATGTGTATACAAGACAAGTATTAATCTATTGGAGTTCATTATAAAAGAGAAATTTGACCACTAGATTGAGAGAGAGAGGAGAGATAAAAAGAATTGATGAAGAAATATTTGAACATGAAAATAGGAGGATATTATGGTTGTCACCTGAATTCCCCGAAAGCTTCTGTAATTGCCATAGTTTCAATTCCACCTTTGCAAAATTGTAAACAAAAAGCGCCTAAGAGCTCATTTAGTGCCTGGCTTCCAGTTGTGATGCAGAGCACCGACTTTCTCTGCAAAGTAAACTATAGTTAGTTTTCAAATTCATTTAGAAAATTCATTTATAAGTAAAATTCATTTATAAGTAAAATCACAAAATGTGCTTTATTCATTTAGAAATATTTGAACATGAAAATAGGAGGATATTATGGTTGTCACCTGAATTCCCCGAAAGCTTCTGTAATTGCCATAGTTTCAATTCCACCTTTGCAAAATTGTAAACAAAAAGCGCCTAAGAGCTCATTTAGTGCTTGGCTTCCAGTTGTGATGCAGACCACCGACTTTCTCTGCAAAGTAAACTATAGTTAGTTTTCAAATTCATCATGAAATATGTGAACTTAACCAACTACTCTTGAGGGTTGCTGCTAACATTCACTGTTTCTCCAATTCCAAACTTCCTGCCAAAATTTTGAAAAACGAGACAGATATCAGATCAATCCTGAGCTGATATCTGACCGGATGGATCAAATTCTACATCCAAAGTTCCTCTACATCTTAGCTTATAAAATAGCTATCGATTGAAATCAAAGAGAATTAAGATCTTACTCTGAGCAGAGCTTCACTTCCGATGATGTAGACGAAATTCTTCAGAGAAATTCAAATGAATTAAGTTATATTTGTTCGGGTTATGCATTTAATCAATGGTGCTTGACCAGTGACCAAAATTGTCAATTTATAATCATTCATAAACATCTTGGCTATAACCCCGATAATTTTACATTTTACTGACTCATTATTATAAATTATAACCTCAATCTAACATAGCTATACATCTAATTTCATTGTTGTGAGCATGTGAAAACTTTGAATTTTTTTTCTTTATGAATGAGGTGTATGGTGTTTTGCCTTCACGAATCCATACCAAGACGATGCTCCCTGTAGGAATCGGATAAAGTACGAATTTATACTAAAACTATTTGGACTGATGTAGGCCAAAACCCACCAGCTTTTCTTTTATCATAAAAAGAAAAAAAAAAGAAAAAAGAAATCACCTCTAAAAAGGAAGCGAGGTCGTTTCTGTGCCACCGTCCTTATAAAATCACTAGTGAGACGGATGCAACGTCATTTAAACATTTATATTTCATTTTATTTCCTATTTTTCATAACTAATGGGGTAAAATGCAAAAAAAATCCCTAAACTATTGGTCAATAAGCAATAAATTCCATAAACTACAAAAATTATAAATAAAAAAAAACCCTGAACTATCTATTTTTGTTGCAGATCACCCCATCCGGCAATGTGCCAGTTGAATCTTACCGGAAAAAAATATACAACTTAATATTAAAGACTATAATACCCTTATGAGAATGAAATGACTATAATACCCCTTTTTGTGACCAGACACAAACACCCAAACCCAAATGGGATACACCCAAACACCACCTATCATCCACCATGTATATGGTGTAGTGAATATATATATGTTGACTTAAGGATTTCATCTAAAGACAATCTAGGTGTTTTGATGATAACAAACCATTAATGGTGTTTATGAACTAATGTTCACATTGAGTGTTGTAGATGATTCACATTTAAAAAAGAACCTCAATGAAGATCATAAAGACCATACCAAGAATTCCATTACTCAAGATCACATCTATGGATAACAAAGGAAACAAAGAAGACATGAAGTTGCAAGGAACCAAATGTAAATTCCATCCAAAGATAACTTGGACATCAATGATTAAGAAAGTAACTTAAAGAAAGGAAGAAAACAAGAATACCTTAAAGCCTAAAAGATCATGAACAAAGCTTGAAGAAAGGGATAGATAGCTTGGTGAGTGCTAGCTTAAATTGTAAAGTTATTTTTTAAGTAACTTCATTTGAAAGTTCATCTCTATAGGACCATGCATATCATATCATCATTCATATGCTCCTATATCCATTAGCAATAGACTATGCACTTCATTCATATACAATTGACATATGGAGTCATTGCTAAAGAGTGAGTTAGTTCAAACTTGCATAAGCTTTGAAAGAACTCATCACTTGTACTAGAAATGTTAAGATCATGCACATCAATCATATAATTCATATTGGTCAACAATTAAGGCATGAGAAGCCTTAATTACCATGAGTTGGTAACAGACATTAGGACCCCAAAATGCGCAACATGAAAAACTGTGTTTTTGGCTAAGTGTGAAAAATAAAATTTTGAAATAATGATTATTTCAAAATAATTTTTCCCTATAATAACTCTTTATATTTCAACTAGCCTAAACTGATTTTATCAGAAATTTTGACCAAGTCTACATTGGTCTACATACGGATTCATTTTTACCAAAACTGTCGGAAATCCAAATTTGTACTAAAATTGAATTGCTACATTTTGATTTAGTTGGATTTCAATTTTTTAGTATTTTTTATTAAATCCAAATGGGGGGTACTTCCTTATTTACATTGTAAACTTAAAGTAAATGGACATATAAATTAAAGTAAAGACATTTACTTTAATGTTTTCAATAGAAATAAGGTATGTGCAGATGTCCTGTGCATAGACTGTTTCATCTGTTAACTTAGAATATTTCCTGAAGCTGCAGTTGCATTTTGGCCTACCAAAATGAAAGACCAACTCACTTCGGTCTACCGAAATAAGTTAATGAAAGAACACTATTAGGTGTTTCGGACGATCGAAACTAAGAGGCAATATGAATCGGACGACCGATTCTCACAGAATGGTTTGGAATAAATAAGGAAGGTATTTCGGTCGACCGAAACACAATGGTGTTTCATTTCAGTCTACCGAAATAAAGAGTGACAGCCAATCTTGAACCATTTCGGACGACCGAAACACAATGGTGTTTCAATTCGATCGATCGAACCAGCGCGGATTTGAATCTGAACGGCTATTTCCTCTCGAACCGTGTGCCCAACAGCTCTATTGATATCAGATGCATTAGAAACTCTATAAATAGAGTTGGGGTTTTCTGGTTTCGAGTTGAGGCTTTTAAAAGGAACTTCTATAAAGCTTTTGCTCTAGTTCCTCCCTCTCCTTGTGGAGCTTTTGCTCTAGTTGTCCACACAAGGAACCACCATTGAAATACATTGCATATCATTCATGTGATTCATCTTGCAAACTTAGAGTTGAGCTTTCATTTGATTATTTCAATTGTAACTTTAAGTATGAGAGCTTTGATTTGTATATTTGTCTATTTGAGAGACATTCAATGCAAGCTTCATTATATATCCATTCTTGAGAGAAGAAGACCAAGAGGTGCTCTTGGCAAGGGAAAGCTTGTTTAAGCTGTTGTAAGGGTTCTCTTTCTCAACCCATAAAAGAAAGAAGGTGTCTCTCTAATGAAAGGATTTGGTAGAGCTCTCCACCCACAAGAGTGAGCAATGGTTCCTTCTTAGCTGTCAAAAGAAGGAGAAGCGAGATGGCTTCATTACAAGGTCGGTTCTTCACCCGCAAGCAAGAATGTGTAAAGGTTTGCACTCCACCCGTAAAGAGGAGCCATAGTGGAATCCTTGAGAGATTTTCTCAAGGAATGGACGTAGGCCAAGGTTGTGCCGAACCATTTACATCGCGTGTCTTTTGGTTTGCAATTTCTCTAACTCTTACTCTCTTTATTTCCCTAGCATTTTCATTTCATAATCTTAATGCTTTATTTATGAATGCTATGAGATAGACATGTTAATTTGTATATGAGGAGGATGGGATGAATGCTTGGATTAAGTTGACTGAGTGATTGATTTTAGCTTTAGACTATATGTCCTATATTTGATTCATATATAGCTAAAATGATGTTGCATACCAAGTG